TGAATTCCAGCAAGACTAAATTTAATAAAGATAAGTTCAAAGTACTTCACTTAGGAAGGAAAAAAACAGACATGCAACTACAAGATGGGGACTAGCCTGCTGAAAAGGATCAGGGGTTATAGTGGATCACAAATTGAATATGAAGCAACAATGTGATGCAGTTGTGAAAAAGACTAATATCATTCCGGGCTGTATTAACTGCAGTGCCGTATGTAAGACAGGGGAAGGTACCTGTCCCGCTCTGCTCAGCGCTAGTAAGGCCCAGATGGGCACCACAGTTCGGGAAAGCTGTGAACAAACTAGAGAGAGTTCAGAGGAGACCCGCAAAAGTGATCAAAGGTTTAGAAAACCTGACCTATCAGGAAAGGGTAAAAAATATTGGCATATTTCATCTGCAGAAAAGAAGACTGAGGGAGACCTGATAACAATCTGCAAATATGTTCAGGGCTGTTAGAAAGAGGACACCGAACAATTGTTCTCCATGGCCACTGAAGGTCGGACAAAAAGAATTGGGCTTGATCTGCAGCCAGGGAGATTTCGATTAGATATAAGGAAAAGTTTTCCAACTCTCAGGGCAGTTAAGCTCCGAAATAGGCTTCCAAGGGAGGTTGTGGAATCCCCATTCCTGGAGGTTTGGAAGAAGAGGCTGGACAAACGCCTGTCAGGGATGATCTGGGGTTACTTGGCCCTGCCTCAGCATAGGGGACTGGACTAGATGACTTCTCAAGGTCCCTTCCAGCCCCACATCTATAATTCTGTGATCATTTGACTATAATCCCCTCTACTCACTGGCTGCTCTTTGGGCTTCCCCTACTGGAGGTGATCTCCCGGCACGTGATGGCAGTTCGAAATAAAAGGGGGCAGAGGCCGCACACGGGCCAAAAGTGACCCTGGCGATTAGAGTTGGGCAGGACGTTTCCATCCAAACATCGTTTCGATGCAAAACGAACTTTACATCAGAACCAAACCTTGCCCCAGGGAACTTGCATTGTCAATCAATATTTTTCAGCTTTTCAATGGGTGAAAAATCCCAGACACTGAACAATTGTTACAGAAAACTGACTAGGTTTATTTCTGAAAATGATTTCCAGGAAAAAAAGAGAGGTTCTTCTCTAGGGGACCCCAGAAACCTCCAGATATCTAAGGGATCCCCATCAGCTGATCTTCCCTCCTCAACAGAGACTTCCCAGCCTGACAGCTGGGCCTCCTGTTATTAGAGAACTATATTGGCTCATTGATTCCTTGTGTCTGAATCCATTTGTCTCTTGTCTCCACGTAATCCATGCCAGTGTGGTTTCAGAGTAGCAGCCGTGCTAGTCTGTATCCGTAAAAAGAACCGGAGGATTTGTGGCACCTTAGAGACTAACAAATTTATTAGAGCATGAGCTTTCGTGAGCTACAGCTCACTTCATCGGATGCATGCAGTGGGAAAAAATGCCAGTGTGGTGTGTCACTCGGTCCCTCTCTGGCGGCGGCTGGGCCCCACAGAGATTGATAAGCCTGCTACAGCCGTATCTCAATCCCCACTGCTGACAGCCCACCTGGGGTACAGTGTTACACATCAGTTGGAAACCCCCTGGGACAGACACCATCTTTTCATTCTGTCTGTACAGTGCCGAGCATCAGCGGGTCCTGGATCCAGGGAGGGGCTCCTAGCCATCGGAAAAAGTCACCTCCCTTACCGACCTAGTTACGCCCATATAAAAAAGGCATAGAGCAGGCCTGAATCTCTGCAGGAAGGTGGCTGCTATGGGAATTGGATTTTAGAATCATAGAATATCAGGGTCGGAAGGGACCTCAGGAGGTCATCTAGTCCAACCCCCTGCTCAAAGCTGGACCAATCCTCAGTTTTTGCCCCACATCTCTAAATGGCCCCCTCAAGGATTGAACTCACAACCCTGGGTTTAACAGGCCAATGCTCAAACCACTGAGCTATCCCTCCCACCTACATTGATCCATTTCCCCCCACCCTCCGAAGCCCTTGACTGCTTGCTTTCTCCTATCTATCGACAGCCCCTCTCTACAGAGCAGCTCTCTTTGAAGTTCTCCACTCTCTCCGGGGCACAATCCGCTGCCTTGCTGCTCTTACATTTACATCAGCTCTTGAGAAATGACAGCAGAATGCACCCACCACATCCCTCTCCCAGCCACCCAAGAGCGAACCCTGGGAAGTCAACAGAAAGCTGGCCCTGGCTCTGATATGCTGTTCCAGGTACACAACGCTGACCCCAACTCACGGCTTTCGGGCACGAAGATATCATCACGTAGCTAAAAGGCCTTGGCAGGTCATTCTGATAAGACACAAAGTGAGAACGTATCAGGAGCTGCGTCCCACACAGGGCTTCTGGCTTAGTCCAGAGCTTCTCATACTATGGGCCCATCGACGGTCTGGTGAGCCCCTTTGGGTGCTCCAGAGAGTGAAATACATGCATAGACTCCAAGGCTGGATGGGACTCCTGACTAACAGGTCAGAGATCCTCCTCACCCAGAAATCCCTGCATTGAGCCCAGAACATCTGGGTGACCTACGACATGGATATCGGCAACAGTTAGACACCTAAAAGGTAGAGGGATTAGAGAAGTTGGGAGGGGAGGTGTATTAAAGGAGACAACACAGGACTTGGCTTCCGGACTCCAGGGTTCTGTTCCTGACTTTGCTACCGAGACGCCCTGAGAACACTGCTTTGTACCTCAGTTTCCCATAATGAGTGAAGTAGACAAGATCTGCTGAAAAGCATTCACAGTATTGTCGGGGGGGAATCTCTCTCTTACGACATGGACAGTTGGCAAAGCTCTGTAAAATGGCTGTGACCTTTTTCTTTTTCTGGTTTGCTGCAAATGACTACCCCCCCGGCTCTGTTGGGATGGAAGAAAGACAGACGGGCAGACCCAAAACTCCACCCCACTTGTCTCTCAGCAATGCAGCACGCTCGCTTTCTCACGACTACACTTCAACATGGAACAACTGCAGAAAGGCAGCAGAGGGAAGTGATTTCGATCCTTTTCAATGTGTATGACAAACGGCTTCACTTACTCAGGTTCACCCGGACAGACTCCAATTATCACTAATTACCAGCCACGATTGTTATAAGACCATTTATCAAAGCTTCCAGGAGCATTTGCATGAGAATCAGTCTCATGCATCCCTGTCTACCGCTGTTTCTAGGACTACGCGCTACCATTTATAACACACACACACCCCGACAGTAACTGGCACATTCCCCCCCACAACTGTCTTTGCTGCTGCTCATGTTCCTTACCGCTTCACCAGTCTGGTCACAGCAAAGGGCTGGGTCCTGACGCCCAGTTGCGCTCTAACCATTGGACCCTATTCCAAGGTCCGGGGAAAGAGAGGGTCCAACATTTAGAGCAGGACTGGGAATCAGAACTGCTAAGTGGGAGAGAATAGGGACTAGTGGTTAGAGCAGGCGGACTGGCAGCAGGACTCCTGGGCTCTGTTCCTCGCTGTGGGAGAGAATAGGGTCTAGTGGTCAGAGCAGGCAGACTGGGAGCAGGATTCCTGGGCTCTGTTCCTCGCTGTGGGAGAGAATAGGGTCTAGTGGTCAGAGCAGGCGGACTGGGAGCAGGACTCCTGGGCTCTGTTCCTCGCTGTGGGAGAGAATAGGGTCTAGTGGTTAGAGCAGGCGGACTGGGAGCAGGACTCCTGGGCTCTGTTCCTCGCTGTGGGAGAGAATAGGGTCTAGTGATGAGAGCAGGCGGACCGGGAGCAGGACTCCTGGGCTCTGTTCCTCGCTGTGGGAGAGAATAGGGTCTAGTGGTTAGAGCAGGCGGACTGGGAGCAGGACTCCTGGGCTCTGTTCCTCGCTGTGGGAGAGAATAGGGTCTAGTGGTTAGAGCAGGCGGACTGGGAGCAGGACTCCTGGGCTCTGTTCCTCGCTGTGGGAGAGAATAGGGTCTAGTGGTCAGAGCAGGCGGACTGGGAGCAGGATTCCTGGGCTCTGTTCCTCGCTGTGGGAGAGAATAGGGTCTAGTGGTCAGAGCAGGCGGACTGGGAGCAGGATTCCTGAGCTCTCTTCCTCGCTGTGGGAGAGAATAGGGACTAGTGGTTAGAGCAGGCGGACTGGCAGCAGGACTCCTGGGCTCTGTTCCTCACTGTGGGAGAGAATAGGGACTAGTGGTTAGAGCAGGCGGACTGGGAGCAGGACTCCTGGGCTCTGTTCCTCGCTGTGGGAGAGAATAGGGTCTAGTGGTTAGAGCAGGCGGACTGGGAGCAGGACTCCTGGGCTCTGTTCCTCGCTGTGGGAGAGAATAGGGTCTAGTGGTCAGAGCAGGCGGACTGGGAGCAGGACTCCTGGGCTCTGTTCCTCGCTGTGGGAGAGAATAGGGTCTAGTGGTTAGAGCAGGCGGACTGGGAGCCCGGACTCCTGGGTTCCATTCTCCTGTTCTGCTACTGACTCCTTGCGCAGGTTAGTGATTCAAGCCCAGATCCACAAAGGTATTTCGGTGCCGAGCTCCCACCCACTCATTATGGCCTTAAACCGTCATTTTCAACAGCAGCCACTGATTGGGGGGGGGGGCAACTGGAGACACCTGCGGCCTGCCAACCCCACGCACACGGCTGTCACCGCAGCCCCCAGGTCGGGCACCCTGTGCCAAGCTGGCCCCAGGATTACTCTCAGGTCAGGCACCCAGTGGGCGAGCCCAGCCGGGGGTAGAAGCAGGGAAAGCGCCCGGCCAGGCTTAGCAGGTGGGAGCTGGCCCAAGCTCCGTGGGGGGGAGCCTCTGATCCCTGCAGGGAGCGGGACGTCCCAACCCGCCGAGCACCTGGCTCCGGCTCCCGGCCCGGGCCCCGCAGCACGCGCTGGGCTTGCACAAGCCGCTGTTTGCACAGCCCCGTGCCGGGCAGGGGCCAGCGCCCCGGCGGGGAGGCACCTCGGCAGCCGGCCGCTGATTTGCTTGGAGGGGCCTGGAGTGAGGGGGCGGGGACCGGGGGAGGCCCCAGGGTGTCGCCCTGGCCCGGGGCTGGCCCCACTGCAGCCTGCCCGCAGCGCCGCCATGGGCTCGCTCAGCGCCGGCTCCGCGGCGGCCTCGGCCGGCCGCCTGCTCTGCGCGCCCGTCCCGCGGGTGCTGAGCGGCCGCGGCCCCCAGCGCCTGGGCGGCCGGCGGCGGGAGAGCCCCGGGGGGCTGGCGGGCGCCCGGGTGGAGCTGGCCGGGGCCGGGGCCGGGGCCGTGCCCGCCCCCGTGGTGCGGCGGGACATCCAGGCCTTTCTCCGGGAGTGCGGCGGCGGCCCCAGCGAGGCGGGCCACTGGCTGGCCAAGTTCCAGGCGCTCGGCCAGGCCGGCGGCCGCCCCTTCGCCGTCATCGAGGTGAGGGGGGCGCCGGACCCACAGCTGGGCCGGACGGCCGGGGGTAGAGCCAGGGGCACTGGACCCACAGCTGGGCCGGACGGCCGTGGGGTAGAGCCAGGGGCACTGGACCCACAGCTGGGCCGGACGGCCGTGGGGGGGGGGAGGCACAGCCGGGGACACTGGACCCACAGCTAGGTGGGGTGGGCACGGCCCAGGAGGACAGGGGGATGCAGAGTGGGAGTCGGGCATCGGACCCTGTGGGTGGGGCAAGCAGGGGACGGGTATGGCCCCAAAGCCCAGCGGGGTGCAGAGAGGGGGCAGCAGGGGTGGACGGCTGGGAGATGCTGGGGATGGGGCTGCAGAGAGGGGACACGGGGAGCTTGGAGGGACACATGGGGAGGAGCTGCAGGGCTAACTAAAAGGGGAGCCGGGATTAAAAAGGCAGCCAAGTCAAACGAGAGGCAAGGAAATAGAGTTGGAAGCAACATGGGATTAACCTGTGGGACTCACTGCCTCAGGATATTATCGAGCAGGGGTGGGCAAGCCGTGGCCCCTCGGCCACACCTGGCCCCTCAGACCATTTAATCTGGCCCTCAGCTCCTGCCAGGGAGCGGGGTCAGGGGTTTGCCCCGCTCAACTCCCAGGAAGCAGCCGGCATGACCCCCTCGGGCTCCTACGTAGTACATGGCGGCATGGCCAGGGGGCTCTGCGTGCGGCCCCGTCTGCAGGCGCCAGCCCAGAGGGGCCCATTTGTCTGCTCCGGCATCACAGGGGGAGCACATTGGGCTGTAGGGACTGATGGTCTGAGCTGGCTGATGGGCACACAGGGTCAGAGGGGTAATGGCCCAGCCAGGACAGCAGTGCCCAGAGTGGTCCCACCACTTCCTCCCTTCCCACCCCACCCACACCTGGGGGGCGGCAGCTGTCTTTAGCCAAGCACTGGCCAGGGAGAGGGCACAAGTCCTCGGAAACATTCAGCCCAGCTGTGGCTGATAGCAAGGGTCCAGATAAGGGCTGCTGATAACAGTCTCTGCTAGGGACAAAGGGCACCAAACCTTACAGGGACTGGGGTGGGGATGGGTTGATGGGGAGGGGAGGGGGTGATAGCTGTTGTGGGGAAGGGAGGGGCAACAGCTGTAGTGGGGAGGGGCTGGGAGGGGCAACAGTTATAGTGGGGAGGGGATGGGAGGGGCCGGGTAACAGCTGTCCTGGGGAGGGGCTGGGCGATAGCTGTAGTGGGGGAGGGGAGAGAACAGTCTATTGGGGGAGGCAGGGAGGGGAATTTTGGGCTGCAGCAGGGCCCCAATGTCCCCAGCCACATGGCCCCCCACCCCAGGGCTCTGCACCGGCCCTGCCAGGCCCCAAGCTCACAGCCACCCAGCCTCCTGGGGGCCCTGACACGCGGCTCCCTTGCTCTCCCGGGGGCAGGTGGATGAGGCCGTCTCCCGCTGCAAGGAGACCGTGACCAGCCTGGCCTTCAGCTTGGCCTTCCTGCAGCGCATGGACATGAAGCCCCTGCTGGTGCTGGGGCTGCCGTCCCGGAGCTCCCTGAGCGACACCCTCACCTTCCGGGATGCCAAGGCGCTGCTGACCCAGAACTGCAAGGCCCTGACGGACGCCCTGCGCCAGAACGCCGCTGCGACGATGCCCTTCTTCGGGGCCGGCGCCGTCCTAGGAGCGGAGCAGTCGGCCGCCCACTCCAGGTCAGCCGCTGAGCCTGCAGCCCTGGCTCTCCGTACCCGACCGCTGGCCCCCATTAACGCCTCTCTCTCTGCTCCCAGCGGGATCTCCGTGGACAGCGACCTGCTGCAGTGGTGCCTGGAGATGGGGAACATCCCCATCATCTGCCCCGTCGGGGAGACCCGCAGCCGCCAGTGCCTGCTGCTGGACTCCGTCGAGGTCACCACCGCCATCTCCAGGGCACTGCTGCCCACTAAGATCATCTTCCTGAACATGACCGGGGGGATCAGGAACTCTGGGCAGAAGGTGGGTAAGGGCAGCACAGGGCCTGGCACGGGAGACGCCGGCTCATGCACCCTCTGCTGCCAGGCCATGGGTTCCCATCCCGCCACTTCCGGTGCCCTGCTTCCCTCCCACCCACCGACGTCCTCCTGCCTGCTGGCCCCCCCCTGCCCGCCCTGGCCGCCTTCCCTTCACCCCTCCCCAGCTCCTGGTAAGCCCCTCCCCTGCACGGGCCGGGAAGCCACGAGACGGAGCTGAGGAGCGTGGTACACGAATGGGGAGAGGCTGGAGGGCAGGCACATACACATGGGGAGGGACCTTAGGGGGCCCACAGAGGCCTAAGGCTGCTGCTGGGATTTGCCCATCAGCTGGGAGACGGTCAAAGCAGCCCCCTGCACTGCACCCCTCTACTGGGCTGACCACGGCAGAGTGAGAGCCAACCTTCCCCACCATGCCCCATGCCTGCGTTAAGTGTCCTCCACTTGGGTTCAGCAGCTGGGCTGGGCCCATTCCAGGCCTTCCTGGAGGCAGCCGGCCTGGAGCAGGGGACGGGCCAGGAGGGCCTAACCCATGGAGCCATCGCCCATCTCCTTGCTGAGCCCCCTCCTGGCCGTGCAGGTGCTGGGGAACGTGAACCTGCCCGCTGACCTGGACCTAGTGACCAAAGCCCAGTGGGTGGGCCACAAGGAGCAGCAGCAGGTCAGGGTGATCGTCGACCTGCTGAGCTGCTTGCCCTACGAGGCCTCCGCCGTCATCACCTCTGCCGGCACGCTGCTCTCTGAGATCTTCAGCAACAAAGGTGCGTGTGGCCGCTGGGGCCTGCCCCTGCCCCGACGGGCTCAGCCCTGCCTTGCTATCTCGGAGCGGGCGGGCGGGACTGGGGAGCTGAGCTCGGCTGGAGAATTAGCACCGGCGCGGCTGGCGAATGGAGCAGGAATCAGAGCGCTGTTGCTCTGCGGGAGACCGTCCGAGTGAGCAACGCCCTTGCTCTTCCCTTTGGCTCCAGGCTCGGGGACCCTGTTCAGGAACGCCGAGCGTATGCTGCGGGCCGAGAGGCTGGAGGAGCTGGACCAGCAGCGCCTGGTCTCCTTGATCAACACCTCCTTCGGGAAGACCCTCCGAGGGGACTATCTGGCTTCCATACGGCCCAGGCTGCACTCGATCTACTTCTCAGAGGGGTAAGGAGGCCCCCTGCACGTCTGTGCTGGGCCCAGGAGCTCTAGGAGCAGGCAGGCAGAGGGCTGTTTAAGAAGGGGAGAGATCCCTAATCAGCCACTTCTAGGGGCAGCCCCTGGGGGGCAGAGTGGCCCTAGCATCTGGCTGAAGGCCGTTAGTTCTGGGGATTGTCTTGTATCCCAGAGGTCTGAAAACCTTCCCTGCCCCCCTTTCTCTGCCTGATCTGTTTAGACAGGAGACTCTTGGGGGCAGGGATTGTCTCTACCTACGGGCAGCACCTCACACCACGGGGCCAGCTAGGGCCTCTACCCTCTCATGCAGCATGAGATGGGCCTACGAAAGGCAAGTAACAGCCTTCCCGGCTGGCTCCTGTTGTACAGTACAGACCCAAACCCCAGAGCCTCTGAACCTTGGGGCCACTCGAAAGCCAGGCACAAAGCGGTTATTTCCTGTAGTGCCTGTGAGCTACTGCAAGCGGAGCGCTGGGGTAACTCTAGTCGCAGCTGCGTGGGCCCAGGGGAGTGAGGGAGGGAGAACAGAAGGTGCAAAATCTCCTCCCTACCTCTTGGAAGCCTTCCCTGCCACGCAGAGTCTGTTTGTGCCGCTCCCAGGCCCGCTCACCCTGCCCTTTGTCACCCAGCTACAACGCAGCAGCCATCATCACAAAGGAGCCGGTCCTGGGCGGCATGCCATACTTGGACAAGTTTGTGGTCAGCTCCACCAAGAAAAGCCAAGGCTCCGGCCAGATGCTGTGGGAGTGCATACGGCAGGACCTCAGGACCCTCTTCTGGAGGTCTCGCGTCACCAACCCCATTAACCCCTGGTAAGTGGAAAGGGGAACTGAGCAGAGCAGCATTTCCATTGAGAATGCCACCCTCCTGGTGGACACCGACACAGAAGCACATCTGTTCTGGGCTCAAGTTTTAAACACACTAATGGTTCTCCTGCTATTCGAGCCCTGGGCTCCCCAGCACACAGCTCTGCCAACACCCCACAACCCTGCCCTGCAGCCCCCCTGCTATTCCAGCCTTGGGGTCCCCACACCCAGCTCTGCCAACACCCCACAACCCTGCCCTGCAGCCTCCTGCTATTCCAGCCCTGGGGTGTCCACACCCAGCTCTGCCGGTGCCCCACAACCCTGCCCTGCAGCCTCCTGCTATTCCAGCCCTGGGCTCCCCACACCCAGCTCTGCCAACACCCCACAACCCTGGCCTCCCCACACCCAGCTCTGCCAACGCCCCACAACCCTGCCCTGCAGCCCCCTGCTACTCCAGCCCTGGCCTCCCCACACCCAGCTCTGCCAACGCCCCACAACCCTGCCCTGCAGCCCCCTGCTACTCCAGCCCTGGCCTCCCCACACCCAGCTCTGCCAACGCCCCACAACCCTGCCCTGCAGCCCCCTGCTACTCCAGCCCTGGCCTCCCCACACCCAGCTCTGCCAATGCCTCTCACTCCTGACTGCAACACCCCTGCTACACCAGGGCTGGGCCCTTCCACCACTCCGCTGGTCCATCTGTACTCTGATGCAAAGCACCCCCTACTACACCAGGCCTAGGTTTCCCATGCCACCCTGCCAATGCCCCTTAACGCTGACCTGTCCCCTCCTCCCACTCACTCTGGACCTCCCCCTCTGTAAGACAGAATTACCACTACTATGCCACTTACAGAGGGGCTGCAAGGATACAATCATGGATGTCTAGGAGGGACTCAGATGCTCTGAGTGCCCAGGTAGATACAGTGGGTGGCAAGTCTGACCCAGTATTATCCCTGTAATGGTATCAACGGACGCTCCTGTTGCTCTGTGGGATACAGATATTGCTCTGGGACTAAGCATTTGTTTTGTTTCCGTCAGGTATTTCAAGCACAGTGATGGAAGCTTCACCAACCACCAGTGGATCTTCTTCTGGTTTGGACTGTCCGACATCCGGGATTCCTATGAGCTGGTAAACCATGCAAAATCCATTCCAGACTCATTTTGCAAACCATAGGGCAATCTTACTAGGTCAGAGTGAGTGCGGAGCAGGTCGGGCTTGGGAGGAGTCAGGCTTTTGTACATCAAGACTGGATAAGAAGAAACAGAATGGCCAGCCATGCATGGAGCTGCATGTACCTTCCCAGAGAAATAATTGGCACGAAGAACCCTCTTGGCCAATTCAGCACCCAGCTTTTAATAAAGTGCTAGGGAAGCCTGCGTTGTGCAGACTGTTGCCAAGAGAAGTTAGAGCGAGGGGGTCGGGACTCTTGGGTTCAAGTCTCATCTCTGCCACTGACTCACCGTGGGACCTTGGCAAGGTCACTTCCCCTCTCTGTGCCTCACCTTCCCGACCTATAAAATGGGACCAACAAGGCTCCATTAACGAACGTGTAAAAAGAGCAGCGACATCTTTCCTTACAATCCTGTGGAACAGTAAGTAGGAGTCACACACAAGCTTGTATTTATAGGAGCCAACAGCCTGGGTGTGGAGTTTTACATACAATGTGTATAGCAGAAAACAGACAACAAGAGTAGCTGGAAAGCATCAACTTTTAATGTGATTTTTGGCTTCTTTTTCAAGGTGTCTCACCTTTCTTTAGTATGATGTTAGGGTCTTATTAATTTCTCCTTAACCAGTGCCTAAGGCTACTGAGCACCAAAACTGATTGACAAATGTCAGCTGGGAACTTCAGAGCGGACAAAGGGACACAGACACCAAACCACCAGTGAAATTCCAGCTAATGCCTCTAGCCCCTTTGAAAACCCCACATGTAAACAGGGGGTAAAATTGTCAGAAGTTGACAACTGATTTAGTTGGGGATTGGTCCTGCTTTGAGCAGGGGGTTGAACTAGATGACCTCCTGAGGTTCCTTCCAACCCTGATCTTCTATGAAGTGACAAAGGCCCATATTTGTAAAAGCATTTAGGCATTGATGCACTCAGCATTGCGACACCTAACTGATTTAGGAACCTAAACCTCATTTTAAGAGCCTAAATCCTATTGACTGTCAATGGGATTTTGGCACCTAAGTGCTTAAATCCCTTTTGAAAATGAGATGTCGGTTCCTAAATCAGTTAGGTTTCACTGAGCACCGCAATGCCTAAATACTTTTCCAAATCTGGGCCTAAGTGACTTAGCAGCCTATGGCCCATTTCAAAGCCTAAGTCTTATTGTCAGGGGGATTTAGGCTTCTGAGCAACTTTTGCAAATGGAAACAGGTTCCTAAGTCCCCTGGACACTTTTGAAAATGCTACCCAGATCACAGACTTACTCGTGCAGCATCCCTGGCAGTGAAATATTTAAATGTCAAATTGCTAGATATTTGCCATGAATCTACTGTGAACTCTTGCTAGTCAGCCAGTAACGAGCAAGAGAAGTAAGTCTGAGATGATCTCTTTAAGCACTAGCATCGCCTGTGGCAGGGTTAAAGGAGAACCTGTCTGGTTAAGTGCCAGGAACCTGCAATGAACTCTTAAAATGCTGGCGCTACCCAACGTGAGCACCAGTAAGCCCGAGAGGAAATATACACGCACCATAGCTTCAACTTGTTAGGCACAAGCTAAAAGCAACGTACATGTGAAGCGGAAGATGGGAGACCAGATAGGAGAGGAGCTGGGCAGCAGGACTCAAGACCTGGACTTGGTTCCCAGCTCTGCCACAGATTTCTTGCATGACTTTGGGCAAGGCAGTTCATCCTCAGTTCCCCATCTGTACAATGGGGATGACAACACGGCTGTGCCTCAGAGGGGTGGTGGAGGACAAATGAATAAGTATCTGGGAGGTACTAGGTACTCCACTGATGCCCGACACCTCTCAAAGTCAGCCTGCTTATTTAGGTGCCTAACTTTGTTAAAAAATTCTGGCCTATATGTCTCTCTTGCCACCTTAAGTAAGTTGGTGGCTTAAGTAAGATCTGACGTTCTGGCTCTGGAGTGGAAATGCAGCTGAAGTTTCCTCCGTTCACATGCCTGTGATTCGGGGGAAGACAGGAAGGATGGCCCAGTAGTTAGGGCACAAGCCTGGATTCGGAAGACTCAAGGTCTGTTACCTGCACAGCCATGGACACCAAGAGTTACTTTAGGCCTTTGAGTCTCAGTTCCCCATCCGTAACATAGGATTAATAGACATGGCTTAGCAGGTGTGTGTGGGATGAACATAGTAAAGCTTGTGAGGTGCTCAGATAACAGTAATGGGGACCAGAGAAGTACCACCTTGATTAAAGCCAAACAACGTCCATTAAGAAATAAAACTCAAGGAATGGAGTTAAAAGCCTTTTCTCATTTAATCATCAGAAATACATGATGGGGAAAGTGGTTTAGAAAACAGGGAAGACTCAAAAGCAGGACAAAGTGGAAGGCTTGAGCTAGGCAGTTGAGACAATGCCCGTGTTTAAGAGCTCTCCTTAGGCGGGCACGGCCCTGAAGCTAGAGAGATCCTGCATGCAGCTGGCCTTGCAACAAAAGACAAACCAAATCTGGTGGCAGGAGGCCCTCATGGGGCAAAGGCAGCATGTGACCTTATAACATGGAGCGTAGTCTCCGAACCTGCCCCTGACTCTGACAGTTACTAACCAGGGTTGTAAGACGTGGAAATGGGGGGTTGGGAACTGGACTTTTCTCCCCTTTCAAGCTTCCCTTCCTCACTCAGTCACTCCACCCCAGCACTCTGGAAATCCCACCTCTCTTAGGGGGACGGGTAGCAGCTCCCCTCTCTATGAAGCTGTTCTTTCCCCCAGGCTTTGGCAGGCAGGATTGTCCGGTTGTAAAGCAGCATCCATCTGCTCCCTCCATTGGGCTGTGCTAGGAGACAAGCCAGTGCACAACGGATTCACGTGCATGCTCCAATGATGGACTGGAGACAGCATGGACGTATGCACACAGAGCGGGAGGAGAGGCAAAATTATTCCCTTCTCATCTCTGGAGCAGCTTCCTTCTCCCTCTCAAGAGCATTGAGGGTTGTTCCCCTTTGAAATCGCTCCTCTCCACAGCACTGCATCCTTTCGGGGAGCAGGGTTTCTTTGTAACCACATGAAATTGCTTAAGTAATGGAGTAACTAATGACTCCTTAAGGTGCCACCGGACTCCTTGTTTTTGTGGATACAGACTAATACGGCTACCCCCTGATAATGGAGTAAGGGTACTCTGGCTTGGCCACTGGCCCATTGGGTGATCTTGGGCAAGTCATGTCCCCGCTCAGTGCCTTGGTTTCCCCATCTGTACAATGGGGATAATGACATTGACCTCCTTTGTAAAGCGCTTTGAGATCTACTGATGCAAAGTGCTAAATAAGAGCTAGCTTATTATTACCGTTCTCCCCACCCACCACACACAATGATCCCCACACACCCCACTCATTGCAACCAATATGCAGAATTCACCAAAGACGATGAAGGGGCAGCGTTGAAGTCCCCCATTCAGTTCAACATTGGCTTCTTTCCAGTAACCAATCATCTGGCTCTCCAGAGGGACTCCAAAGCTTCCAGGATCCACTCCTCCTTTCAGCAGAGGAATTATGCTCCTCATACCACTCATGGAGCTAGTCTGACCCTGTGGGCAGCTGTTCTACAGTGTCCGGGAGGACCCCTCCCCTTTGCTGCTACACAGAGGCAGAAGAGTGAGGTTCTATAGGGCTGTGCTTAAAACACCTGTCAAAGTGCGATGAAGGACTAACGTGCTCGAGAAGGAGGCAGCCGCTGAGTCCCCTGGCCCGTCAGTGGGAAAAAATCAAATAGGAATTTTTTTAAAGTAGTAAAAAAAAGAATAAATAATGGTGATTTTAAAAAAAACCTAATCCCATCCCCTTCCCCAAACTGCAGAGCCCTCCCCCAAGCCTGTCCTATCCGCCCCCACATGTCCCATCTCAACCATCCGTGGCCAAGATGATGATAGCCCCGAAGATACCAACGTTCTGCCCGATGAGTTTCATCTGGTTCCAGAACTCGACGCGCCGGGAGTCATGCCAGTAGCCGAGGTTCCCATCAATGAACAGGATGACCAGGGGCAGGATCACCGAGAGGATCTGGGCGGCTGTGCTGATGTAATAGCCGGACAGGAATGACAGGGCCAGCACCCCATAGAGGATGAAGAGTAGCTGCAGGGTGATCTCCCCACCTAGGATGTGGTTGAGGTAAGCCAGACGATCCTCTTTGCTGTGCTGGAGGGAATAGGCCTGTAGGGTGCAGTGGAACAGTAAGCCAAGAGGTAGGAGCAAATTCATATACTCTGAATATGTCTGTACTGCAGTCAGGATGTGTGACTGCAGCACAGTTAGACATATCCAAGCTAGCTTTGATCTAGCCCCATCCAGCCAGGACCATGGGTACATATTCCAAACTCCCTCCCCACCCCGCCCAGTGGCACACATACAAAATGGGAAATGACTGCCTAGGCAGGAGTACTACGGAAAGGGATCTGGGGGTCACAGTGGATCACAAGCTAAATATGAGTCAACAGTGTAGCACTGTTGCAAAAAAAGCAAATATCATTCTGGGATGTATTAGCAGGAGTGTTGTAAGCAAGACATGAGAAGTAATTCTGCTCTACTACTCCACGCTGATTAGGCCTCAACTGGAGTATTGTGTCCAGTTCTGGGCGCCACATTTCAGGAAAGATGTGGAGAGATTGGAGAAAGTCCAGAAAAGAGCAACAAAAATTATTAAAGGTCTAGAAAACATGACCTATGAGGGAAGATTGAAAAGATTGGGTTTGTTTAGTCTGGAGAAGACTGAGAGGGGACATGATAACAGTTTTCAAGTATATACAAGGAGGAGGGAGAAAAATTGTTGTTCTTAGCCTCTGAGGATAGGACAAGAAGCAAGGGGCTTAAATTACAGCAAGGGCGGTTTAGGTTGGACATTAGGAAAAACTTCCTAACTGTCAGGGTGGTGAAGCACTGGAATAAATTGCCTAGGGAGGTTGTGGAATCTCCATCATTGGGGATATTTAAGAGCAGGTTGGACAAACCCCTGTCAGGGATGGTCTAGATAATACTTAGTCCTGCCTTGAGTGCAGGGGACTGGACTAGATGACCTCTCGAGGTCTCGTCCAGTTCTACGATTCTATGTTGCTGCAGCTTCACTGCTATCGTTACTAAAGCTAGCTCAGGGATGTCTACATGTAGTGCAATCACATCTCCCAAATGCAGTGTAGATGTATCCACAGCCTTTCATCCCAAAAGGCTTTGGGGATTGTGTGCGCAATGGCAGCTGCTTAACTGCATGCACCCAATTACTACCCAGCAGTTTAGGGGTGCAGGAGACCAACTGAAACTGAAGGAAGCACAATGCAATTCATAGAGTATAGGCCAAAAGGGACCATTATGATCATCTAATCCGAGCTCCGGCATAGCATATCAGGACTTCCCGGAATTAATTCCTGCTTCAAGCCTGCTTGTGGTTGAACTAGAGTGGATCTTTTCGAAAAACAGCCAACCTCGATTTAAAAATTTTCTAGCGATGGAGAATCCTCCACAACCCTCAGCAAATTGTTCCAGTGGTTAATTACCCTCACTGTTAAAAATTCATGCCTTATTTCCAGTCTGAATTTGTCCAGCTTCAACTTCCAGAAACTGGCTCTTGTAGATCTTTGTCTGCTAGACTGAAGAGCCCATTATCAAGTGTTTGTTCCCCTTGTAGGTACTTCCAGACTGTAGTCAGGTACCCCCTTAATCTTCTCTTTGTTAAGCTAAACAGACTGAGCTCCTTGAGTCTCTCACCATCAGGCAGGTTTTCTAACCCTTTAATTCGTCTTGTGGCTCTTCTCTGACCCCTCTCCAATTTATCAACATCCTTCCTGAATTGCGGGCAACAGAACTGGGCACAGGATTCCAGCAGTGGTCACACCAGTGCCAAATACCAAGGTAAAATAACCTCCCAACTTCTACTCGAGATTTGCCAGTTTATTACTAGTCTGAATGTATCTAGCTTCAACTTCTAACCATTGGATCTCATTATAGTTTAATCATCAGCCTGGAATTTGGCCAGGAGACTAAAGTTAATAACTGACTTTTGCACAAAGCACCATGGGATCAGAATGCCAGTTTTACATCCCCTTTCTGAAAGCCGGTGGCACAGAGCCCCCTGCTGTCATGCTGGGGGTTCTGATTAAACACAGCCGCAGCAGGAAGGAATAGTGCCTGCTACTCAATCAGACAATAACCACAAAGACTAAGGGCATAACTGGTGCCAAAATACTATCTCCATTTCTCTGCCTCCTCAACCCTGCAGGGCTGTTCTTAGGGATCATGGAAGCTGATGCTCCTCCCACAGAGCCAATCCACGGCCTCTGTTTCTGTCCAGTCTGTGGCTTTCTAAACACCCCAGAATCCTTTGCAGTAGGCTGCAGGGGTGTCCAAAGGAGGTGCAGTTGGCAGCTAGTGCAAAGAATTCTAGTGACATCCAAAGGCGCCTTGCTGCACCTAAATGAACAAAAGTAGGGAGTAGCAAAAAAGTCCACAGGCAGAGCAAGCAGGTCAGGGCTGGGCAGTAACCATGGCAGCTGGGGTGTTTCTCTGGCAACAGCCCCTTCTAGTCCAAGGGACACCCTAAGTGGCCACCTGTGCCCCACAGAGAATCCCCCCCAGCTCTGAAGGGCCTGCCGACAAGAAAGAACAGCAACAGATGTGCAAATTGTAAATATCCATATTGCCTCTGCTAACAAGCAAAGAGGCGAGAGGCCTTGTCTGATCTCCCCCCAGCTGTGACACAAGCTGCTCCAACACCCACACTTTCCCAATTACAGCCACATGCAAAGTGCTAAATCCCAGTTTCTTTCTGATCACCCCACTTAGTCCCCCCGCTCTGGTGATTCCAATGCAAGCCAACGCATGCTGGCTAGCAATGGCAGAGCTGTGCATGGAAGCCAGCTCTGAGCTAAGTCCACCGTGGCACCAGCCAGCTCCTGCCCCGCTGGGTACACACCACGCAGATGAGGTAGATGCCGAGGAAGACCTGCCCAGTGGACTGCAGGGACCTGCTCCGTGGCTTCTGACGATAGATCTCACCAGCCCCACTCGCCAAGATCAGGAACCCCCCAATGATAGCTATGGTTCGTGAGTACATCCTCACCTGCAGGGGGAATCACACAGTGTGTGTATCAGTTAGTGACTGGGAAATGAAAAGGAGCCCCATAAACTTAAAAGAAGTAAAAGAACGAGGCATTTAGATACATGAAAACAGCATCTGCAGGGGCATTACACTGGATACAGACCTCTCATCTTCACATTTCAGGGCACAAGCTGATCATCAGCTGAGGTCAGGAAGAAAGCATGTAGGCTTGTAGTTAGGTGCACTATGCAATCTCACTGAAGTAGCTGCTTTGGCCACGAGATAGCGGACTAGCAGGATCAAAATGGGGGCAGAAGTGGAGGGGAAGAAAAGGGTGATGGGGATAATTCTTGCGCTCACTGAAATAACAACATGGAGACTGAAGCCTTCTTCTATTCACAAAGCAGATGCAACCCAGGCATTAGCAGGGCTTACACCGTCCTGATCTCAAGGAGCAAGGGAGCACTTCGGTCTCTACGGCTTCTTAATTCCTTGCCCTCCCTGCTGGAAGAGCCAACAAGGAGGCTCAATGATGATGAAAGCTTCACTTGGATGTTGGGGCCTGGACTGTACACTCATTTCAGATAGGCCAAACACTCCAGAGTTACTAAGCGAGGCTGGCATGGGGACAGACGAGAGGCAGCTGCCCCCTAGCTGATCAGCCACCCAGGGAATTCCGATGAACACCTCACCTTCAACCAGTCACCATAGTGCACATAGCCCCCGATATACGCCGCGTACGTGCTGACAGCCAGCTGAAGAGCAGCTCCCAATGCAAACCACCTGCGCTTCACCCCAAAGGACATGAAGCTGGCACACAACACCGCTGCCCCCATGTCCAAGTACAGATAAGGGACGGGGATGTCGGGTTTCCTATGGGGAGACAAGGAAGGAGCTTCAATCCAGTTGGACATTTGAGGAATCAAGTCATACCACGTAAGCAGGACAAAGCAGCCACAACCCTCCATCCGCATGTGAGCCCAGGGTGCCCAACTGTGTTTGGGCACTGCCTTAGGGAGAACTCTGCTCTCAGGCTGGAGATATTAGAGACCTGAGCTGTCTCTCTCACATTAGCCTGTGGATAAATGTCCCACTGACAGCCCCGGACAGGGAGGTCCTGTATTTCTCCTGGAGTATGTACAGGTCAAATAGTGGCAAGGCAAGTTTCCCCACGTCACCCCATCAGCATGCCTCAACTGCAGCCTTCTCTAACAATAATATAATAATCCCATGCTCTTATATAGCTCTTTTCCTCCATAGATCTCAAAGCACTTTCCAAAGGAGATCAGTATCATTATCCCCATATTACAGAGGGGGAAACTGAAGCGCAGAGAGGAGAAACAAATCCACCCAAAAAATAAAATATAATAAGTTCTCCAGGGCAAGGTCTATTATTGTATTTGTACAGCGCCTAGCACAATAGAGGCCCATCTTGGTTGACCCATAGGCACTACCATAATAAACATGAGTAATAATGATAAGCAAAATACTCAAGGTCACCCAGCAGGCCAGTGGCAGAGCCAGGAATAGAACTCACATCTCCTGAGCCCTAGTCCAGGGATCTATCCACTAGGCAACACTGCCTCCCCTAATGCCTACCATGAATTGGAAGGGAGGCCACTCAAATTATCCAAGCTTGCTGTTCCACGTGTTCTGAAAATAAGCTCAAAGCCATTCACAGTGCCTCTCTGGGTGACCCAGCACCACACCAGTGCCATCAGAAAGGCTCCACCTCTAACTCCCCAAAGGCACATGCAGGGCCACAGAGTTTCCACTCCAGCATTAGCTGCATCTGGGTATTGCAATACAAATAGGGTGGCCACCTTTCTAATTGCTGGTAATGGGCCCTGCCCTGACTTTTTCCCCCAAGGCCCCACCCCTGCTCCACTTCTTCCCTTGAGTTCCCACCCCCTTCTCCACCTCTTCCCCCAAGGGTCCACCCCATCACACACGCCTCTCCCGTCCTTGCTGGCTGGATCCACCCCACTTTTCTCCCCACCACCACCCGGGCTCCCTCTGCTGATCCAGGGCTGGGACAGGAGCTGCTGCAGGCCAACAAGGAGCCTGCGGGCAGGTAGGAGGCAGCCCCCAGCTAAGCAGGGGCTGGGTTAATGACCAGGCACTTCCCCCCACCTCGCAGTAACTGAACTTTACAAAACCGGGCACCTGGCAACCCTAACCAGGAAGAGTCTAGCCCCTCACATAAGCAATAGTGAAGCACCATGAGGTAGGTACGGTAAGGAAGGATTTAGAGCCTGAGCTAGAGTCCCTGGGCTTAAGGCAGAGCCTTGATGTTCTTTTAGCACCAGCAGATGCAAGGCCATTAACCAGACCATGCCTAGGAACAGCGTGTAGCCCAGCCAGCTGCTGGCCTTTCGGGGATCAATTCTCACCCTACCTTTAACCCTGCCCTTCCCCATGACCCCAATGCCCCCCTCCCCAGCTATCCTCACTCCCACCCCCATCCCGAACCCTCTCCTCCTCCCCCACCCATGACCCTGACTCCATCGATCCTAACGTCTAGGGCCTCCTCCCTTCTCCTCCCCACCCCCGACTCCTCCCCTGCCCCTCTCCCTTCTGACTCCACCTCACCCCCGACTCCTTCCCTTCTGGCTCCTCCCCACCCCTGACTGCTCCCCTGCCCCTCCCCAACTCCTCCCCCATCCCTCCTGACTGCTCCCCTGCCCCTCCCCCTCCCCATCCCTCCTAACTCCACCCCACCCCCGACTCCTTCCCTGCCCCTCCCCCATCCCTCCTGGCTCCTCCCCACCCCCGACTCCTTCCCTGCCCCTCCCCCATCCCTCCTGGCTCCTCCCCACCCCCGACTCCTTCCCTGCCCCTCCCCCATCCTTCCTGGCCCCTCCCCCCATCCCTCCTAACTCCACCCCACCCTCGACTCCTTCCCTGCCCCTCCCGCATCCTTCCTGACTCCACCTCACCCCCAACTCCTCCCCCATCCCTCCTAGCTCCTCCCCCACCCCCGACTCCTCCCCCATCCCTCTTGGCTCCTCCCCCCATCCCTCCTGGCTCCTCCCCACCCCCGACTCCTCCCCCATCCCTCCTGGCTCCTCCCCACCCCCCCGACTGCTGCCCTGCCCCTCCCCCCATCCCTCCTGGCCCCTCCCCTATCCCTCCTAACTCCACCCCACCCCCGACTCCTTCCCTGCCCCTCCCGCATCCTTCCTGACTCCACCTCACCCCCCAACTCCTCCCCCATCCCTCCTGGCCCCGCCCCCATCCCGCCTGACGCCCCCGGCCCCGCCCACCTGCGGGCGTCGGCCCGCTCGGCGAAGAGCATGAGGGCGCTGAGGCAGTTCCAGAAGGGGAAGCGCGTGAGCAGCACCGAGCCGAGCTGCATCAGCAGCCGCAACAACCGCCGCCGCCGAGCCCCGGCCGCCGCCATCTTAGTGCGGGGCAGCCCGGCCGGTCCGGCAGCGCGCTTCCGCTCGCGTCCGTGCCCACACCTGCCCGGCCGGAAACGCGCCCTGCCAGCACGGGGGTTCCGGCCACGGGAGGTTCCCCTGGGAGGTGCGGGGGTGGGCGCAGGCTCCCTCCAGCCCCGCTGGAGTCGATGTCCCCCCCCCCTCCTCGCCCAGCACTGCGGGACACTACAGGGCCCGGCCGGCCAGGGCAAGGGCAGCCCCCCCGCCCACGCCTGCACCAGCCAGCTGCTTCGAGGGAGAGAGAACCCGGGAGATCTGCGCCTCCCCTCCCCCTGCCGGGAACAGAACCCAGGAGTCCTGCCTCCCACCACCTCCCGGTTCCAACCCTGTACCCCTTTCCCTGCTAAGGGCTGGCAAGAGAACCCAGGAGTCCTGACTCCCAAACCCCCTGCCCAATGCATGCACCTCCCTATTCCCTGCTAAGGGCTGGCAACAGAACCCAGGAGTCCTGATTCCCAATTCTCTCCCCGCCTCATTCCCTTCCAAGAGCTGGGATCAAACCCAGGAGTCCTGACTTAGTCCCTCCTCCAACCACCACTCCCCTCCCACAAGAGGGGACAGAACCCAGGGGTCCTGACTCCCAATCCCCTCCCCGACCCATTCCCTTCCAAGAGCTGGGATCAAACCCAGGGGTCCTGGCTTAGTCCCTCCTCCAACCACTGCTCCCCTCCCACAAGAGGGGACAGAACCCAGGGGTCCTGACTCCCAATCCCCACCCCTTCACCCTCAGCCCCTAAACCCCAGCCCCTTCCACAAACTGGGATTAGACTCCAGGAGTCACGGCTGGGTCGGTCCCCACCCTGCTGTCACGCTCCTCTCCCTGTCCTTCAGTGCTGCCCTGGGAGTGCTTGCCATATTTCTAGCTGATAATCGGTCAATAAACCCTGGCCCTGGGCCTTCAGGTGCCAGCCTGCAGCTTTGCCCATCGGTGTAGATGGTTCCGTGGGAGAATTCACCTCTTTCTCCCTTCGCTGGCTGGGGGACCCCGGACGGACCTACAGAGAGCTCAGGCCTGCCAAGAACACCTTACATTTTGCTCCTACAGCTGGTGAATTCCAGCGTGATGGGGGGATTAATTAAAAATGTGGGATTATGGGATGCTGGCTTCCTGCCCTTAGTGTGTGTTTTCTGCAAATGCAGTAAATCCAGCTTTAGGACGCAGAGCTGGCTTCGATGTCAGCGGATAATACCTGAGCTCACTTAGATTGGGGATGAGATGGTAGAGGGATGGGGGACCAATGATCTTCTGTTCAAGGGCATTTCAGTCTGGGCCCTGGACTTGTGATGGGCCAGATTTCCCCCACTCTCGTAACTGGCTTCACTGCTATTTGACTAACAGCCAGGTTTCCAACGGCTCAGCACCCATGTATGTGTATTACAGATCCCGCTCTGTGCTAACCCACAGAGAACAAGGCTGTTACAGGGATCAATTATCAAACCTACCTCCAGCTGTACCAGCTCCCACTTTTAGCTCTGGAGGTCCTGGTTCAGCCCTCCTGGTGCTGGTATATATGACAGCCCTCACATGGGCACCTAGATAAGTATTAGATTTGCAGAAGCGATGCTTACAGCTGGGTTTTCCAAGCAGCCCAGCACCCAACACGTACAGCTGTTTGGAAAAACCCAGCTACTTACCTTGCTGCCTAAATGGGGGGCTGAGCACTTGTGAAAATGTGGCCTGTCCCCCAACCCCTTCTGGGCCTTAAACAAGTTGATGGGGTTCCAGCCAATGAGCAAAATTCTCCTCTTCGCCTGAACCGCAAGCGCTCATACGCAGGCGTGTAACTTTACACGCAGGAGTAGTTCCGCTGAGTTCAATACTCTCCCTGCTAACGAGTAGAGTCCCCCACCGCCTCCATACGGAGCCCGGTCTTACGGCCCAAGCTCTGGCCAGGACATTTTCAAAGGGCAGGTAGGTTTAGAGAATTAGGGTTGCCTAGCTTTGAATTGTACTTGAACTCATTCCGTGTGCGTCTTACCAGTTCTCAGCCTAGACCCAGGCGCTGCCATGCCCGTTGGCATTAGGGGGGTTGTGTGCATGATACCCTGTGCAGGGCATTCAGTCTGCGCTCCACAGAGACAAGGGTGTCCCAACCAGGAGCGAAACGGAGTGGGACATGCAAGAGGAAGGCTCGGCTTGTGGAGCGGCACTGGACTGGAAAAATCTGGGTTCGCATCCCAGCTGGGTCACAAATTTCCAGCATGACCTTGGTCAGGCTTTCAAGCGGTCACCACCCATAACTGGGGTCAGGTTTTTAGACGCCCAGAGCCCTGGGGACATGTGTGTCCAACAGCCATCCTGTTGAGCACGTTGGAAAATGTGGCCCTAGCCTTCAGCTTCCTGTCTGTAAAATGGGGATAAGATTTCACCTGGGCACGGTGGAGATAAATCCAAAACCACTTAAGAGGTGCTCAAATAACAATACTTAGACCGTTCCATTAATAGGGCTCACAGCCATTTAGAAAGGAAGCCAGGGCCATTACCCCCATTTTACAGATGTGGAAACTGAGCAAGAGAGGGAAAGTGACCCCATAGGTCAGAAGTAGAGCAAGAAACAGAACCCAGGTTTCTGGAGTCTCAGTTCACCACCCGGCATGCTTACTACACTGGTGGGGAACCAAGAGGCACATTTGGCCCAGCCATCATTTCACTGTATCTCACTATCCCCTACTGGCCCTGGATTCAGGAAACAAGACCTGCCTGGCCCTTTAATTAGCACCGAGACATTAGAAGAGGGGAGAGAGTTTGGAGAGACCAGTGGGAAACGCTGCCAACCAGCGTCACTGGGCCCGGAAGCTCCCTGGGGCAGGGGCTGTCTCTCTGTGCTGTACACACAGAATGAGGGGGCCCTGCTCCAGCGCCTTGGGACGCCTTGGCCTGTTGCAATACACACGGTAAACACCACACACGCACCCAGGAAAACCAGATTTTATTTCTTTTCCACGACAGGATTATGCAGCCTGGCGGCTGTACAAGGCTACCATTGGGAAGAGCATCGTTAATTATCTTAGCAGCCAGGAAACCCTTGACACAAAGGTTTCCCAGTAGAGGACTCCACAGGGGATTTGCCCCAGCCCGAAGAGCTGCTGGCAGACATGAGCTTTGGGACCGGCTCAAAACACAGCACTGCTCTCTGCCTGCAGGACTGTTTAGCAGGAGCCTGAGTGGGGAGGTGATTCAGGGCCTGATCCTGTAAGACGCACAGCCCTTCCTCATTAGGGGAAGCCCCAGGCAAGCAGCTCCTCGCAGGATCAGGCCCTTAGCTGGAACAGAACCACTGAACGTGCTCAGGTGTCACAATCCCTAGTCTGCCCCCCGCCCTCCAGCTGTCCTGTTGCTCCCACATTCCTTGCCAGATCAAGCCGAGAGGTTCATGCCCCACAAATCGTAAAATCTCCTGGCCCCCAGGAGAGCTGCCTGGCTCATCTGTGACACCAAACACACGACCTGACCTGACCTAATCCCCACTCTCCTTCTCCCTCCAAGAGGCACTCGGGCCTCCTGGCGGGGCTGGACGCGGCCCCGCTCTCCAGCCGCTCGCCCTCCGGCGGGAGGATTTGTAATGCACTGGTTAATCCAGAGCTGCTGCCTTTTGCTGAGCTGTGTGGCTGGGTCCGGGACTGGGCCGAGGGGGTGAATGTGCAGCCAGGGCCCTGTGGCTTGGAGCATGGTTCACAGCACCCCTGGGCCAGCTGGGAGGGGGGCTGAGGGCTAGCCAGAGGCTCTGGACAGCACCCTGCAACCACAGCCAGTACCCTGCTGCCGAGGCCTCTGTGCTCTTCAGGGCGTTGGTTTAGGTGCAAAGGGAGGGTCAGAACTAGGCCAGAGCTCCTAGGCAAGCTTCCCCCAGGCAGCCCTGGCCTCAGGATTGATGTGGAGCAGGTGGGTGGAACCTTATGGCTCCTTCCGGCCACTGAGTCAAGGGCCCCCCACTAGCCCACAAGGTTTCACTTGCAGAGCAAACAACCAGCTCTGCCTTGCAGCTCCCCACCCACTGCCCTGGTGTCACGGGGTCCCCGGGCGATGCTCTGGAACTGCTCCCCATGAAGCCAGTCAGGACTCTGGGGAAGTCGCCTTTCTGGGAGCAGCCTGTCTTCAGGACACACAGCTCCCACCTTCCTGGGTCTGACCTTGGAGCATTCAGCATCCTCTGCCCCTCCGTGCGCTTCCCACAGCGAGTCCGCTCAGGCAGGGTCCTGCACCCCAACTCCGCAGTCAGACGTGACTCTCAGCCAGCCAGTAAAACAGAAGGTTTATTAGACGACAGGAAGATGGTCTAAAACAGAGCTTGTAGGTGCAGAGAACAAGACCCCTCAGCCGGGTCCATTTTGGGGGGCAGTGAGCCAGACAACCACGTCTGCCCCTTCACTCCATGTCTCCAGCCAGCCCCAAATTGAAACTCTCTCCAGCCCCCTCCTCCTCTGGGCTTTGTCCCTTTCCCACCTGATTCCTTTGTTCTCCAACCCTTTAGCTCTCACCTTGCAGGGGGGAAGGGCCCAGCCCATCAGGTGCCAGGAAACAGGGTGTCGGCTATTCTCTGTGTCCAGACCCTTGCACACACCTGTCCTCTAGGGCTCTGCAATGATCATACACCCTTACCCCACCACCTAGATACTTAAGAACTGCCTAGGGGAAACTGAGGCACCCCCACACTATTCAGAGGAACCATTAAGAACAGTCCCACTTCATCACACCTGGCCTCCAGGGGGAGAAGCCAAGAGAAGCCCCAGCCGCCCCGAACCAGCGCTTCCCACAAGGCAGCGCTTTAACACTGCCCCCACACGGCAACGGGCCAGCTCGGCGCAGAGTGCGGGGGACTGAGAACGGCGGGATCGAGCGTCAGGACCCCCGCGTTCTATTCCCAGATCGCTGCGCTGACCTTGACCGAGGTGCCGTGCCTCAGTTTCCCCAGTTGTAAGGCAGGGGTAATCCCTGCCTCGTAGGGGAGGGCTGCAAGGCCTCACGGAGCCAGAACTGCTGAGTTGAGGGGCAAAACCAGAGCACCGTTCCCTTTTCCCTCCCATCAGCCCTGTGGAGCCAGCGTAGTCGGGGGGGGGGCGGGGAGGGGATGAGATTCCCTTCCTCCCCCGCTTCACCACGTTCTAGTCGGCTACATCTGTGCAATCCCCCCATAGGCCAGCAGGGGGCAGGAGAGGCGTCACTGAGGGCAGCTATTAAAAGGCAGCATGTGGGGGCGGGGGTGCCCGAGGGAGGGTTTGAATGCCGGGGAGGGGAGACAGGTGCAGGGGTGCGGCAGGGCAGCCGTTGGCGTGGCGATGAGCCGGTGAAAGGAAGGGACCTGGCCCAGCTCTCAGCCCCTGCCCTTTGGAGAGGGGACAATTTGTGGGGATGGGGGGCAGGGAAATCATTTCCCTCATGTCCAGGTGCACGTTTCGGGACCAAGTGGGAGGCCCCTGCGGTCAGTGCAGCAGCCGTGGCTCTGGGCAGGGCGGCGCTGGATAAACCGTCCCCACACCAGGCATCTGGGCTTGGGTCCCGGGGAGCTGGGAATAGGGCCCGTCAGCGCGGATCCAGGAGAGCTCAAAAGCCGCGGCAAAGGACCCGGCTGCTTCTCACGCACCAGGCGCCGGCTTTCCCACCCCTCATCTCACTTCTCCTGCAGGTCGAAGGGGCCGTCCAACTCGTTCCAGTTCTTCTCCTGCCTCTTCTTCCTGTTCCTCTCCGCCATGACTATGGCAGCGATGACCGTCACCAGGACGGTGACCGTGATCACCAGGACAGTGGCCGTCTCGGCCACGCACAGCTGGGCGTCCACAGAAACCAGAGGCAAGCCGACCAGCTGCCAGGGACTGGCACAGGTGATATTGGCGTAGTCTTCCACGTGGAGGTGGCGGACGCTCAGGATCTTGCTGAAGACCCGCTGGAGGTCACAGTCACAGGCCCAGGGGTTGCCGGCGAGCTGGAGGTAGGTGCTAGGTGTCTGGATGTTCAGGATGGTCTTGAATTTGAGGTGGATGAGCTGGTTGCCGGTCAAGGCCAGGAGGTTCACGCTGTGCAGGGAGGTGAAGGCCTCCAGCTCGATGGCGCTGATGTTGTTGGTGCCAAGGAAGAGGACTTCCAGGTTCTGGAGCATGGAGAAGAAGCCGTTGTGAACAACCCCCAAACGGTTGGACTGGAGGTAGAGGTACCGGAGCCTGGACAGGCCCCGAAAGGCCCCCTTCTCAATGGAAGCCACTTGGTTGTAGCTCAGGTCCAGCTTCTCCAGGCTCTCCAGATGCTGCAGGCTCTCATAGCCCACGGCCGACAGCCGGTTGTAGGCCGCCTTGAGCTCCTTCAGGGAGGCCAGATCATCGGAGAAGTCAGCAGGCAGCTGGGCCAGGAGGTTGTGGCTGAGGTCCATCTTCTCCAGGAAGCCCAGGCCCGTGAAGGCCTTGGGCCAGAGCTGGCCGACGGAGTTGTGGGCCAGGAGCAAGATCTTCATAGACCACAGGGCGTCGAAGGAGCCTGCCTCAAGGCTGGTCAGGTGGTTGTGCCTCAGATCCAGGAGCCACGTGCTGGACGGGATGCTGCGGGGGACGTGGGCCAGACGCCGGCCACGACAGTCCACGAAATCCGAGGATTCGTAGCAGACACACAGGTGCGGGCAGGCCTTGGTGGCTCCTGCCGCTAGGACCCAAAGCAGGAGAGCCAGGAAGAAGGGCAGCATCATGGAGGCAGGCTGCGGAAGAGACTGGCCCACATAGAGCAGAACCCCAGCGCCGGCGGAAGGAGAGAGAGGGCACAGCCAAGCCGGCAGCCCCGTCCGGATCGCTTTCCGCCCCACGGATGGGGGGAGGAGGGGGTCTGGTTTCCTTGGAGGAGGCTGTAACAAAGAGTCCTTTGTTGAGTGACGAGCCCAGAGCTTTCTTGGCCTCTCTCCTTCCAGGTCAAAGCAGGAGACGGAACCTGAACGATCCAGCGGGGAGGGAACGGCTTGGATAGGTCCTCGGGCAGGGGGGTGCCTTCGCCTTCCCTCCCGGGCTCCTCTTTCCAGCCCTGCCGGCCAGCCCCTCGCTTCGCCAGCGGGGCCGCGGCCTTGCCTTGCGCTAGATCTGCTGGGCAGAGGAGGGAAGAGAGCAGCCGTTAAGGGGGTACCCACGCTGCTCCCAGGGCTGCCCGTTCCAGCCAGCAGAGAGAGATGCTCCTGTCTCGGGACAGAGGCAGGTGCGGGGCAAGGTTTTTGTGCTGAGCCTTAAGGAGGCGCTGCAGGGGTGGGGCAGGAGCTTGAAGACAGCCTGGGCCCTGGCTGAACTTGGGGGTGAAGCAGATCCCGGTGGAAATCAGACTGCTCCCCAGGGTGCCCTAGCCTGAAATCTCGGTAGCAGCGTACGGAGCGTTCCCTCCTGCCCCCACCCCCCGGCACGCCCCCTACACTGGGGCTTGCAATGGGGGCAGTTTAGGGTTGTTGACGTCAGCTGCTGCCCTGGGGAAATGCCCCCCCGGATGCTGGCAGCAGAGGGGTCAGGGGGCAAGGGATGAGCATGCCAGGATCTGGGGATGGAAATCTGATCTGCACTGGTGGGGGGGCACTTCCCACCCCAGCTCCGGCTCACAACCAACTTCCCATCCGGCCTGTGCCCGCCTCCTCCTCTTGACAGGTGCCCTCCTCACGGCTCCTCTCCCCATGGCTCAGCACTGCCCCCTGCCCACCATAAGGAGGTCTCACAGCTAGGCCAGTGGCCCTTGGGCAACCTGCTGCCAATCTCCTGCTGCTGCAATCACACCCAGCCAGCTGCCGGTTCCAACCGTTCCCAGAGACTGGGGGAAGACGGACTGGTCCCCCATAGGCAGGGGGCTGAGTGCCGTGGAGGCTGGGGTGCGGGGGAAGGGACCCAGCCCTACTCCGGGCTGGGGTCTAGACCCCTGGATTCTTTGTCTGCAGGGCTAGAGAGGCATGCTCCGGGCAGAGCAGCAGAAGTGTTTCATGGGGGTGGAGGTGGCTAGCTCTTCCCTGGCACCCAGAGGCAGCAAGGAGGATGCCCAAAGCACTGCACCCACAGAGCCTGCCTAGGGCCTTGTGGGGAGGGAACAAAAAAAAAAAACCAACTAGCCCTGGCCCCATCCCTCTAGCCACATGGAAACCCTCCCATGGCACCTTCCATCTACTCCTGCTGCCACGAGTGCAATTAATCCTTACCTCAAGCGGCAGGGTTCTGTGCGTCAGTGGTATAGGTCCTGGGTTCAAATCCTGCAGCCAGTGCTGGAGAACGTGCATTACAGAGTCCCACACTTTGGTTTTTCCTGCTTAAAAAAAAACTAGGAAATTACACCCCCCCCCCAAAAAAAATATCTACATTATGGGAATGTCACTCAGGTCACAAAGTCAAGCACTCAAGACAGTTTGGCAAAAGCAGCATTAAGGTTGCCCTCGCAAGTGTCCACCCTGTGCAATGAATGAGTCCCAGGTCCGGTGGGGAGCAGAGTGACCACACGGTCCTGTAGTTATCGATTGCATCATAACGAGAGCGGCGGGGAGGGGGGAAATGTTGGGGCCAAGGCTTCTGCTGAAGAACGCGGATTCCGGCCGCCTGAAACGTTTCACAGATTTGGGGCGATTCTGGAACTGACTCAGTCAAACCGAGAACGGGCGTCTCCAGGCAGGTCAAAAGGGTTCGTTTCGGCCTCATCAGGACGAAACGTTTCCATTGGCCGGCCCAGACTGGCAAAACAGGAGCTGGGGCCGGTGCCACAACCCCCCCCCCCCTCAATCCTTTGCCCGGCAGCTGGGGCACTCGCCCAGGGCCCGGGAGAGCCCGGTTTGAATCCCCAGGTTGGAGCTGGGGCTGGAACGCAGAGGACACCCACGGCTTAGAGGGAGGCCACAAGCCCTGGGCTAAGGGAGTCACAGCCCCTCGCTCTTTTGATTTAAATTTTCACTGGTGCCAGGACTAATGGAGGCGGGGAGGGGCGGAAACGTGACAACAGACCCTGCGATTCCAGCAGTTCAAGCTTTGTAAGCCGTCAAACACAAAGTGGCAGCATCGCATGGCCACAGACCAGGGGACTAGGCGGAAAAGCCAACTCTCAGAAGGCTCCAAGTAGCATTTCTCTGGCTGCGCCTCTCCGGGCGTTTTGATTCTTCGCCCTAGAAAGAGCCTTTCGCCAGCTTGCGTGCGCCCAGCGAAATGGACGTTTCGCCACATTTCCCGGTTAAAAATCACCCCCCCTCCCCAGCCTGGGCCGAAGGAAGGTGGCACCAGCTGCGAGTCTAGCCCGTCCGTCCCTTGGCTTGGATTAAACACCCCCATGAAACGTCTCATGGGGGGTCGAACAAAACAACATTTTTCAGAATCTTTGGGATTGGCTGGATTTTTTTTTTTTTTTAAATCCGTGTTTTCCGTTTCCCCTGGCAATCTTTCGGCACTGCCAGCAACCGAAAAATCCCTTCTTTGCCAGCTTTACTCATAACCCACCTGCCCAAGGGTCCAGAGCAACCTCACGTCTAGCCCGGCCTCCCCCCTGCATCGCTCAGAGGTGCACAGAAAGGACCACAGCCCCCCCACCCCAGAGTCCGTGGGACAGTCCCGGCTCATCCTATCCCATCGATCCCTACTCCATGGCTTTCACACGCTAAGCATGAGTCCAAGAAGGGGGGGGCATTGAGATACACACCTCTAACCCAGCTGTACCCCCAGCATGGCCTTTGGGGGTTCGCACTGAGGGGCAGCTCCTCCCTAGAGGAAGCAAAGATCTGTCTGTCTAGGCACCCCCGGGGAGGAAGGGAAGGGGGGATATATACACACCCCTCCACCATTCCTGATCACGCCCGGAGAAGCAAAGGGAAGGAGGTGCCCCCTGCAGCTGACCCTTCCTGGGTGGGCTGTGCAATTTCTGCAGCCTGGCCAGGGCAGCCAGAGCGAAGGGGTGAGCAGCTGGCCGAGCGAGAGCAGCTGGCCGACTTGAAAGGCAGCGAACGCCAGAAACGCTCGCCCCCATCCGCCCCGACGGCTGGGGACCTGGACGTACCTTGGAAGTCAGGCCCGACTCGACCGCAGCCCCCCGCGTCCCGGTCCCTTGGGCATGCAGAGCGCTGGCTGCCAGGAGAGGATTGCCTTCCCAGGAGCGAGCAGAATCTAATCTGGGCTCGGGATTACTGACGCCGCCTGGCTCGGTGCCACCCCGCCCTGCCCCTCGCGCATCATGATACCCTGCAGGAGCCGCCACGGCGGAGGAGGCCATGATATCAGAAGCCAGCCAGGTGTGTGTAGGGGGCACCGCTGGCCTATGCCCAGAGGGACTGGGCAGGCTGGAAAGACGGGGGTTTCATCCTTCCACTCTCCTCTGGCCTCTTCAGTTGGGGGGCTGGCTCGGGCCCACCCTAGAGTCCCCTCTACCCGCAAGAGGGGCCCTGTCTCCATGCCTACAGGAGCCCCCAGGGTCTGCCCTTCTTATCCTAGAGGGAGCATGAGCTAGTGGTTAGAGAAGCACACCGCCCGGGGCCTGGATTCCTTTCCTGGGAAGGGACTATGGGGCTGGCCCGTGAAGCAGAAGACAGGGAGCCAGGGGCCCTGCCACCCACTTGCCGTGCCAGCTGGGATGAGTCACCGACATTATCAAAAGCCGCCCCAGGTGTAAGGAGCTTCTCTTGTTGGGTGAAAAACGCCAGGCACCCTGGCTTCACCTGGCAGCACCCAGCACTTTAAGGGGCCATGCAGGGGCATCCCCCACCCTGGGCAGCCGAAAGGCAGTTACCTCTTTTAGACAACGGTGGCCTCTGCATCTCTGGGGAGCAGCGTCGCAGCCCAGCTGTCGAATGAGCTACCTGACCCATGGGGGCGGGGGGGTAGAGCAGCTGGGGGTCTGCCCAAAGGCAGGCGCAGGATTGGAGACAGCATCACTGGGACCCAGCACCCCCGCGCAGAACAAGTGACAGGGCCTGCTGGGTGCCCGGGGTTTATATTTACATCCCACCACCTGCAAGCTCCCCCTTTGTCCTGGCAGTTGGATCCAGGCTCCTCCTTTGCCCCTTGTCCTAAATGCCGCAGGACGTTGCTGCATGCCGTGAAACAGCTGCTGCACTCCACCCCAGAGCTGGCTGCCTTTCGCTGGCAAGCAGAGCGCTCCAGATCCACACCAAGACATTTCGGTGAGACACACAGGGACAATCAGGCTGCTCCTTTGCATGGTCCTGGGATTCTAGCTTAGTGTAGGCCCTTCTTCCCCCCCACAACCCACTTCTCCTCCCACTGCAGTGAGATTTCAGCTCTCCAGCCAGGATCCCCAGCAAAGCCCCGGGGTTTCGAATTCACGGCCCGGTAGTGTGGCGTCTCACGTTTCACTCCCTCAGCCCCCAAGCCAGCCATGCAAAATTCATCACCCTCACGTCTCATCCATAATTCAACAGCCTTCCCCACCCCCAGCAGCTATCAAGGCTAGTGTCCAATAAAGACGTACGAAGCCAGCGCTCCCGGCCTGGCCGGACACCTGACACGCTGGGACATGCTCCATCTGGTGCACACGCACCTGGGGGAGGGATGGCCACCGGTACCCCAGCTCCCTTCCCCCGGCCGCCACCTCCCTCCCTCAGAACAGATCGCACAGCTGTAGCTAATCTACCCCCCGCTCCCCCGGAGAGATGCTAGGACTGCCCCGCTCCCTACAGCACCCCCTGCCAGGAGGGGCTGGGATTGCAGTCACTGGGGGTTCCCCCCCACATCCAGTGCTCCTGCCCCGCTCCCTACAGCGCCCCCTGCCAGGAGGGGCTGGGATTGCAGTCACTGGGGGTTCCCCCCCCACATCCAGTGCTCCTGCCCTGCTCCCTACAGCGCCCCCTGCTGGGAGTGGCTGGGACTGCAGTCACTGGGGGTTCCCCCCCACATCCAGTGCTCCTGCCCCGCTCCCTACAGCACCCCCTGCTGGGAGTGGCTGGGACTGCAGTTGCAGGGAGCTCCCCCCCCCTGTGCTCCTGCCCACTTTAAGGCCTTTCGCAGAGCCACACTCAGCCGACTCCACCCCAAGGAGCAGGCCCTCGAACAGCAAATGACGACCCCAGCCCTTCCCGCCTCCCACAGCTTTTGCCAAGCAGCGATGCCAACACAACCCCAGCAGGTGGCGCTCACAGACCGTGCAACATGCAGGCGGCTTTGTGCTAAGGCGCTCCGGGGCAGGCCTGCCCGGAAAAGTGAAGTCGCCCCAACTACATCGCTGCGGGGGGGGTGGGGTGCAAAATCCACCCCCATGAGCCACATAGTTAGGTCCACCTGTCCCCTGGAAGGTGGATTAACGCCAGTGAGGGCGGGGGCCCTCCCGTCGCGATGGGTGAGCTGGGCCACCACAGCGTGAAGTGCGTAGCCCCAGGGATTCAGCAAGAGTGGGACTTTCCGCCCAGAATACCGGGGGACTCGCTGGGCATGAGCCTACCGCTCCTAGGCCCTTGGCAAAAGCCACACGCGGCCTCATTTGCGAGGTGTTGGCCTGCCTGGCTGGTGGGGCCGAGATCACCGCTTGCTACAGCGGCTTCACTGTCCCCCACCAGACGCTCCCGCTGGATGAAGCCGCAGCCGCCAGAGCACCCGAGTCAACGCGACACCCATGGAGAGGCCCAGGGAGGCTAATACGAAAACATGCGAGACAGAAGAGGAGACGTACCGGAGCCCCAGGTATCAGATCAGAGCAGGGGCTGGCCCACACGGGACACAGATCCAGACACTGCGTGGACCACAAAGCAAAGGGAGTGTCTAGGCCCAAGTATATAGGAACAGGCGACAGGGGATGGATCACTTAGAATCATAGAATATCAGGGTTGGAAGGGACCCCTGAAGGTCATCTAGTCCAACCCCCTGCTCGAAGCAGGACCAATTCCCAGTTAAATCATCCCAGCCAGGGCTTTGTCAAGCCTGACCTTAAAAAACCTCTAAGGAAGGAGATTCTACCACCTCCCTAGGTAACGCATTCCAGTGTTTCACCACCCTCTTAGTGAAAAAGTTTTTCCGAATATCCAATCTAAACCTCCCGCACTGCAACTTGAGACCATTACTCCTCGTTCTGTCCTCTGCTACCATTGAGAACAGTCTAGAGCCATCCTCTTTGGAACCCCCTTTCAGGTAGTTGAAAGCAGCTTGATGATGCCCTGGTCTGTTCATTCCCTCTGGGACACCTGGCACTGGCCGCTGTCAGAAGACAGGACACTGGGCCAGATAGACCTTGGTCTGACCGGTCTGGCCGTACTTATATAGGCCCTTGTAGATGGCACGATTTGCTAAGTCAAATCCTTGGAGCAGCATGATTAGAATCTTCCTGCCAAGCCGCCAACAATTCAGAGCCAGAGGCAGCAGGAACCCCAACCCCCCGTCACACTGCATGCAAGGGGAGCGGGCGGGCGTCCCTCTGTGCTCCTTGAGACACGCCTGCCACCCCTGCAAGCATGCACTTCCCCCTCTCCCCCTGCCCCAAGAGACATCGGCCTCTATTCAAGGTTGCACTGAAGGAGGCTGACAAGCTTCGGACAGGGTTCGTAAGTCACTGCTGCTTGCAGACCGCTTGGAGATCCTGAACAGAAGAGAGACACTTCTCTTGCCCTTTAACAGTCTCTTTCCAAAGCTTGGCCACAGTGCACATGCCATAGGGGCTCCATGCAGTCCGAGGAAGGGGCAAGAAACCCCAGTTCAGAAAATTCTGGGCTTGCCTATCCCAGAGAAGTTTCTACCAAAACCCCCTCAGCAATTGGCTGAGGCCCAGAAGCATCAGTTCACAGCCCACATTAATGCAACTGTGGCTGCCCTGAGCCATCTAAATCCTTTTCTGAGTCCTACTAAGCTCTCGGCTTCAATTATATCTTGTGGCAGTGAGTTCCACCGGTTAATCCTCTGGCCCGAATGGATATCACTGCTACAGACCATTTATCTCAGACACCCTTCTTGCAGTTCCAGTAGTTTTCCAGCTGGAGTGGGAAGCATAATTCCCCTGTACTCCAGCAGAGGCCAGCCGTGCACAGCTAGGAAGCGTAATATTTCTCGAAGCAGCTCAGAGGAGCAGAATCCCGCCCTTGAAGAATGATTTCGATTTCGGTGCCAGCCCCACAGAAGGCAGCCATCAGCCTCCCAGAGCACCAGGGAAACCCCCACCTCATCCCGCAGCTTCAAGCCTTTTAAACAGCTCTGATCTTTACCAAGAGACAAGCTTGTCAGGTGCTTTGGCCTTAGGGGAGTTTGTCCCACTCCCCCCCCACCCAAGTCCTTACTGCTTCCAGCAGCCAGAACAGGCATGTGACCCTGCTGGACAGAAAACGCACAGCAAAGCTGCATTTAAGCCCACGGGAGAATGTGCTGCCCTGCTCACCACGGCATGTTAACGGGAGCACGGCCGCGTAGGCCTAGGGTCAACTTCTGCAAGCCGCCCCTGCTGGATGTGGGACCCCCTGGAACACACGGGGGGGGGGCCCACATCTCCCACACCTGATGAGCTGCTCAGTGTCGCTCGAAAGCTTGTCTCTCTCGCCAGCAGAAGTTGGGCCGTACAAGGTAGTACCCTCCCCCACCGTCCGCCCCTAGCACACGTTCATGTAGCAGCCCGTGCCCGAGACCCCCCAGATGTCCACTTCCCCCAGGAGGCTGGTCACCACCAGCCCTACTTAGTGAGAGGGCCCAGGGAAGGGAGACAGCCTTGTTATGGGGCCAGGACCCCAGCGATGCTTCAGCCACTGTGTGAGTGTGAGAGAGATGCTGTCGGAACAATGGAAAACCAATCGCCAAGGCCTAGCCCGGGCAGCGGCTGGGCCAAGTGCGGGGCAGCTGCAGTTCTCTCCCTAGACCCGAAGGATCTGAGCGAGCTTCTGGGCCAAGCAGCTTTCCAAGCATCGCCCTCACCAGCAGCCTCTGCTCTCGAGCGAGGGGCAGAGAAGTGGCTTCCTGCTGGGAAAGTATCCCCATGGCTGTAGGGCAGCCCGAGGGCTCAAGGCAGTTAGCCAGCCAGGCAGACACGCTGCTAGACCCCTTCTTCGCAGGACAATTCCCCTCTCCTCTCCCTGCTGGAGAAGGGGTCAAGCGCCATCAATTGGCTCAGTAACAGGGTCCTGGAGCCCTTCACCTCTAGGTTGAGCCTGATGGGTTCTTGCAAAACTCCCGCCAAGCCACAGCTGGCCAGTGGCCTGGAGTGAACTCAGGGAAGTACAAGGTCTCCGTGCAGAACCCACAGCACCTGCTTCCCAATAGCAGCAGCCCCATGCTGATGGGCTTTGGCTAAGAGCTGGATGGGCCCAGCCGAGGTCTGCATTGGGCCCCACACATGCTCTATGTGGTCTGCGGCCTGATGCCGCTCTCCTCCAGGGCTGGTTTTTTCCATCTGTGCTACAATTAGTTGGTTAAGAAAGTTGTGGCCCGTATGGGGTCAAGGAGGTGTGACCCCCTCCTACACACTAGGCACAGAGCAGGCAGAGCCCATCTCTGTCACCTGCCCAAGATGGCACAAACGTGCCAATTCAAAGCAGTACCAAGCTGTTACCCCCCACCCCTCTCTACAGCAGGGGGGGCACTATGCACCACAGCTCCAAAGACACAGCTGGAAGCAGTCTCTGCTCTGTGCTTCACCCCCCCACCTCCCCCTCCGCGCCAGTACCTACACTGTGGGGGGTCCAACGGTGTCCCCCTGATATGAGGACATTGTTCAAGTCCTGCACCCTGCTCTCCGGAAGCCTAGCCCCCTCCAAGCAGGCAGCTTGCCTTTCCAACAGGACAGCAAGGCAAGGCAGTCAATCGAAGGCCAGGGCAGATCAACCCAGAGGAGGGTCCCGTGTGCTCGAGCCTGCACGAAACCCCTGCTCTGCCTCACCGCCGGGCACCAGGCTGCAGCCAAACAAACCCACCAATGCAGACACTTTTGATGGTTAAAAAAATTTTGGGTTTTATTGTTTTGCTAAACAATACTAAAAAAATTTCCATTTTTTTTTCTTTTAAAGGCAGGGCTTGAATTATTTAATTTTGATCCATTTATTTAAAAAAAAGGGAAGGGGAAGATCATGGCAAAAAATAAAAAATAATCGCGAGACTTCCGTAGCTTAGCCGTACCCCTGCCTAGCTTGGGAGGAAGCCAGTTTCACCGGCTCCATAATCTGGCTTGCCGCCGAGCCGATGGCTACAGTCACCCATGCAGCATGCGATGCCAAATGGCTCGACGCATGAATGCCAGCTGGGTACGGTACAGGACAGGGGAAGGCAGCCCGGTGACTAAAGACTTTTAGGGTTGGGTTTGACAGAGTGACAAAAGCCCTCGTGCTCTCTTAGCAAATGGAGCACAGTGCAGCTCTCTGCATGGGCACTCGGACATATACAAACCGTGTCCCAGCTTGTAAGGATCCCAGACGCACGCACGCCTGGAGCGGAAAGGGGATCAAGCACAAACGGCCTGCTATCCAAGTTCATTTGGATAATTTTGACCTTGAAAAAGACAGAAGCCTACACACGAGCTAACACGCACGATAGTCGGTGGCGTGAGCCAACGCGGTGCAAGAGAAAGCCACCGTGTCTCCGGATCTGCCAGCCCACTGAGGACAAGAGACGGCTTTGCTGTACCGTACCGTGGGAGGCAGGGAGGAGTAAATTAGCAGCACCATCCTGTGTTATTCCTAGCGCCTGTGTCTTCCCAGACCGGGCCAACTCGCCTTCAGCACAGGACAGTAAGAAAGCTGTCAGAAGAGGTTTACGATTTAGGGAGCACCACCACCTCCTGCCCTCCCAAATCCCCAGTCTTCGTGTGTGTGAACTCTCCAGAGTGTCACACGCAAAGCCACCAACTCTGCCAGGGCTGATTAGGGGTGGGGAGGGTTGTTTGCCTTTTCTTTTTTTTGCCATGATCCCGGTGAAGAGAACTGCTAGAAGCAGAAAATATTTAAAGAACATTTTAATATATATATTCATATATATATTTAAAGATAAGAAAAATAATTCTAATTCAAGCCTTGCCCTGTGCAAACAAAATTAAAACGGGACCATGCCGGTGGCAGAAAGGCCCCGATTCAGTTAACACAGTCAGATTGTTATTTTTATTTTTAGCAGGGTATTGGGGGGAAGGGCAGATTCTCCTACGTCAAAGAAGGGAGGGGAGAATGGTGGACCCCCTTTACAAAAATAAAAGGGGGGGTGTTGTGTGGGGTGGCGGAAGAGGAAAGGAAGTCAAAAATAAAACTAACAAAGTCTGACTGTCCTAGGAGAAAACATGGCGGACAAAAAGAAAGGTTGTCAGTCAAGTAATGGATGATCTTTTAAATTATTCTCTTTTTTTGTTTTAAAGTCTAAAGTTTGGAAGTGGGGAGCTCCCCGTTAAAGAGCCCCCCGGAAATAAAATAGAACCCTGGCCCTCCCCCAGCCCCGGCCTCCTTTGAAGAAATCCTGTCGGCTTCTGCTGGATCTTGGAAGAGTGCCCCCGGTGATCGGAAGGGGGCAGGACTCAGGATGACAGGGTGGCTTCCTTCTGTGTTTGCTGTGCTTGTGAACCTTGCATTACCTTTTGGCTTTCCACATCTCTAAAATGTTTCTCAACCTGGCCGAGGGGGGAAGAGAAAAAGGGAGAAGATGGATCAACATTGCTGAGTTTTAATTGTACAATTTCACATGGCGTGCGAACAGGGGTGACCGGGTCTCGTGGGTGCCAGGCGCATGCGAGAAAGTGGTCCATGGTGACCAGAAGCAATCGTTGCGACCAGTGGGATTTGCAGCAGCTGGGATGGGGATTACGGGCACATGCTCCACCTCCTCCACCCTGGTAGATGGAGACCGTCAATGGTTCAGCTAGAACTCAACAGCTGTATTTGTCCTACACGGTTTGCAAAGAGACACACTCAGACACAGGCAGTACGGAACGGCATACTCTTCCCCAGAGACTGGTCTATGTCAGGGGTTCTGAAACTTTTGGATTGGTGACCCCTTTCACAAGCCTCTGAGTGCGACCCCCCCCTTATACATTAAAAACACTTTTTTATATATTTAACATCATTATAAATGCAGGAGGCAAAGCGGGGTTTGGGGTGGAGGCTGACAGCTCGTGACCCCCTGAGGGGTCCCGACCCCCAGTTTGAGAACCCATGGTCTATGTGACCTGGGGTGGGTGCCAGGGAGATCACAACTCCCCAGTGGATAAAGCTTTAATATCAAACCCATAACTCCTTCCACAGTCTGACTGCTCCGTCAGTAAAACCGGGACAGGGACCGGACAGCAGAGTCCAGCCTTGGAAGCGGCTTGGCTCCATAGCAAGAGGTTCCACAGGAAACAGGTACAGGAGACACCAGGCCCCTTTAGTGGACCATTAGGAGACCCCTTTTAAACCATTTCCTGCTTAATTCAAAACCCTGCTGCAGGCACTGACTGGAACAAGAGTTGCAGCTACCCTTCGGACACAATGCACCGTTCCTCGTTGGGAGCAGACAGCACCGAGTGGGGGGAAGGGTTCTTCCACGTGACAATGATGGGGTCCCACAGGTACCTACGTGGGGGGGGATTCACCCTCCCTCTACTCACTATTTTGCGTACGTGACTCAGGGCACTTCCCTCCTTGCCTTTACAGTTTTCCACTTGGTACGGAGGAGCGATAACGACGTCTTCCATCACCACTATGTTCTTCTCTTGCCATTTACAGTCTTTAATGCTGGGAAAGGCAGAAACAGGGCAGGATTTTATTAATACCGCCGTACACTCACCCCCACCCACAACTGCCCAGCAGCTCCGGAGCCATAACTCTCCTACTCCCACCCGCCTACCTCCCCTCTCATATGGGTTTCAAAAGGGCCCCCACCCGTTCCCAACACTGGCTGTGGTAGCTCTGAAACCAGATCACTGCAGACAGGAGTGAGCCGCTGCCCCATCCTGATGAACCAGCCTTGGGGGCGTGGCTGGGCCAGCACATCACTGAAGGCACAGCCGGTACCTCGAGGGAAGGATTACGGGAAGCAGCGTCCCGATGAGAGATCTGTCTAGCGGCAAGATTGACAGAGCCAGAAGAGTACCCAGAAGTTACCTACTACAGGACAGGCCCAACAAAGAAAATAACAGAACACCACTAGCCATCACCTTCTGCCCCAACTAAAACCTCTCCTAGATCAAGGATCTACAACCTATCCTGAAGGACGACCTATCACTCTCACAGATCTTGGGAGACAGGCCAGTCCTTGCTTACAGACAGCCCCCCAACCTGAAGCAAATACTCACCAGCAACCACATACCACACAACAGAACCACTAACCCAGGAACCTATCCTTGCAGCAAAGCCCGTTGCCAACTGTGTCCACATATCTATTCAGGGGACACCATCATAGGGCCTAATCACATCAGCCACACTGTCAGAGGCTCGTTCACCTGCACATCTACCAATGGCATATATGCCATCATGTGCCAGCAATGCCCCTCTGCCATGTACATTGGCCAAACTGGACAGTCTCTACGTAAAAGAATAAATGGACACAAATCAGACGTCCAGAATTATAACATTCAAAAACCAGTCGGAGAACATTTCAATCTCTCTGGCCACTCGATTACAGACCTAAAAGTGGCAATTCAACAAAAAAAATTCAGAAAGACTCCAACGAGAGACTGCTGAATTGGGATTAATTTGCAAACTGGACACCATTAAATCAGGCTTGAATAAAGACTGGGAGTGGATGTGTCATTACACAATGTTTATTTTCCCCCCCTACTGTTCCTCACACGTTCTTGTCAACTGCTGGAAATGGCCCACCTTGATTATCACTACAAAAGGTTTTCTCTCTCCCCTGCTGGTAATAGCTCACCTTACCTGATCACTCTCCTTACAGTCTGTATGGTAACACCCATTGTTTCATGTTCTCTGCGTATATAAAATCTCCCCACTGTATTTTCCACTGCACGCATCCAATGAAATGAGCTGTAGCCCTCGAAAGCTTATGCTCAAATAAGTTTGTTGGTCTCTAAAGTGCCACAAGTCCTCTTGTTCTTTTTGAGGATACAGACTAACACGGCTGCTACTCTGAAACCACTCAGAGCCGTTGTTGTGGGCTTGGAGTTACGACATCGCCTCTCAGTTACAAGTCACTCTGCCAGGTAGAGGTGCAAGCCCTCCGGGAAGGGAGCATGCTCAGGGCGCGCTGAGGAACTGCAGATCTGATTGCGTTCTGAAGCGCAGGAGCTCTCCCATGTACCTGTAACACTAGACTGTGCCTTGGGCTGGGACATTGGCTAATCAAACCCCTTGCACTTCAGTCCAACTGCTCACAAGGCCACAGGCCAGGGAGAGGGTTGAAATGGCACAGCTCCAGCTGTAATTTGAGGAAGCTAGGCAGGGTTGAGACTCTCCGTCCCATGGGGCCATTTCCACCCACACTACATAGTGAGCTGAAGTGTGGCCTAGAGGAGCAGTTGGCAGCTTGGCCAGTCCATCTGCAGCAGACCAGGGCCCATGGAAGGCCGGACAGCGCACATAGCAATGGGGGAGGGCAGCAATCACGGACACGGGGCCAACCCAGAGGAGCCTGGAGGTCCTGTTACATGTATGGGTAGTTGGGAGTGACTAGACAGACCACCAGCGAGAGGGAAGCTCTCGGAATCCATCCCAGGAAGAGTTACCCCGCCCGCTAGAGAACACAGGCACACGCATGTATCTGAGGGTGAAGGAAACAAAGACCTCCCAGCCACCCTCCCGCAGCCAACTTACGTCTTATGTATAGTCTGGAAAAGCTGCTGTCCCTCCAGAGAGACACCAGCACTAATTGCATACGCCTGGCTCATCTTCTCTTCCTTCTCTGTCCGCGCTTTGTTGGCAAGCTGCAGGGAGGGAAACAAAGACCTGGAGCGTTATTGATTTTTGACCACAAAACAGCAGCGTCCCGAGTGGGAGAGAGGGAGCGGCAAAGAGAAATTAAGACTGGCTGGCCTGCATTTGACAGAGGTGCATCCTGCTGGTGAAATGGTTTGCATAAAGGCAACCGGCTCCAGAAATAACCTGGTACATGCCTTACTGAAGTAAACACAGGGGAAATTAAACTGAGCAACAGCGGGGCTCCAGCAGAAAGACTTCAGGACCACGCTAGTGCAAGCAACAATGCTCCAGCCCAGAGCTCAGATACGCACTGGACTCCTGAGTGGTCAGAGTACAGAGCTCACTTAGCTTGTAAGATCTCTGGGGCAGGGACTGTCTCCTCTCATGCAGCTGGCACTTCTGAAGCACCATGCACTCCTCCCTTGATTCAGCCCCACTACAAATAGTTCTGACTATACAAAGGAGATGTATTCCTAGCCAGGATCAGGGCCCCACGGGGCCGGGCACTGTGCAGCGCTAAAATAAGAGTCCCTGCCTCAAGGTGCTCAGAGTCTAGTAGCTTCTGTGCTGGGAAAAAGAAAACATTTTCATGGTAATTTTGCAAGCCTGAGTTACAGGTTCCCAGACACTGCCTGCCATCAGTACCACACAGACCTGACAGGGAACCTCCAAGGGCAAGTCTCCCAGCCCATTCAGTGCTTAGCCTCTCAGAGGAGATGGCCAACAAACCCCACCCAAAACCATGACACAGATTCCTACCAACTAGGTATGGGACAGACTGCCAGCTCATTTAATGCAAGTCACAGAACAGCCAGGTATTAGCAGCTTGTTTGATCAGGGCTGGATTTGGACTTGTGAGACAGGCCGTTTCCATCACACAGAGAAAGCCTACTGAGAAAATGTGTATGATGCCTGTTTGCGTCAGGCACTACCCTGGAAGTTAGGTACTTTAAATGCTCATGCTACGCATGTTTCTCACATTTTAAAAATGCATCTCTGCACTTCATGGTTTAGATCACAGGTTAAGTTCGTTTGATGGTAGCAAAAAAAACAGAGGATGCAAACAGACTTTTGCCCTTTTCATTCAAAGATCTCAAAGACCTTTATGTACCTAAGTTTAAAAAAAAAGTCTAGTCTTTTTAAGGTAGTTTTCGTAACCACATCTGCCCTGGAGTCCCCTGACAACTTTGGGGCTTTACAGTCACATTCTCCTATTTTGTGCCCCCTCGTTTCTGTGCAAAGCGCACACACGCAAGAAAAAAAAGAGATTATATACAAATGTGCTGTCAAATACACAGCAGCAGAATTGCCCATCTCCTAATCTCAGAATCGTGGTCATTTCAGGTATTAACAACAGGTGGGTTATTGGGGTTATGAGGGCTTGTCTACACAGGAAATCGGAGCAGCGGAGTTATGTTGGAATAACTATCCCAACATAGCTACTTCAGGACACACAACCCCACACACACTCTCTGTGGACTCTAGTCTAGAATCAGAGCAATTTTATTCTGGAATAGTTACTCCACTCACAAAGCAGAGTAATTATTGCATGGGGCTGAAGCCCAGGGCCCTGAGCCCTGCCACCTGAAGCCGAAGCCTGAGCAACTTAGCTTGGCGGGGCCCGTTGCATGGGGTCCCAGGCAACTGCCCTGCTTGCCACCCCCTAACGCTAGTCCCGGCGTTTATATGCAGAAAACAAGTTGTGGTGGCCCAGGTGGGCCATGCAGTTTGTATAGGATGTTGGAGGGCGGGGGGGGGGAGGGGGAGCCTCAGAAAGAAAAAGGGTGAGAACCTCTGTGCTATAGTCCCCACGAGAGGGATCCATTCCCAGCTCACAGAACAGGGACGACAGGGGTAAAGTTAACAGACTGCCAGCAGAATGCAGATGCTTCTTTGCCATAAAGGAGAAAGCGTCTCATGTCGGCTGATCCCTAGAAAACATCTTCTGTAGATACAGAGCCAACTCGCAAAACAGCCCGTCCCAGGGCACAGTCTTCCTGAAGGCTCACACCAAATATCCCAAGGAAAGTCACCTTTGATTAGCTAGAAATGGCACATTTCACACAGCTGTGAGATGCATCATCAAGATTCTCTCCCCCACACCCCCTTCCCAGTATGAAAATCCTACGCACCACAGAGCAGAGGAACTTTGCTACAAACAATTCTCGACAATAGCAAAAGATCGATCTCCCCTCCACCCAACAGAGAGAGAAAAAATCTAGCCAAAAAGCAGCTGGTTGTGTCCTGTTTCAATGCTTAGGTGAATGAGACTTTTACTGAAGAACTGTGAAGCTGTAATACCAAAAGGGGATGGGGGGAATCCTGCTCTTGCTCATTAGCAATCCTTCTGGCTGCTGATTGATGGTTTAGTTAAAGATCACTCAGAGCTAATCTCACTTGGTAGCTGGATTACAAGACTCATTTCAACATAGTTTTCCGGTAATTTACAGTGGATAAAAGTCACCTAAGCAACAACCATGTTTCTATATGGCTGCTGCAAAATACGGTTTCCCTGACTTGTGGGAGCAGGGATTTTTTGCCTGAGAAGGGTTGCTTTAACGGGTTTCTATAGCAAAGTATGGTTGGTTCACCTAGTTGTCAGCAGAGAGAATGCCCAGGGTGGTCACGGTTCTAGGAGCCGCTTAACCGCCTCAGTTAAACAGGGTGGCAGTTTGCATAGTCTTGCTCCCAGTGAAGGCTGGACCTGTAATGCATCCCCCTCTGTAGCTGAGAGACTGAGTTCATTCTTATTGTACACAACCAGCAGTTTATTCCCAGCTTCTTGTGTTTGACAAGACACTGAAGCGTTCAGCAGAAGACTCCTCTGCACTGAGAGAGCTGGATGCTCAGACAGGCTCTTTGTCCATTTGGGTGCTGACTTAACTCAAAACAGTGGCTACGTTGGATACACATTCCCTGTCCAGTGGCCTGGCATGTGAGAGATGCAGGAGAGACCAGTCAGGTCTTCGTGGGGACCCTGCCTTTGCAAGAAATTACACTGTAGGGAGCAAATCTCCCCCATGAGGGAGTGAGTGCATTCTACACAGCAGCCCACCGCGTCAAAACCAAGCGGCCAGTCACACGCACTGCCAGACGGAGGGGGGGAATGCCTCCGCTGGCCGAGAGCTCATATCACTGTCTTCACATAACTAGACCCCCAGCCAGGAACATAAACACAGTAAACCAAAGCAAAGCACGTCTAAGACTTGCAGACATCCAAAGAATGCTTTAGGGATTCCTCCCCCCCTAAATTAAACAGCGCTTTAGTCCACCTACAAATAAGGAGGGATCAAGGGGAAACCCCTAGGATTCCAGCCCTCAGCCTCTGACCAGAACAATGTACTTAGTCACCTGCTGAAGAATGAAACTAAGGGTAACAAACTCACATTTACTGGTGTTCATTAATCCCACATATCAAGCTCCTAATCTGAAAGGTCCTTACAGAAGCATAAGAGCTCATAGGATGTGCTCTATTACTTACCACTGCTACCTACAGAAGAGAAAAATTAACTGCATCTGCAAAAGCCTAGTTCACACTGTTTCCAATTCAAGCATTCAAAGCAGTTTCACTGTCAAATATACTCGGCCGTTCCAGCTCCCCCAGTCTCCAAAGAGCATCTGAACTTGCTGCTATGAGCCTATTAAGCAGATTCAGCTATACACCTTGTGCAAGAGCTCTGTGAATGGATGAGTCACTTCCCTTCCCTATTCACAGATATATGAATGGTATGAATACGTGCAAGCCTAAAAGAAAGCCACCGAGTTCCAATAAGCTGCCTAGTCACATTCCTCAGTCCCCCCCTCCCCTGAGACTCCTCACCCCCCAGGTACTAAATGGCAACTAAGTTAATTAGACAAATAGACCTGTTGCCCTCTTATCCCAAGAGGGCCACTCCCAGTTCAGAACCATACAGATGCAGAGTGACATCTCATCGCACAGGCTGAACAAGCTCACATTAGTAATGGTGTCAGTATAAACCAGCAGTCTAGTTACAACAAGGTGAGGCAGACGCCGATCTCTAGCCAGCCTTTTACTGAAGTGGGCTTAGTTGTTTGCAGCCATGTCTCAGGCCCCAGGAGCACAGTCCCTGTGGCATCCTCTCTACAGAGCTGTGCAGCCAGGGAAAAGGGTTCTAGGAGGTAGAGGCAATTTACTGGTTGTACGCGGCTGAACGCAGGGCTCACAGCAACAAAGCGGTTGACAAGCCCCAAAGCCATCTATGTTACAGCCTCCCTTCAAACCACTGTTAGTTTCTGGTGGAAACACTACAGCCAATAAGTCTCCATCCAGCCCATGCATAGGACATCTTGTGGCTACCTTCAAGTGTTAGTCTAGCTCCTTAAACTCGTTTTTTGAGCCTTCGGCTTCCTAAGTGGACTGCCAGCTCCCGGCTTGAACACACCAGTGAAATTAACACTAAATTAGTCAAAGGACGACATTCGCACCCGGGGAAATAATGTTTGTTTCACAGTTCTCCTTTCTCCAACTCCTTTACTTTGCTCCCAAGGCCATAGATTGAAGAGTCCTCAATTCAGATCCTTTCCAGAACATCTCCCTGGTTTGCCCACCACTGCAACTGCAAAATTGTCTTCGTTCAGCCACATCTTGACCAAATATCCTCATCATCTACCCTTCTTAATGCTTGGCAATTCCTGTTATAATCTTTTACAGCCAGGTCCTGTGGGCATCACAAATACCATAGTTCGACTTTCACCGCAGGATGCATAAACATATCACCCTCTCTCCATCCTGCCTTCTAGCAGCACATCCATTTACCAGTCCTATTCAGAAGCGTTGCCTCCTGGTTTTCAAGTTTCACCTTAACTAAATTCCTCTCTCCACTTTCCCTGCTTGCTCACCTCCCCTTCCCAGGGCTCTTTTATTTGTGCTGGATCCGGGATTTCTTCTCCATACTGCCACATCCACCCGCGACCGAATCTCCAACATTCACTCCCCGTCCCTCATTCTTCCATTCACACCTAGGACTAGTGTAGACAAATACTTTCTTTGCTGTTTTAAATGGCAGCTCTCTATTTCCATCTTCATACATCATCCCCCGCCCCCATATGAAATCTGTACTCCGTTAAGAGTTTCTCTACATCCCTTTAGTAGCATTTTTAACTTCCTCTGACACTCCAGCTAGCAGTTTGCACTACTTCCCAGTCCTGAAGCATCCAGACAACAGTCTACACAGCCGCCCTTGGAAGAGGAGTTCTGTAAATGCAAGAGGTATAAAATGCTGCAGTCGTCTCAATCAGGCAAAGACCATATTTTAATTATGGGAACACAGACAGATTTCTGGACACTTCAAATTGTACTTCCGCTGGCAATTCATTTGGGTTTCTTGCACTGAAGAATTTCTATAGAGCCTTCCTGCCAGCAAAATAACTAACCAAGTGCTTTTAATTGAATAAGTTTGTTGGTTAATACACTATTAAATGTGCTATGCATACAGTGATCCCCCCCCATAGCCAAGTAAGGACCTGTAACATCTATTACACCTAAGTAGTAGCATTTACAGTTACAGCAGGTGATGCAGCTACAAGGTGTAATTAAGTTTCTGCAGTAATTGGGTCATTTGATACCTTGGTCAACACAATAATCCATCAATAAGCAAAACGAAACTAACATAAGCCACAGACAATGCCACAAAAGGAGTATACTTGTGTTTAGGGACAAAGCCTGTGGTTCCTAGGTATCGTGTCATGTTACCTTACTGTGGATGGCTTCTATAGTGAACGTTTAATGCTATACTGGGAACTCCACCCACCACAAATACTACCTTGTCTGTTAGCAATTACCACCACCTGGGTCAGATTTTTCCCCCTCTCCCACCCACCCCTAAAAACTTCCTTAAAAATGGCAGCCACACCCTGTTTAAGATTGCTTCTCTCAACTGCATTTCCTGCCCTGAAACCTCCCTCCACTTTAAAATGAATCAAATAAAGCCAAATCCAAAATTTATCTATACCTTGAAGCTTCCAAATCTCTAATTTTGACCACTTGCCCTCCGATTTTAACTCGGAAGAATGCTAACCCCCAAAAGGCCCATCAAGCTGAGGCAGCCCTGCCAGAAACTGTGTCCATTCCCTCCCTCACTAAGATTACAGGCGAGTCTCATTTTACGCTGGGGTTTCAGTCTGCAGTCAGTGCGTAAAGCAAAAATCGCGTATGGTCAAAATTACATTGAGTGTAACGGCAGGCGGAATCGCCCGCACTACAGGTACAGTATCTAAATTGTTATTTTTCTCTCTTGTTTTTGCCGACCACGGAAAGCTGAATTCGCACATGTTAAATGCGCGTAAGATGAGACTCGCCTGTACACTGAAATGCAGCTGAAGGATGTATTTGTCTACCATGCAGTTACGGGCTAAAGCCTTTCTCCAACGCTCCAGGGTGCCATTAGAAGACCAGCACCAATCATGCAAAACCCTAACTAAGCTACACCTTCCCTACACCGCTCTGTTTCCCCAGCCCAGTTGGCTGGGGCATTTAGCACAAGGCATCCAACTTATCTGACTGCACCGGATCATTTCCCTTTCCATTTCTCAGACAGTACCTCTTGAAAACCAGAAATGATCTATTTTAGAGGGGAAGTTACATTCAAGTTACACACAGATCCCCGAGATACAACTGACACTCCGTGTCTTTCAAGGCTTCTGGGCCTTCCCTCCATAGGAACTCTGACCTGCTCACAAGAGCGCGAAAATGCCAATTGATGGGAATCCATTGGAGACTGAATAAAGCAAGGGCACATGGCAAACATGGGCTGGAAGGGTGACTGCTTAAGTGTTAACCTGCCCATAGCCACTTCTGTCCATTAGCATCACCTCCAAAACGGGAAACAAATACAAGCGGTTTTGACCTGTGATTTTGTAGCCAATAGTGTCAGTCCTTGACCATACCACCTGCCAAAGAAAACCTGGGTGCTGCAGGTAGCAGTGATGGGAGACTCAGCCGACGGCAAGCTCTGTGAGCAAGGAATGCACTACCCTGTATTAGCATTGCAAGGAGACAGCACTATGAAGCAAGCTACTTTTTGGCCGAGAGATCCTGACCACTTGTGGTCACTGAAGAGCCGGCTGCACTTTTACATAAGACTATGGGTGTTAGCCCTAGTGTCCTGGCTAAATTCCAGCTCAGGTGATTGTAATCCACCTACCTAGATTTCCACTGCACTTAGACACAGGAAAGTTACTCTTCACTTCCCGCTGTGACTTTCTACTGCTGAAATACTGGGGCTTCAGCAGGAAACAGAGGGTTCCACACAGCTGCAGTTTTTCTAGAAGAGATGCTAACTGAACTTAAAACATTAGATAGTCATTGAGGTATTGAACACAGGAAGCCTTCGGTCACTGCCACTTCACACACCTTTAACATTCAGATGCCAGCTTGCCATTATTAGGCCTGGTCTACACTTAAAAGTTAGGTGGACGTAGTTACAGCATTCAGGATCTGAAAAATCCATACCCAAACACCGTAGCTATGTAGACCTAACCTCTAACATAGATGCAGCTAGGTGGATGGTAAGAATGCTTCTGTCAACATAGCTACAGTTGCTCAGGGAGGTGGGTGCTCCTACAGCAACAGAAAAACCTCCTCTGCATAGTGGAAAGGTTTACACTGTAGGTGTTACAGCGGCTTAGTACAGCTGTGCCGCTGTGGTGTCCATGATGTATACACGGCCTTAGGATCATAGGTCCGTGTATCCTATAAGCCTTGCTTGAGTCCAGTCACAACACAGCAAAACCCTGACTGACTGAGTGGGGTCTTACGGTGCAGAGTGGACTATACGTGGTCCCAAATTGCACCTACAGCAGTTTAGACGCCAAGGTTGTGGCACGTTTCAGGATAGTTAAGACACAGAGCCAGTCTCCATGACAAGGCCATGTTGAAATCACGTCCAAAAGCCCCCTGGATTTTGACACTGTAAACAGGACCAAAAAGTGTACACATACCGTACTAACCTAGACAAGCCTGGTGATCAGCACTAAAATCAGGTATGCACTGGCTGAACAGCAAGTTGGACCCAAGACAAAAAAAAGTTGGCCTCGTCAGTTTCCTTGTAAAATACATTAAGCAGAAGAAATGGCCAATAACCCATTCCTCCTCTAGCTCCATTCAGCCAGGTATGCTCCATACCATGCTTTGGCAAAACACATGCAGCTAATTAAGCATGGCCACAAGATTCCAGACCATCACATTTTCATCTGCACAATGAAGAATTCAGTTGTCCATGGACTAGTCACCTTGGAAAACCCCCCTCCACATTCTCTACTTTAGGCCTGAACGATGACCACTAAGTATAAAGATGGACAGACTGCCCATTAACATAGAAACGTTAATGCACTTCTAAGTGCTTCACAGTATGTGGGGAACCAGAATAGCAACCTGCACATGAATATTTTGATTTAAATTCATAAAAGCAATGTCAGCTAAGCAAACATTGGGCAAAGTATGGTATTTTAACAGTAAGAAATGCAACTGATCTGCAACTCTTCCTGTCAATCAAATCAAGTGTAAATCCATGAGCACACAAAAGGATAAAGGGTCCTTACCTTGCTAACATTGAGTGATGCTAAAGGAGGAGGGGTTTCCGTGCGGTCATTAATTATTTCCACTTCTGAAACATACTGTAAGTTTACGAGCAGGATATCTGCATGGTTGGGCTTTCCACTGGAAGAGGGACATTCTGGAGGAAAACAGCATTAAGGAAAACAAATCCAGGCAGACACACTTAACAAGTCTAAAAAGACAACTGGTAAGGAGGGCTATTTGATGGAGTTTAGAGAACAAGTCAATAGAAGAGTCAGATTTTCAGCATATAAATTCTTCTACCACACTAAACCCTGTAACAATGGAACGATTGGTCAGCAGTAGAAACCAGAAACAGTGCTAGCAACAACTACTTAAACTCAGCTGCTGCCAGCATGGCTTCCCTGACCATGGGACAGGATCTTTTTCTTTTGTTAATAATTGTTATAACTACATTGTAGAGAACCTAGGATGCCGTGTGATCTACAGCATGCTTTTCAGGGGTACATACAACCGTGCGCATTCTAGTCAAGGAAGCTTAGAGGGGTTTATGTCATGGTTTTGATGGTGGTGGGGAGAAGGCATTGCTGATCAGCACAGATGTCAATAAACCTTTGCTTATTTACATGGAGAAATTGACCAAAATAAGCCACTGCGGAATAAGATACTCCAAAATAACTCTCTGTGTGGGTCACTCATTCTGGAGTAAGAGTGTGTGCATGGGTAGTTATTGCAGGATAGCTACTGCACTTTAATTTCATGCTCTACCTTATTCCAGAATTACTTCCCCATGTAGACAAACCTTACCAGACACACACTAGGTCTAAAGTCTCTACCAAGAACATTACCTTACTGCAGATGCCACCTGAACACAAGTTACTCTAGTCATGCTTTCACCCACATAATAATCAGGTGACAAGCTCTAAAGATTCATAGAACAGACTTTCCCATTCATTACCACATTTTCGATAACATAAACCTTACATGCATTTGAGGTAGTTTGACACTTCTAGAATGACAGAAAAGTGTAAATTAGCCATCAGTTTACCACCCCCAGAAAAATCTTTATAGAACTGACATTAATTCCTGCGCAATCTGTTCCCGATGAAGAGGAATAGTTAGTCCTCCTCTCCTTCATCTGTCTGCTAGAGTAAGCAGAGAAGAACATATCAAGGCGAGAGAGAGATGGTGGGTTTATTAGCATGAGGAGACTGTATTAGACATATGGCTCTGTACACTGCCTCTCCACTTCTAGGAGAGGAGGGAGACTGGTCTCATCCATATAAATGAGACACACCTGCAGCTTAAAAGCAGAGAACAATCAGATCTCCCTCCCACTACAACTGATATGAAAACCTCACCTGCAGAAACTCATATAAAAAAGGAGAAACTTAGGGGAGAGAAAACTGGGGAAAATACATCACTCCCCAGAGCACTGTGTCCAGATCACATCCTTTTCTCTGGAAAGGGATCAAAACCTGGCCCGCAAGCTAGACCATCTGACCCTACTTCTCAGCCTCCCTTTGCTGTTAAACAGCCACATTCTCATCAAACCCAGATAGCACTGCCCCCTCCAGAAGGGGAGGAACCATTGTAACATCCCACAAAGCAACCTACTCAGATTGCCTCCACTTCCTTGTGAAAGGTTCAAGCAGCACTCCCAAGGCCAGCTCAGACACTGCCCTGACACTGGCTAGCAGTGCCCGGAGGCGGGGAGGCTGGAGACAGAGCTCCTACGCAGTGGTATGGACTTTGATTCTGGAGTTTCTCTCTCACACAGACCTTGGGGCACCCTGCAAGGCCTTTCCTGAGCATGTGGCGAGAGGCCTGCATGGCCTGTTGTAGACTAACCTTTTCAGTGTGTCCAGAGACTCACGATGGGCTCATGTATTGCCAGGATCTCCATTCCCGGCTTCTACCTCTATATAGCCAGCAGTGGGCCACACAGAGAAGCAAGCACATATCACTCCTTCCCCAAGCAACCTACCCACAGCATCTACCTCTCACCCTTAAATCCGCCCCCCCTCCCGCACACACACACACACACACACGTGTCCCAAGGCAAGATCAAACACCCCCCCCCCCCAGCTCCATTTTCCCTCCAAAGCCGGCCAGCATCCACTCCGGCCTCTTCTCCCCCTACTACAGTGCCCAAGGTAGATCAGACACAGCCCCCCCGCCCCGTGCAACCCCCCGGCTAGATCACAGCCCCGCCCCACACGCCAGCCCCCCAGCGCTGCTCTCCCCGCTCCGCCAGGCGGCTCCCAGGCCGCAGCAGAGCCCCCCCGGCCACAGGGCCCCCCAAACGGTGACCCCCACCTGAGCAGGATCGCTCCCGCCCCATCCAGGCCCGCTCCCAGCCCCGGGCTCTCCTCCACCCCCGCGGCGGGCGCCAGGCCCACAGACTTCCCCTCCCCGGCCCCTGGGCGCCGCAGGGCACCTGCCCCGGCCCCGGCTCTCCCCGCTCCCCTCGGCCCTGCCCCGGCTCTCCCCTCGGCCCGGCCCCGGCCCTCCCCTCGGCCCGGCCCCGGCCCTCCCCTCGGCCCGGCCCCGGCTCTCCCCGCTCTCCCCTCGGCCCGGCCCCGGCCCCGGCCCCGGCTCTCCCCGCTCTCCCCTCGGCCCGGTCCCGGCCCCGGCCCCGGCTCTCCCCGCTCTCCCCTCGGCCCGGTCCCGGCCCCGGCTCTCCCCGCTCTCCCCTCGGCCCGGCCCCGGCTCTCCCCGCTCCCCTCGGCCCGGCCCCGGCCCTCCCCGCTCCCCTCGGCCCGGCCCCGGCCCCGGCTCTCCCCGCTCCCCTCGGCCCGGCCCCGGCTCTCCCCGCTCTCCCCTCGGCCCGGTCCCGGCCCCGGCTCTCCCCGCTCTCCCCTCGGCCCGGCCCCGGCTCTCCCCGCTCCCCTCGGCCCGGCCCCGGCCCCGGCTCTCCCCGCTCCCCTCGGCCCGGCCCGGGTCGGATACTGAGCGCCAGCATCTTGCTGGGGTAGTCGAAGGCCACCACCTCGCCCTGCAGCCGCTGCTCCTGGCAGGTCCGGCACGACACCTGGCTCCCCACACTGAAGTACTCGCCCGGGGCCGCCATCTTGTCTCAGCAGCGGCCGCCGCGGCTCGGCTCGGCTCAGCCACCCAGCCACAGGGAGCCCCACGCCAGGCACGGGGGGGCGGGGCCACGGCCGGGGAGCGGAGGGGGCGCTGCCGCGTCGCCCCGCGCGGCGTCTGGCGTCACGACGCAAGGAGGCGGGGGTCTGGGAAGAGGAGGAGAGGGGCGGGGCCCGAGACGCCGCAGGCGGGGAGGGGCGGGGCCAGCAAGGCGAGGTGGAAGTGTGACCTGTGGGTAGGCGTGGTCAGGAGGAGTGGGTGGGGCCATCTGGAGGGGGGAGGCGAGGCCAGCCGTGCAAGGTGAGATTGTGTGACCTTGGGAAGGGCTTTCTGTGCAGTTTAGGATGCAGCAAAGGTTCCATACTCGTCCACCCAATATATACACACACACATAAACCCCTCCTTACAGAAATGCATATCTTTTATATATATACACACACACACATACACCCCTCCTTACAGAAATGCATATATTATATATATATATATATACACACACACACACCCTTACAGAAATGCATATCTTTTATATATATACACACACACACATACACCCCTCCTTACAGAAATGCATATATTATATATATAAACACACACACACCCTTACAGAAATGCATATATTATATATATATATACACACACACACACACACCCTTACAGAAATGCTGCATTAAATAAATCCTAAAGTGGGTCCATGCAAATTAACAATGATAAAAAATAAATCTTGCATTTATTATTCACCACCTTTTCTGCAGTGCTCCAAAATGAGTCAAGCACTTTACCAACACATCAGCAGCCAGTTCCCCAGCCCAGAACGGCGTGCAGCCTAAACAGAGATGCCATTCAGACATCCTGCTATGTGGGATGCATGTGATACAAATAAAGGCCCCAATCCCTGCAAGGAGATTAGATCCCCACACTTGCGCAGATCTCACTTTAGGATCCAGGCTAAAGTTTGCTGTGTGGCATGTGTGCAAACAAACAAACAAGCCCACAATAAAAATGCCTCTCTGATCCTTAAAAAGATGCTATGATGCAGAATAAAACGATCAACTCCCACACAGTTTCCTTATCCCTGGTGAAGCACTTTGTACGTCATCATTCCAAACTAGCCAAGTCTGCAGCAATCTGGGAGAAGCAAATTGCATCATGACAGGATGGGATCCCACCCCAAAATCAATTGTTTACTAGATTCTTGTGAAAGTCCCTTGAGGAAGCACCAGGCATCTTCCTTACTTTTCTGGAAAGGGTCAAGAAAGTGTTTTATTTATTCTCCCTTTGTATGCAGTGGTTTAGCAAAAAGAGGATTAGTTTGTTACCACTGATGAAATTAAAGATGACCTACAAAGATTTTTTGTTTTAAATCGGGTGTGTACTCATTTTTGCTTCTTAATCATGGAGAAAGGTAGCCTGAAAGGAACTCCTCCTCTGCCAGAAAGGATGGAAGGTTTACTCCCCTACCCCTCTTCCCTGTTTAGAGATATCAAATCTTGTCTAGTCCTCCAGTCATCCACACAGTTTTCCAGGATAGGAAATACTTACATTTTGAACATAAAGAAGCAGCCAGGAAGACTTTTTTTGTAAAAAGAGGGGGAACCCCCCCAAAACCTTCTTAAACATCCCAGTCCAGAGCAGCAAACAATGGCATAAACCTACTTCCCTCCCACCACTTTGCAGGTCACCTTTAAGAGTAAACTTCCCAGTGGGGCTACTATGCACTATAGCAATACATAAATAATAGCATAGACATGCACTTCACGCAAGGTTTCATGAGCTGTAGTTCACAAAAGCTTATGCTCAAATAAATTTGTTAGTCTCTAAGGTGCCACAAGTCCTCCTTTTCTTTTTAAGGTTTCTAGTATCTCCCAGTGGTTTTACGTGACTATTAATATGCTGGTTACTTCCCCTTCCCAAAAAATCTTGTTTAGATTTAATTTACTGCTTTACTGGGTTTGTACCAGAGGTCAGCAATGTGTCCATGGTAAAAATTTTCAGGTCCGTGGTAATTTTTCAAGAAACATTGAATGACTCTGAATGACAACCCCCCGTCCGTCTGTCGGTCACTAAGTATGGTAATTTTGTCAAGTGTCCGTCACGCAACATGGTGGTGCGATCCCCTGGTTTGAACAAGATGGAACTGAAGGCACATTGACTCAGGCACGGGAGTAACAGCAGGCTATATGGGATTGAGGGCCCAGGTTAGAGAATGAGATTATAAATGTGGGCAGGGTGACCAGATGTCCCAATTCTATAGGGACTGTCCCGATATTTGGGGCTTTGTCTTATAGAGGTACCTATTACCCCCCATTCCCTGTCCCAATTTTTCACACTTGCTAGCTGGTCACTCTAAATGCAGGGGGTGCATGGTGTGGGTTTGGAGGTACAGGGGAGGAGGGAGGCTGGGAGTGGGGCACGGGAGGGATATAGCGGGTAGGGTTGGGGTGTAGGGAGGGAAACAGGGTGGAGAGGGGGGATTTTTGGGATACAGGTAGGAGTGGGGCATAAGGAGAAAGAGGTCAGTGGGATCTGCGCTAGTTTAGGGGATGCATCTGGAAGGAGGGGGGGCTACAAGGTGGGATGACTGCCGGGGGGGGGGCTACAGGTGGAACTGGGGGGGGGGGGCTGGCGTTGGATTTGGGTCGAGGAGCTGATTTAGGGGGCGTGGGACGGGACATCCGGGGCACAGGAGGAGAGGACGAGGCGGGCGGAGGGGCGCGGCCGGCCACGCAGCCGGGCCCCGGCGGGGGCAGAGAGCGCGCGTGGCGCACCCGCTGCGGCCCCGCCTCCTCCCCGTAGAACCCCGGCGGCCGCTGAGGCCTCTGGGAAATGTAGGCGCGGGGCAGGGGGCGCGCAGCCCGAGCGGGAGCGTCATCATCCGGGAGCTGCCGGGTAACGGGGCGGCGGGGAAGGGCTTAGTGGCGCGGCGCGCGGGCCGAGGGGAGGGGGAAGGACTCAATGGCGGGGGCGGGGGCTCGGGCGGCCCGGTGGTTAGGGCACGAGCCGGGGTGAGGGGGCTCGGGAGCGCTGGGTTCGAGTCCTGCGTCAGCCTCACGCGGCTCGTTGGGGGAGGGGGGTGGGACAGGCCCCGTGAGCCCCTTGGAGGAGGAAATGCGTTAAAGGGGAAGGTTTGGGGGAGGGAGAGGTGTGAGGGGGGCCGGGCTTCCCTGTCTCGGGTGCCCCTCCCCCCGCCTTAAAGGGGAAGTCTCAAGGGAAGGGGGTGCGGGGGGGGGGGGGCGCAGGCTTCCCTGTCTCTCGGGGGCACCTGTTTTCTCATCAGCCCGGCCCCTTGTTCTGCCTCAGCCCAGGCACGCACCCCCTCCCCCGTGTCACACAAACTGGGGGGGGGGGGGTTAAAGTTGCGCCCCATGCCATGGCGGGCGCATCGTGCGCCCGGTCGCGGGTCCAGGCCAGGCTAACGCTCTCCCCTGTCCTTTCAGCCTCGCCGCCATGGACGCCTTGTACAGCAGCGGAGTTCTGTTTGCCGAGAGGCTGCAGACCGGGCCGCCCTGGCTGGAGAGGTTCTGGCTTTGGGTGACCTGCCTGGCCGATCCCAAATGTATCTTCATCGTCTTTTTCCCCCTGGCGTATTTTCTGGACCGGAAGGTCGGGGTGGCAGTGCTGTGGATCGGTTTAATCTCCGAGTGGCTCAATATAGTGGCTAAATGGTGAGAAAAGGTCTCTTCCAAGACATTCCGATAGACACGTACACAGCTCAGGGGCAGAATCCCCTGCACTGCCCCAGGTAGCAGACTTACTGGACCAAGAGACCCATGTGCTCAGGATGTTATTACTAATGAAACCCATCTTCCCAGTGATCGGTTTTTATGTTGTTCTAGGAAAACTGAGCAAGGCACACGCTGTCTTGCCGGCATCGCCACTTTTACGGGAAGCATGAGTCACTGCTCCTGCAATAAGGAAGCAGAGTGAGACAAAGCCACTCCCTGCCAAATCATGTGCTTCCCCTTAAAAAATAAAATCTGCTCACTGCATGGTTTCGTCTTCTGAAGCATCCAGAATTGCCCACCATCCAAGCGGGGAAACTGGATGGATCCACCAGTCTGATCCATTGTAGCAGTTCCTACACTCCTATGTTCTATTGCCACTTAAAAGTACCCACTCCCATTAGCCCAACTGTGGGAGAGTGAGCCAGAGGCTGTTTCTGCCTCAAGACAGATGCATCAGGTAAATCCCAGCTGTGGGATCTTTATTACTAACGGCAATGGCAGAGGCAGAAAGATCCAAGCGTGACTCCAGATCCCAGGTGGAAAGTGCAGCAACAGCAGTTAGAAAAGTCATCATGATTACAGGGCCCTGCTCCTGCCACCTCACCCGACTTTAATGCTCCTGGACAGGTGGCTGTGCTCTCCAAGGAGCAAAGAGTGTGGGGGTCAAAGAGGCTCAGGACTTCAGTGGCACCCAGCGCTGCCAAGAGCCATGGAAGGTCTGAAGCAGTGTATGCTCCTTCCCGCTTTATATATGGTCTTAGAACTGACTCAAAGCCCATAGGAATCAATGGGAGGCTGTCCATTGACTCTGCTGAGCTTTGAGTCAGGCCCAATCCTATTCCCATCAAAATAGGATGCTCCATTGACTTCAGTGGGCTATGGGTCAGGCCCACACAGCCCATAAATATCACCTAACTCGTCTCTATTTCCCTACGTTCCTCTTTTCTACTCTCTCTCTTCCTCTGCTCCTCTCCACTCCCTTCCTACTCCTTTTATAACCTTCAGGCGTTCTCTTAATAACCCAGCAAATAGCAACCGCAGGCACACGCAGCCGGATCCTGAGCTCAGTCACACTGGTGCAGACCCAGCGTTACTCTGCTACCGCCAGTGGAGTTACTTGGGTGTCAGTCGGAACAGACCGGCTCATATGCCAGGCCGTGTGCTGCTGGGAGATCCCTGGGCAATGGCCACAGGCCTGCTGACTGGGCAGACTTATCAAAACCAGGAACCAGAATCAGCTGACCTGCTTCCCCAGCCATCTAGAGGGAAAGGACCTGGCCAGCACTGAGGTCACATATCAGCCCTGATGTACCCTAAGTTATGGATCAGGCTTTGCCCTCAACTGTGACCCATGGGGCTATTGGCTCCAGAGAGGATGTGGCTTCTGGGAGACTTGGGCATTTTGTTTTTTAGCCTTCACAGCTCTGTCTCCTCTTTCTGCCCCTAGGTTCTTGTTTGGTGAACGGCCATTCTGGTGGGTCTATGAATCTGGGCTCTCCAGCAAGGAAAAGGTCCTGCTTCGCCAGTTCCCTGTCTCCTGTGAAACAGGGCCAGGTTGGTTATTAAGATGGCTAAAGTTTCAGTATGTATGTCTCTGGAAAGTACCACCGCTCTTAACAGCGGTGTCCTATATTCCCATAGCCCCTTCCTCCCAAAGGATTGCAAAGTGCTTTTCAGCACATGCACATACACAGGAATCACATTACCAACCACTGACATGCAGTCCCCTCTGAGGGGGGAACGTGGCAGCTGATTAACAGTGCATAGCTTTGTTACATAAGAGTTCAGGATGGGAAGTGAAGCACGTGGTACTGAATTGAAACTGCAGAAGGAATTTAGGGAAGCAGAAGGCAACACTCAGCATTGGAATTTGGCCAGGACAGCTGATTGACACCCCTGTACCATCACTGGAAGCCGAGTCCCCTCATTACGGAAGGCCTGCCCACTTAACCTCCCACTGCGTCAGTTTCCCCATCTGTAAAATGGCCATGAGGATTCCTACTCTCCTTTTGTAAAGTGCCTTGAGATCCACAGATGAAGAGGTTTCAGAGTAATAGCCGTGTTAGTCTGTATCTGCAAAAAGAAAAGGAGTACTTGCGGCACCTTAGAGACTAACAAATTTATTTGAGCATAAGCTTTCGTGGGGCTGCATGCAGTGGAAAATACAGTAGGACGGTTTTATATAGCAGAGAACATGAAACAATGGGTGTTACCATGCACTCTATAACAAGAGTTAACACCCATTGTTTCATGTTCTCTGCTATATAAAACCGTCCTACTGTATTTTCCACTGCACTGCAGCCGATGAAGTGGGCTGTAGCCCACGAAAGCTTATGCTCAAATAAGTTTGTTAGTCTCTAAGGTGCCGCAAGTACTCCTGTTCTTTTTACAGATGAAGAGGGCAATCAATGAGGTCATTGTTGTTGGTTGTTGTGTAAGAGGCAGTCCTAAAAGGAGGCCAGAGGGGATTTCTAATGGGACGCACACAAACTCCTTCCTAGTCTCTTGGGTGGCTAGTTACACAAAGGTAGCCTCAGATCCACTTTGATTTCTGAGGACTAAGCAGCAATGGGCTCTCGGGGCCTGATCCGACTCCCATTGTCGTCAGAGGGCTCATGCCATCTGCGAGGAGGATATTGCCGGGCCCTGGGCATCTACAGAATGTGGCCGGCTGCAGGCCCCGTCTGCATTGGTGGACTGACAGTGCTCAACGTGTTGTTCTGCAGCCCACTTTGTCCAGGCCTTGGAGATGGGACAGCACAGACAGTGCCCCAGCCTTAAGTAACCAGTCAGTTGGATCATGGCACAGGAGAGACAGAGCTCAGCTGTAAGGCCATTAATTAGCCTGTGATTCTCAGCAGAACACATTAGTGAACGGTGGGAAGTGAAATCTGTGCCATCAACACTGGCAAGTAATAAATATCACTGCCTGCTTCTAGGCCAGGAAATCCCTGGGAAGGTCTGCTGTCTGACAGCAGGCAGTGGAATGAAGGGGAATCTTGCTTGATTTTCCCAGCCTGACTTCCCCCTTGCCCTGAAAGTCCAGCCTCCAGCTCCTTTTCCTGGGATCACCATTCCCTCCCCTCTGCCCCGTGAAGCCCCAGTCTCCTGCCCCAGTGGCTGGGTGCCAGCCCACGAGGGCAGATGGCTCTAAGGAAGGTTCTATTTCCATGCATCTGGGGTGTGGATACTCATGCAATGAGAACCTTGAGTGCCAGCAACCAGAAGAGCGGGAGACCTGAGGCCATTCTTGACCACACCTTTCCCATGATGTTACAGTGAGGGGGGCGCAGGGTAATGCACCAGCCACAGAACCCAGAAGTCCGCCCAGATCTAAGTCATAGAAACAATGCAGCTTGAATGCAGCATTTTATAGTACCGTGATCTCCTTGATACTGCCACCCTTCTCTGGGCTCAGTTCCCCTCTCATACTAGGGTAACGCTAGCCACTTCCCTGAAGCTACTCCCTGTTTACACTGGTGTTAAGTGAGCAGAGAATAAGACTGTGAGGGCCAGCCCCTCTGTTGGGGCGCTACGCCAGTTTTCACCAGCTGAGGATCTGGCCAGGAGTCCCTAGCAGTGGTGGTTTCAGCACAGGCCGATGGATTTTACTGGGGGCCAGACTGGCTGTGTGACTTTTGGTTACAAACAGTCTTGCCGAATGGGTCAGTACCCCTTCGTTCCCCAAGGAGACAACTAACACTCAGCTCTTTCCTGGCACATTTCATCAGTAGATCTCACAGCACCTTACGAAGGAGGTCAGTGTCATTTTCTCTTGTTTCATAGATGGGGAAACTGAGGCGCACACTTGCTCCCCCCCCCCCCCCCCATGGTCCCCCTGCCGAGCTGGAAATAGAATCCAGGTCTCCTGATTCTTAGTCCAATGCCCTACCCACTAGGTCATACTACCTCCAGATCCTAACTATCCTCTCACAGATACAGGCAGGAAAATTATTTAATCTCTCGTGTTCCCTTTATGCAGGTAGCCCCTCCGGCCATTGCATGATCACAGGGGCAGCCTTGTGGCCCATCGCCACTGCTCTCACAGCATTGGCATCCCAGCACTCCACTAGGTAGGTACCGCAGGGGTCCTGGGACGGGCAGTTCCCCGACACCCTACTGTTGGCAGGGTGGGCATTTGCCTGGAGGCTGTCGTAACAGAGCTGAGCCCTGCTTTACAGATCTAGCCTGCGGCATGTCCTATTCCAATGAGTCAACTATTACCCTATTGGTTATATTTATAGTTAGTGCTACAGTAGTGCCCTGAGCCCCCCAATCAGGATCAGTCCCCTAGGGCCCGAGGCTTCATTGCCCCCAATGTTTTGTCATCATAGGTGCAAAGCAGGTGGAAAGCTACAGCCATTCAGATCTGGTAGCATTTCATCCCCAGCTCATGCTGTCCAGGCCAGCGAAGAATCTGTCCCCCGGGTGTCTAAAAATGCAATTGCTGGGGTGAGAGATGCAATGCGTTGGAAGCACAGAATGTTCAAAGACGATTATATTGAGATGTGACAGATGCTACGGCCATATGGAATATTCTGAGACTGTCGTGTAGCTTCATGGGCCGCCTAGCAATTGTTTTCCTGGCCTAACGGGAGAGCGATCGTGTTGTATTCCATGCTGCCAAAACATTGCATCTGTCACAGCTAGTAGTAGTCAAACCCAATGTGTCTGAAAGGTGTTAAACCCTGTCTCCACTAGGTGCTAGGAGGGGCTTAATACCATGTTAGCTAATTGTATTATTAAACTAAGCCCCGATTCAGCAGGCGGTCCCTGTTCAGCAAAACATTTATACATGTGCCTAGCTGTTCAGGGAGCACTTAAATCTACTTGAAAGTGCATCTACAGATAAGCATGTGCATAAGAGCTTTGCTGAGCAGGGAGGGACTTAACCAAGGGCTTAAGGCCCAGATATTTAAAGGTATTTAGGCATTGCTGCACTCAGCGTTGCAGTGCCCAACTGATTTAGGAGCCTTAAGTCTGGGCTAAGTGCCTACATCCCTTTTGAAAAGGAGGCTTAAGGCTCCCAAATTTGTTGGGCATCACACCACTCAGTGCAGCATCACCGAAATACCTTCCAAATCTGGGCATTCATGTTTTGCTGGCTTGGGGCCCAAGACAGGTGTAGCAAATTGCCGGTATGATTTACAATGGGTCCCGCGCTTCCCCTTCTTGGAGGGGGGTTCAGGGTGCAGTTTCCTGCCCCGAACTAGTGTATCTACTGTCCCACTAATAACCCAGAGAAGGGTAGTGGAGAGGGAGGGACCCAGGCCCGCCCTCTACTCCAGGTCCCAGCGCAGGGGCCCTAGGGGTAATGGTAAACCACTTGAACTAGTGCTTCTTTCCCCTGGGCTACTTCCCTCTCCTGCTCTTCAGCTTGTGGGGCTTCCTGCCCCCTCTCTCTGCACAAGCCGGGTGTCTTTTTACCTAGGGTCTTGGTTTTCTAGCTAGCCACAGCACTTCTCCAAACTCTCCTCTACTTCAACTCCTCCAAATTGCACTCTGCTCCAACTCCTTCCCCTGGCTGATTGAAGCAGGGTGGTTTTAATCAGGTGACTAGCTTCAGGTGCTCTAATTGGCTTCAGGTGCTTTTAATTAATCTATAGAAACCTTTCTTCCCTCTACAGGGAATAAGGCTTCTCCTTATCCTGGGACTTACATCTCTCTCCTAGATCATTCTCCTACTGCCTTCTGTAACATACAGGGTTTTAGTGAATGACTGGGAAGCCCCTGGCAAAAATGGGACCATTTCTAGGAAATGTAGCACTTGTCCTTTGGCCACGTGCCCCTGTCCCGCTGTGAGCGACTATTGCAAAAAAGAAAACAACCCTCTGAAAAATTGGGGGCAATTCCCACAAACCCAAGAAAAATCTCTGCCAAAAATTCACTGGTTTGTTGTAGTTTCCTGCTCCCCTTCGACTCTCTTTTTTTGCCTCACGTATAAGCGTTTTTGCCCCTCTTCTTTGGCCCAATTCTCCAGCGCCCTGTACCTCACACGGTCACTCCCGCCAGCACAGAGCGTTCAGAACGCCTGTCACAGTGCAAGTGACTGCTCACAGTGCAGGGCAAAGGGGATCAGACTCGCTGGTGACTAGGACCGAACCGTGCAGTGCTCAGGTACCCTGGTGGTACGTACCTGGACTTACCCCCTTCGTGGTCTACTTTTCCTCCCCCAGCAGCTGGCTGGTGAAGCTAACCCCCTTCGTGGTCTACTTTTGCCTCCTGCTGGCTGTGGGGCTCTCACGCATCTTCATCCTGGCGCACTTCCCCCACCAGGTGTTGGGCGGCATTGTGGCTGGTTAGTAGATCCGGGGGAGGCTGGGAGGGTGGTGGGCCTGGCACGCTTCGGGCCTGGCAGGCAGAGGGAGGAGGCTGTCTGGCTGTCACCCAGAGGAAAGGAGGTGGTGACTGCGTTCAGACACTGGCCCCATCTGGGCTGGGGGCTGTACTAGCCGAGCCGTTTGGCAGGCCCTCGTGGCTGGCACCAGCGTGGTCTGGCCTAGGTCCCAGCACAGCTTCTCTACTCGGTTTCCATGTGATCTGGCCCTGGTCACGCTGGTCTGGCCAAGTTAGCCTGCAGCCTTGCTGCAAGCCTGCTCTAAGCCCCAGGGAGGAGGGTGCCACCAGGGTCTCGTGGGAGAGGAGGCTGCACAGGTGGGAGACTTGTCCTCAGGAGGCAGGTGCTGTCCCTGAAGGGATCTGGCTAGCGCCTCTCCCGCTGGGGCACATCCATCTGCCCTGCCGCCATCAGGCTCGGGTAGATCACTGCAATCATCCGCTTGGGGCTGTTGGGCCCTAAGAGTCTGCTAACCCTCCCCTCTCCGAGCCCACCCTCGGTGGCCAGCACAGCCCCAGCAGGCTTGGCGGATGGCAGGCAGTGGGTTACACTTACCCCTCCCTGTGTGAGCCATCACCTTGAGCCCCAGCTGACCCGAGCAGCGGGAATCCAGCAACCATCAGCTCCTCAGGACCCGCTCAGCTGGTGGTGTCTGAGCCCTCTTTCCCCTCATCGGCAGGGACCTGTGGCCAGCACCCTCCTCCCTCACTGCCGGGCAGCATCAGTCTCTGCTCAAGCTACAGCCCCTTCCTCACCGTCCCAGTCCTCAGGCTGCTGCCGGCCAAGACTCCCTGCCCTTCTGCCCTGCGTCTCTTTGCTGCCTAGGAGCCGCCCTGGGCTGGATGCTGGAGGCCCGCGTCCCCGCAGAGAGGAAGCTGAGTTTCTACCTTGCCACTTCGCTGGCCCTGCTGCTGGGCGCCATTGGGCTGTACTGGAGCATGGTCGCTCTTGGCGTGGACATCGACTGGTGAGCGTCTCACGGGAAGAGGGTCCCTTTGCACAGCTTCCTGATTGGAGAGACCCAGGCCCAGCGTGGCCTGAGCGGCTGCAGGACCCTGGCAAACAAACCCGCCGGGTTCTTGCTCCTCAGGTTACTGGCAACTTACCTTCCTGTGGCATCTTCCTTCCCCCGGGGCTTTATGCACAGGAATCCCCGCCCTTCCTCCGGGGTGCGACACAGTCACTCCAGCTGAGGGAGGCAGAATTGCCCAAGAGAGAACATGCCCAGGGACCAGGATAACACCCACTCTCTTTGAAAGTGCCTTGGGGAGTGGCGACAAGGGGGCCCTGCCTGGGCCACTCTGCGGCAGGCAGGCAGGCACACCACCGGTGCGTCTGCCTCAGCATCCCCTTGGTCCAGGTCTAAGAAGAGCACAGGCTCTTTCCTGGCCCAATTCAAGGAGCCACCTCTGGGCATAATTTATTCAGAACACAGACCAATAGCTCAGCCCTTCTCAGCCATCCAGCTCTGGCTCTTCAGGGCAGGAGGGTCATTCAGCTAGCCACTCCACTGGTCTCCTAGACCTCAGCCCCCCGGCACTGGCTCTGCAGCTCAGGAAGGTCAGCTGGTCGCCCCTCACCTGGTCTTAGAAATTTCTCCCTAGTCCCAGGAAGGGCCTGCAGAGCTTTCTGCTCTCTGCAGCTTCCCTGTCTTTCCCGTGGCCCTTTCCTTGCTCTTCCTTGGCAGCTCTGACTCTCCAGGACTCCACCCTCTGGGGCCCAGGTACCCCCTTTTAAGCCCATGTGGGAGGCAGCTAATCAGTCATAGGTCCTCAGGACCCTGCACTCTCTTAAAGGGCCAGTTCCCCTCTGACAGGACCTTTTATGACCCCAGAGGGGGAAGGGGCTGGAAGAAAGCCCCTCTCTGGCACTGCCCTAAGGCCCAGGTTCAATGTGGACTCCAGCTGTCCTACTGAATTACTCACAGGAGGGCTGGCCAGTTCCTCAGGGCTGAGCAGGCCTGACAAGCTCAGAGCTGGGGCGGCAGGGCCTCTCGCCATGCCAGTTACTGCCGGGGCCCTTCGCGAAGAGCTTTCAGGTGCTGACATTTCTCCACCGCTCGTCTAGGTCAATTCACCTGGCCACTAAGTGGTGCTTGAACCCGGAGTGGATCCGCGTAGACACGAGGCCCTTCGCGTCGCTGTGCCGGGACACAGCCTCAGCCTTGGGCCTGGGGCTGGCCACCCACTCCTCCCTCTACGCCCAGCTGAGGCACGAGAGACCCGGCTGGAAGCAGCGAGCCGCGGGTGCCGGCCTGGCCCTCGCCACCCTTCAGGGCCTGAACAACACGGCGCAGCCGGAGAAGGTCGGCCTGTGGTATGGCCTGAACTTTCTGAAATACGCCAGCTTCCCATGGGTGGTGGTGGCGCTTGTTCCATGGCTGGTCCGGTCACTCCCTCTCACGCAGACCCGGCCACGCTCCGAGTAGCACGTCCGGTGCATCAGTGACCCACACAGACGGTGGGTCACTCACCCTAGGGGGCGTGGCTGGAACTACCCGCAGGCATGTAAACTAAATCTCCCAGCAAGTAGCAGCATCCATCCTCCCAGCCTCCAGTGTCATTAGATGCAACAGAGGCCAAATGCTGTTCTCCCGTCTGCTGGTTCAGCCCCATGTGTCAGTGCGGCTGTGCATGAGAGCAGCTGGCTCTGGGCTAGAGGAGGATTGCATTGGCTAGAACACCTTGCTGGAAAGCTCAGTTACTTAGCCCTGCTTTGGCTAATGCAGGTTCTCTTCTGGCTTAGATGGGGCCTCATGTGAGAAGGATCCAAATAAACCAGCAGCTTGAATCTGGCCTCTTGAGCATTAGCATCAAGGAGGTTTATCTGTGCTGGGAGAAAGGGGTCTTGGGTAAGACCCTAAAACGAGGCAATGTGTCGCAAGGTGGGCTGTTTGGAGGACTAGCTGGCCCCCTGTGGCTCCAACATTGGTAGCTTCCTGTCTGGACTGCAGAGAAACTGTTCTGGCTGGTACTGAAGACCTCGTCCTGGGCATCCAATGGTTGGGACAGTTGTGTGTGAATGCAAAGGGTGCATCCGCACTAGAAAATGTGGTACTCTATTCTCCAGCTGCATTGCGACTACCATAGGCTCCTAGAAATATGGGTCTGGAAGGGACCTCAAGGGGTCATCTAGTCCAGTGTTTCTCAGCCTTTTTGATACCAGGGACCATCTTGCTGCCTTCTTAAAGTCAGGGAGCTCTCAGGGACTGGCACCAGTCCATGGACCGGGCATTGAGAAACACTGATCTAGTCCAGTCCCCCGTGCTCAGAGAGGACCAAGTACGCCTAGACCATCTCTGATAGGCATTTGTCCAACCTGTTCTTAAAAATCTCCAATGATGGGGTTCCACAACCTCCCTTGGAAGCCTGTTCCAGAGCTCCACTACCCTGAGAGTTAGAAAGCTTTCCCTAATATCTAACCTTAATCTCCCTGGCTGCAGATGCAGCCATCACTTCTTGTCCTACCTTCCGTGGACATGGAGAACAGTGGATCCCCATCCTCTTTGTAACAGCCCTTGACATATTTGATGACTGTTGTCCGGTCTCGCCTCAGTCTTCTTTTCGCAAGACTAAACTTTCTCAGTTTTTTTTAACCTTTCCTCACAGGTCAGGTTTTCTAAACCTTTGATCGTTTTTGTTGCTCTCCTCTGGATTCTGTTTTGTTTGACCACATCTTTCATAAAGCGTGGCACCCAAAACGGGACACAGCACTCCAGCTGAGACCTCGGCAGTCCTGAGAAGAGCAGGGCGGTTACTTCCCCTGTCGTACGTACGACACTCCTGTTACTACAGCCCGGAATGATATTAGCCTTTTTCACAACTGCATCACCTTGTGGCTTCATATTCAATGTGTGAGTCACGATTGCTCCTTTCCAGCAGTACGGCCACCTAGCCAACTACTCCCCATTTTGTAGCTGTGCATTTGCTTTTTTCCGTCCGAAGTGAAGTACTTTGCACTTGTCTTTATTGAGTTTCAGCTTGTTGATTTCAGATCAAAGTCACTGATTTAACAAGGTCCTTTTGAATTCTAAGCCTGTCCTCCGAAGGGCTTGGCCCCTTGCTCCCAGCTTAGTGTCAGCTACAACTTTTATAAGCGAATGCTGCACTCCACTATCAGAGACACAGGTACTGGCCCTAGGACAGACGCCTGCAGGACCCCACTATACATCCTCCCGGTTTGACAGCAAGCCATTGATAACTACTCTTTGACTTCAGGCTTTTAACCAGTTTTGCACCCACCATATAGTAATTTCATCTACCCCACATCTTCCTAGTTTGCTTACGAGACTGTCATGCATGACTGTGTCAAAAGCCTTCCTAAAATCAATATATATCACGTCTAATGCACCCTCGCTGTTCACTAGGCCAGTACCCCTGTCGAAGAAGGAAAGGAGGTTGGTTTGGCAGGATTTGTTCTTGACAAATCCATGCTGGCTAGGCCTCATCCTCTAGCTGCTTCCAATTTGATTGTTTAGTACGTTGCCTCTTTCCAGCTATGGTCTCTAGACTAACATCTAGCGCATTGCTAGAGCGTTTCAGAAGCAGATCTCAGAGCCCTTTATGAAAGACCAAGTCGTCATCCCCATTTTTCAAGCTAGGGAAACTGAGGCCCAGAGCCGTGAAGTGACTTGCCCAAGGTTACCCAGTAGACTAGTGGCAGAGCTGGGAATGGAACCCAGGGCTCCTGACTCTCCAGTCACTCTCTAGCTGGTAGGCCACACTGCCAGGAAACTAGCAACGTTGTTAAGTGCTGGTGCAGACTAGCTGGAAACCGGGGATCAGTTGTGCTGGTGGAAACCAGGCCAAGGTGTTGGACAAGGTCACGGTGCCCCAAGCAGTGTCTCATCACTTAGCCTTGACAGGGCCAAAGGCCTTGAGTGACAAGGCCACAGGCCAACCTCCCTCCGGTGGTAGCGGCACTTACAGGCTGTAGCTAAAATGCTTCTGTTCGCGTATGTTGTCTGTGTCATTGCAAATCCTCTGTGACTTGAAACATTAGGGGGAGAGGGGGATGATTGTGTGTGGGGAGGGGGAAGTGATTCAGCCATGTGTCTGGCCAGCGCCTGGCACAGCAGGGGCCTGGTCCGTGACTGGGGTGCCCAGGTGCTACAGGGTAACGGCCAAGTGCTGGCTGCGCGTATTTATTCCTGGTGTTGAGAACCAAATAAAGGACCCTGGAACTGCCTGTGTGACCCCTGGCACCTCATTCAAAGTGAGCCGCTCTTCATTCACCCCACCACTGGGTGGGGATGGGGATTTGAAGGGGCGTGATGTGTCCCCCTAGTCTGGAGGAACTAGATGCGGAGCAAAGGCTCCCCACCAGCACAGACGGTGCACATGGAATTCCCCAACCAGTGCAAAAGGGGCTGGTTTTCTGCTAGCAACACAGCCCATTTTGTGAGAGGGGCAGGTCTGGGTTTGCCTGCCCTGTGTCGTTCTCCACAAAACCCTTCTAAAGAACCAGCCACGGGGTTTAACTCAGCCGCTGAACTGGTCCATCAACCCCTTCCCACCCCCCGGACCATCATGCAGTTCACGGAACTTAGAGAGTCATTTACACCAGCTTTCAGAGAGGGAGTCCGGCCGCCCTTAAAACCTTTCCAGGGTGAGTTATTTGTGGGTGTACTTTGAAGGCTTCCATCCCTGTAGTGCCTCTACTCATTAACACAAGCACCAACCCCTGTGGGAGCAAGGGCAGTATCAGGTGGGAAACTGAGGCCCAGCGAGTTGAAGCAACGTGCCCCAGTCCACACGGCAGAGCTGGGATGAGCACCCAGGTGGCTAGAGTGCCTTCCAGTGTCCTACCGACTAGACCAGCCTTCCGACCTGGTGAGTTGCCGCACAGCCCCTTTCTGACAGCGGAAAGGACCATCAAATCCCCTTGATGCTGCGGGAAACCTCTGAAAATCAGGCCAGTAATCAAAATCCAACGCCGCTGCGGCAGCCTTAATGGAGGTGAAACTCAGGGCTGGTGCGGCCCTGTTCGGGCCCTGGCAGGCTTGGCGGAAAGGTACAACCCCAAACAAACCCACGCACGCCAGCGTCACCAGCGGGTATTGCCAGAAACAGTTTTATTTACACAAGGACAAACATTGTAACAGATTACAAAATACTCAACTGAAAACCATAGCGAGAGCGAGACAGAGAGCAGGGCAAAAAACCAGAAAACCAAAACCAAACCCTCAGACAGAAACAGTTCCCACCCCGGGGAGGGGGTGGCATCTTGCAGCGTCCAGGGGACAGGAACAACAAAAACGGCACAGACCACCCCCAACAACGTAATACTGCAGAGACGGTGTGAAACTCAGAAACGAGACCATGGGACACAATCCACCCGTGGACAAACACTTACAGGTGTCCAATGGAGCCATGGCTTGGTTTGGGGTTTTTTTTTTTGGTTTTTTTTTTTGCAAATGAATGAAGAATAGAACCCAGGCAGAAACTGACACCCCCATAATGCAACCGAGACAGACTGCAAAAGGGGGGAGGGCGGCTCACTGCCCTCCCCCGTCCCAAAAGAAACATTACCATGATGAGGAACAATGCGACCAAGGGGAAAATGCTTTTCTTTTCTCGGTTGCTTTAAGACTGGAGGACTTTATGAGCAAAAAGGTTCCCGCCACCTCCCCGAACTCTAGGATCAGTGTTTGATTCGAACACAGTTTGGCTTTACTTGGGCAGAGGGGGCTCAACTGTATTCAGGAGCTGAGATCAGATGGGCCTGTCACCCCCGTGCCAGTCGTTTGCTCGAGTGCCCTGAGGGTGTGAAACACGCCTGGTCTGATCTGGTAGCGTTTTACACCCAAATGACTGTGCGAGGTGCAGGGTGAGGGCAAACAGGACCCTCTGGTTACTGGTACATCAGACAGTCGAAGGGTTCTACCGATACAGCCGCGTCCAGGTGACAGTTCCAGACCGGCTGGTCTCCGGGCTGGCTACACCAGGGCTGCGCTGCGGAGCGGAGACGGGTTGCTGCCAGCGTTTTGGAACTGGGTTAGAGCGGTGCCATAGCGTGGCTACAAAATGAGGTCCCATCTACACTCCAAAACGAAACAGGGTTGTAACCGGGGGAGGGAGGGCAGTTGCATCTCTAGAGCAGACAGGGCAGATGAAGGGCACTGTGCTACCATCGTGGCAAGATCAGGGCATCGTTTAGCCAAGGTGGGTCAGAGGGGAGGTTCCCCACCCAAAGAAGAGGCAGGTGCAATTGCTGCTGTTGGCCCGTGGGGTTTCCAGGGAGCGGGGGTGGCTTTAAGGACCTAGGAGCTAGTGGATGGCTCCAGGGGGCATTATGGTTCAGGGAGGGGTAATTAAGAACAAGCTTGAGCCTTTCAAGGGGCTCAGCTCCAGCTTTCCAGGCAAAGCCCCAGCAGTGCTGGTGCCATGTTCAGGGCTTGCCACGTGGGAGCCAGCTGTGGTGACAGAGCTGAGGGTGCCTTGCTTGGTATTGCAAGCAGTTGGGATTCGAGCAGGGAACTCAGGCTCTGCCTGCCCAGCGGGCAAGCCACGGCCAAGCCTTCCCAGGGAAGCGGGACTCACATTTGGACAGGGGTTCTTGGCAGAACGGACCTAGCATGGCTTCTAGACAGGCCTTTAATCAGGTGAGCGAAACCTTGTAAACCACCCTGCCTGCGGATATGCCCCTTGGAAACCTGGCAACGACCTCCGTGCTGCTCTGGGAAGGGGAGAAGGGGATCTGGGAGCTCAGTGGAGACAGAACCTCGAAGGGACCACCCATGGCTTCGAATGACCCATCGGGGCCCTTCCTCCAGTGGGTTTGCCCAGCGAGTGGTGGCTGGGGCGTGCAGAGGACTGCGATCCCTGTTCCAACTCCCTGAGTGCTCAGGCGAGCTATAGTAGACCCTTCTGTGCCTAACTTCTCTTGGCCTCTGGGCTAGAGCCCAGCTGAGATCAGCGAGCCCCTAATCTGGGAAGCTCTGCCGGAGTTTTCACATCTCCTGCCTTGCCAAGAAGAATGGAGCCGCTGAGCATGGGCAAGCTTCCCCCGGGCCAGCTCTGCCCTGAAGGGGGCAACCCTGGCAGGGCAAAGGGAAATTCAATCCTGGACATCTCTGCCAAGACAGAATAGTGGCGCCAGGTGGGAAGGTGGGTTTTGTCACCTGGGCAAAATCCACCCTCCGTATTAGCCCCCAGGGCCATGCTCGGAGACCCCACCTCACTGCACGGCCGCCTGACTGGGCGACGTCTCCGCTAGGGGTGGGCGGCTCAGAACTGAACGGAGCCTTCCAACTTTCAGTGCCGACTCGCTTTGTATGTCATGCCTCGGCACTGCTGGCAAAAGGCGGAGGTGAAGATCCAAGCCAGGGCCCAGGGTGACCTGCTCAAAAGGTATTTATAGAGACAAATCTGACATCCAGGCTGCGCAGCTGAACCTCCGTCAGTGGGAGCCGACCGAGTATGTCTGCACTGCAGTGCATCACTGGGACCCTACCAAGTCTGGCTATCCTGCAGCACATCACTGGGACCCTACCGAGTATGTCTGCCTTGCAGCGCATCACTGGGACCCAACTGAGTATGTCTACACTGCATTGCAAACGCGGGTCTGTGGGACCCAGGCGTATGGATTCAAGCCCACGCTTGTGCGTCCACACTGCGTGGTAAACCTGGGTTTACAAGTGTTGGACCCAGGGCTCACAGCCATGCTAACAGGCCCATACTGCACTGGGCAGACCTCAGACTCGGGTCTGCAGCTTGCACTGCATCCACACTGCAAAATGACAGGGCTTGGACCCGACTCACAGTGGAGCTCAGGCTTACACCCGCCCCACCCCGCCCCCCAACCACCCCAGGTAGGGCCTGACTGATTTGTGTGTGGATGGCAGGGGGGTTGGGCCCAAATGTGAGTCTGAGCCTGGGTTTACCGTGCAGTGTAGACAGACCCAGTCACTGCCGACCTGAGCTGCATTTGAACCGACAACCAAAGGGAAATGTGGCGTATCCTAGAGTCACTGCTCCACGGACCCTGCCACCACTGCAGGTTTCCTAAAGAAGCCGCCAGGGTGAAGCTGCCCAGCTGCCAATAAACCAGCCCCTCTTGTTTCTACCCCTGCTCATTCTGCCTTTAACAGCTCGGCAAGAGCCCAGACTCAAGAGGCTCTGAACAGACCATCTGACCTTCGCCACACTGCAGTCAAAGCTAATGGCCAGCACCATGCTGGAGAGAAGGGGTGGGACGGGGAGCCGTATAAGCAGAGACGGAAGAACAACCCGCATAAGTCCCGTCCTCCCCCCCCGCCACCGTCCTATCCTAGGGAGGATCAATAATCCATCTCTCTTAGTTTCACCTGAGTTAAGTTTGTCAACCCACCCGCTCTTTCTAGGGCACTGGTTTTCGGAACGAGAGAGCTGGGTTTCTTACCGACACGTTGCCAGGCCTCCTGGGTGGGTCAGGAGTCCAGCCTACAAGTGAGGTGAGCTGGCCTGGCGCTACCCCGGCAGGTTTAGCCACGCGCCAAATGACCCCGACTAAGGAGCTGTTGCGATCGCGCCAATCCCAGGGGAACCCCCTTCAGAGCCAGCCAGGAGGAGGCCAAGCTGCATAGATCCTTCTCCCCTCCAAGGGTTAGCGAGTTGCTATACAGGGAAAGACCCCGTTTATCACCTGGCGGCACTGAGGGGCCGTAGTGATAAGCGCAGAGCTCTAGGGAGCAGAGCTGCCTTGCCAAACGGCACCAGCTAGTGTTCACAAGTACGTATTGCACGAAGTCCCCCCCAGCTCCGCTCAGTTAGCGCTGGGCACAAGAGACAAGTGGCCGCTTGCCTCTCTGTTTCAGGGGCAGGGTGCTGCAGCAGGGCAGCAGGCGGGGAGCCTCGTGCCGAGAGCGCTTTGACGCTCCCTCTCATCCGCACACCCGTTGCGCTTGCATGGGCTCGTGCCGTTGGGCCCTGCGGCTAAGAAACCGTATGGGGGAGGGAGACAAGTAAGACCATGAAAGGGGCCCGGTGCTCAGCCAGCAACTCGGGAACGCGGGGGCAAAGTCTGATCCCCAGGCTCAGGCTGGAAGGGGCTTGCCCTGGGCTGGGGGAGCAACCTGGGGAGCGTGGTAGGGGGATTCTAGCCTCCCCAAAGCACCTCACCCTGCAAAGGGGGGTGAAGAGTCCCAGGGGTATCTCTGGGAGGGGCCATTAGCCCTGTCTGCAGTCAGGGCTTGAACCCCAGCGTAGACAGGGCCTTCATGGGGGGAGTTCAGCACAGCTACTCCCACTGCGGTGTCAGAGAGAAGGGATCTGAGCCGGGGAGAGGAAGACAACTGACGACAAAGAAGGGTCCTCTGGCAGCGGGACAGTCCCCAAAGCTTAGAGGGGGCTGGATCCAGGGTTCAGGTTTGCCTCATCAGAGGGGCCAGCGATTATCTCTGGGGCTGTTTGGATCTGGGTCTAGTACTGAGACTCCTGCGGGTGGGGCAAACTGCAGCACCTTCAGCAGCCAAGGGCTCTAGATCCACCCCGCCACTTCCCAGAATGCCTGGCACAGTGGCGGGCGGCAAGGAATCCTCCCGCATCACTTCCTGTAGGCCGGGGTGAAATTCACCCCCCTTCCAATGCAACAGGTCAGCCCCTTGCCGGGGCCAGCCCCAGACCTAAGCACCACCTCAGTCTCCTGTCAGCCCACAGCTTTAAAAGGCATCGTCCTATCCCTCCACACCAGGACAAACCTAATCCCCCCCAGTGACTTGTATCTCCTCGCTACACAACCACAGCCAGGACCCGTGGGTGCCTACGAAAAGGGCAGAACAGAAAGGTGAATCCGAATGTGGAGATGATCCAAGAGGCCATTCCACCGGGAGTCCCTGGGAGCATTAAACCCAAAGGGAACGGTGACCCCGACAGACCTCATCAGAGGTTTCAACCAAAGAGAAAAACCACACGACACGCAGGCTGACATCACCCGAAACTTAGAAATCGTTTAAAACAAAACCACCCAGCTCTGTCCTTGGTGCAAATCTCCGGCCCCCCACCACCCGACTTTCCAAAGGAAAAGCATGTGCAGTGCATTTAAAAAAATACTATTAAATAATACATCTGTAATAAAATTATATACCTTTGTTTTTTTCCTCTTTTAAAGCTAAAATCCTTCTAAGTTCTCTTAGGCTGGTGAAGTAACAGGAAAAGAAAAATATTTTTTTTCCTTTTTTTTTTTTCTGTTTTTTGTTTTTGTTTTTTTACGAATGGACAACGGTTTTTGTGCACACAAGACAAGAAATCAAATTATTTACAGCGAGACGAGGCTTTGTGAGAACAGAACAAAGAGAACTTCCAGAAAGCATTGGTCGTGAACACGGATGCACAATGGCTCTCTTAATTACAATGGGATTAATTACACAGTGTGTGTGGTAGGAGAAGGGAGGGTTGGGGGTGGGGGGAGATTGAGAATCAAACTAAAAGTGTGACTCTCTTCCCCTGCCCCGTATTTATATATGTATAGCTCCCTCAGAAACGGTAACTCAAAAGAGCAAAATGAAAATCACAGAGAAATTAAGGCATTAAAAAAAATGACTTAATTAAAGGCACGAATATTTCCTTTCTCCTCCCCCAGAGACCGTCCTCAGTTAGCATTCAGAGTCACTTATGTCTCAGAAACACTTCCACACAATTGACAGAAAGATGAATTCAGGTGTGAAGGCTTAAAAAGAAAAAAGAAAGCAAGTCACCGAGCTCGGATTGCGGTGTGAGCGAACAAGGGGAACGAGAAAAGGAGAGAGAGGGAGAGAAAACAGGACAGTGTTGCCGTTTGGATTTGAAATCAGCCGGGTCGTCTCCTCTCTCCTGAGCACAGAGCATGAAGGACCCCCAAAGTGAAACAGTTTCTTGTTTCGCTGCTACCGTGTGTCACCAAAGGGAAGAAGGATGAAGAAAGACAGGAGAGAAGGAAATCGAAACCAGCCAAACCCCTGACTCCCAAAGGTGCAGGGACAAGACAGAGGCTGGTGTGCTCAGCTGCGTGGAGACGGACACAATCACACACACGGCTTTGTTGTGGAGTCGAGTATGCCTTTTTTTTTTTCTCCTCTTTTTAATAGAAAAAAATTCCTTTTTGGGGGGGGGGAAGGGGGAACGAAATCACAAATGACCAAAAAAACCCACAAAAAAGTGACAGCTCCACGACGGCTTGGCACTTCACAAAACAGGCTCCGCCTCCATCGGCTCCTCCACTTGTCTAGGGGCAAAGAGAGAGACACCAGCTGTTAATATGGGGCGGGCGCTTGCTCTCAGGCGGAAGGCCTGATCTCAGGTTGTGTTCCAGGGACGGATGGTCCCCGGCATTCAGCACACGCAATTGGAGCCCGGACCGTCCGAAGAACCCAGCTCCCATTTAGGTACCTAAATAAAGAGTTCTCAAAAGTCCTCATCACTCGGTAACTCCAGGGGTGACAGAGATAACTGGGCTTTCCAAATTGCTCAGCCCCCCAACATGCTAGAAAACGTGTCCCTCTAGCAAAGGAGTGAGGGTTGGGGCTACGCATGGGGATAAGTATCTGTATTTGCTGATTGTCCATGTCTGTCGGGCCTTAGCGATTGTATGCTCTTTGAGGACAGGGACAGTCTGTGTACAATATGTGTACAGCACCTAGCGACACAGGGTTCGTAGGTGGTACAGGAACACAAATAAGGAGACGTGCCAGGCGCAGGGAGACTGCACACACTGGGGATTAGCTCCTGATTTCACCAGAGTCTGGCCAGCTGCTCCCAAATGCAGCCAAGGAAAGCTGAGCTTTGCGGCCCTCGAGCTGACCCCAGGACAAAGCTCCACCAGCATCAAGCCCAGCCCTGCCTCTGTGCCTGGGGGGTCTGCCCTGTGACTGAAACTGGGGCTGATTCTCCCTCTAGACCAGGCCAGAGTCTGAGCCCCCTCCCTGCTCGCTCCCTTACACGCAAGGCGGGTGGGGGGAGACAAGGGGCAGAGGATGAGTGTGTTGGAACATGATCCTCGCCATGCTATCCAATCGCTTCCTGCTGCCCTCCTTCCTGCGAGCGGGCAGGAGAACATGGCCCATGATCCGCTGTCCTCCCCGTCTCCCCCAGCCCTTGGGGCCTTGGGCGCAGACACGCCACAGACCCCACCGAAGCAGATCAGACCCCGCGGTGTTTGGTTGCCGGGACATGGTTCCCACCGTCTCGGCTCCGCCAAAGACTGGAGGAGTTTTGCTTGTGGTTTCGGGGCACTGGGGTCTTTGCGGCGTGTTACTGGTCACTAGCAATGCGAGCGGGCAGGAGGAAAACGGACTCCATGGATTCACTTTTCCAAGGGGCCTCAACTCAGCCACAGCTCCCCTGTGGGAGCTTGCCCAGGTGCTGTAAGTAGGCGAGCAAAAAGGGGGAGGGGAGGACAAGCTGTCTCACAAGCCAGGGCGTGCAAAGGAGAAAGGAGAAATGACCCCCCCCGTGTGGAAGCACCAGCATGAGGCATTGTCCCAGTGACACGCTGCCCAGGGTGAATTTCACCTGCAAACGCAAATCCCTTGGCATGCACCGAGCTGGGCAATGAAGAAGCATCAGCAGGTTCACACTGCAGTCAGTTGGCCGGATTGATCAGTTCTGCACCACTGCCCCCTACTGGATGGGTGCAGAACTGATCAATTCTGTGTCATAGGCCCTGTACAGATATGGGCTAATGGAGATTGTCCTTTAGCTCAAGGGCCTGTTGTTTGGAGGCAGGAGGCTTGGAGCTCTATCCCCCTGCTACTGGGAAGTTTAGAGCCAGATCTAGACCCAGACTCAAGTCCACCTCCAACAAAAATGGCTCAATGAGCCAGCTGAGGACCGCACTCGGGCCCGTATTGTGGGGATACAAGCAAGGAGGCTAATCCCAGTTGTAAGCAACAAGGTACAATACATCCAGGATGCCGAGGACGTACAAAGGCAGAGGGTGCCGCGGGGGGGTGGCCATACCTGGGGCTGCAGTCTGTGCTTCCTTGTTCGGCATCGACCGAGAGCAATGCCATGGCACTTACTGTCTCTGCCTCCTCGGCTTCTCCCTTCTGCGCCTCCAGCAAGGAACAACTGACCACTGAGGCACAGCGGTTCACAGAGCTCCAGTGTTTGCCTGCAGGCACCGGGAGTGAGTTATTGGGGGCGCCTGACAACCCGCTTCCGCGCTCCTGCCCCACCCCCCTACAGCGCCCCCTTCTGGGGGTGGCTGGGACGGGCACAGCTGGGAGCTCCCCCCACAGCCAGTGCTCCTGCCCCACCCCCTACAGCGCCTCCTGCTGGGAGAGGCTGGGGCAGGAATAGCTGGGAGTTCTCTTGCCCCATCCGCCACAGCGCCTCCTGCTGGGAGAAGAGCTAAAGCCTCCTCATCCTATGACCCACCCCCAGCACATCTGGGACTCGCTTTTCCTATCCCCCTCTGAAGTTCTGCCCGGAGGTGAAACTAAAGGCCATCAACTGAAGGGATTCCCCAACCCCTCCCCAGACCCAGCGCCCTGGGCTGCCCCTCCCCCTCCACTTACTCTGGATTTCAATAATCTTCTCCAGCGTGGCCACGGCATTTACATTTGGCTTTTGCTGCAGGAGAGCTTGATCCAGGGGTTCCAGCTGGGAGAGAGGGGGGATGGGGAGAGAAGAGAGACTCAGAAAGAGTTGGGGGCATGTTCTGTACCCTTCCCCTCCCCACCCTCGCTTCATTCAAGTCTACTTTCCCCGACGGGGGGTCCCCGCTTCCCACATTATTATTATTATATAGTGACTCCATCATATAAAAGTTACAACAGTAATAAGATGGGCCCCACCCCTGGGGCTGGGAGGGGCCCTGGCTTCCCAGTTGAATCCCCTGGGGAGGGCTTTTCCAATTACCCTCAGTTTGCTCCTGTTGAAATCAATGGGGGTTTTACCAGTGACTTTGCTGGGAGTGGAGTGAGGCCCATGCTGAGCACTTCTGAAAACCTCAACCCTTGATCGGGGGAGGGGGAGGGGAAGCTCCTTAGAGGCAGACGGGACCCGCCTGTGCGCTTCAACTGCAGGATCAGGACCATAATTAATGTATCTTTTAAAAGAAAATGCCCTTCCCAAATGCCCCCTTCCCCTGGTAACACACTGGGAGGGTTTATAGCGCCAGACTCATCCCTTGCTCTGAGGTCTGTTCTCTTTTTCCTACTTCCCTCCCTACCCATGGTGATAGTCAGTTTCACGCTTGTTTCTAGTCAGTTTCACGGTTCCTGGTCAGGTACCTGGCTCAGCTGGGATCACTAGAACTTTCACAGAGGTTAGAGTTTAGGGCCCGACTGGAACCAGCCTGACCTGTGGCACAGCACAGGCCGTTAACTCCCCTGTATTCAGACTTTCGTTAGATCAAACCTGCCCTCCAGAGGCTAAACTGTTACCTGCCACCAGCAGGCAGGGAACGGGAGAGACTGAAGGGCTGCCGATGCCGGAGCTTCCTGCAATGGCGGGGAACTGATCAGGTGAGAGATGCTCAGAGGATCCCAGCCCGTAATCCACACCCTGCGCTGCAGAGAGGTGTGAAACCACCCCCGGTGGTCCCTGCCAATCTGACCAGGGGAAAAATCCTTCCCGGCTCCAAATCTGGAGCTCAGGGTGACCCTGAGCATGTGCGCAAAACACCCCAGAGACAGGCAAGAGGATTCTCTGCCCCCCACCCCCGCCGGGTTCGGTGTCCTGTCTCCGATGCTTCAGAGAAAGGCAGAGAAAAATCCCATACCACCCAGGATACATCTAGCCGATTGTTAGACATGGCAGGATTCGATTTTAATTGATAAGGGTCCATCAGTGCTGATTTCAGCTGACACACCGAAACTGACAAAACATATCAATGGATAACAGTTGGAGCGAGTGCAGTCTCCCCCTTCCCATGCCTTTCGCCTGCAGGGATTGGGTGTCACCGGCCCCACGGCCAGGCAGGGAGCCCTCTGCAGCCCCACTTCTCGCTCACCCGCTGGGGTCTCTGCCCAGCCGCAGAGCTACTGACATACGGTCCCTGCAGGCACAAGGACAAGGCTACGGTCCTGGCAGGGCAGAGCAGAGACACCCCCCCCCGACCAGGACTGCAAGGTGGAGGAGGAATACGAGCCCCCAGGAGGAGCCATTCAGCAGTGGGGGGTGGGGGGTCTTCCCCGCAATGGGGGTCTGTCACCCCCCAGAAACTTAAATTGAACCAAAAAAAAAAAAATCAACAAAAATAGAAACAAAGGTTAAAAAGAAAATTTGATTTTATCCATCAAAATTAAAAAAACAACAACCCCAAACCAAATTCTGCCAAGCTGGCCAGCAGGGCACCAGACAGAGAGACATGAGAGAGCAAATAGAGGGAACCAGTATCGGTCCCTGTGTTTCAGTTTGTTCCCTGCGCATCTGGCAGCCCGCGGGCTCCCATTCAACGCATTTAAGCGTGCGATTAAATCCATCTCCGGTCAGGAGAGCACTTAAGCACGTGCGACCATCTTGTCTGCGCAGCACAACCAAGGACCCAGCCCGCTGGGGGCTCAGAGGAGCCCCTGCAATAACAACAATAAACTATTCGGAGCACGTGCTGAAGTCCTGCTGAGTACATTGGGTGAAATCTCACCCCAGTGAAGCCAGGATTTCACCCAGGGACGGTCCAGGGGACCGAAGCACCTGTTTAAAGTTAACCACATGCCAAAGGGCCGTCCTGAAGAGAGATGCTGTCCTGAACTGGGGCTTTTGGGCCCAGTCTGGGGCCCGCTTTCCCCTGTATTGCAGTCACCTCTTTAGTTAGCTCTTTGGGGCAGAGACCATCTCTTTGTTTTGTGTTTGCACAATGGAGGCCCTGTCATTGGGGCTCCTAGACGCTGCTGTAATGCAGATACTAAATTATATCAATTGATAATATTTATTGTCTGTATCACATGAGCACCTCGCGGCCCAGCCGAGACCAGGTGCTGCACAGATAAAGTAAGACGCAGTCCCAGCCCAGAAGAGCTTGCAGGCTAAACAGGGAGGGGAAACTGAGGCCCAGAGATGAGCCCGTGTGGGCTGCGCCGGGCAGGAACTCCACTGACCTCCACGCCAAGCAGGGCGGAGACACAGGCTTCTGAGGCGTCGCAGATGGCTGTCAGGTCGTGTCCTCCCTCCAAAGCCAGCACCACGCGCCCGCCAGCCAGCTTCATCAGCTGCTTGGTCAGGTGTCCGAAACCTACAGGGAGGGGGAGAAACTGCCCTGGTCAGTGTGGGACAAGACCCTCCCCTAGCACTCGGGGGCACTGGGATAACAGGGGCCAGTGCGATAGAGGCGTAGGCATGGAGATAAAGAGACAGACAGATGGACAGACAGGTATGCCTGCATGCATGGAGATAGACAGACAGACTAACCATTGCCCACAACCTGGGGATTGCAAACTGCTTTGTCAGTGGATTAAGCCCCCATTTCACAGATGGGGAAACTGAGGCACAGAGCAGGGCAGTGACTCTCCCCCTGTCACCCAGGAAAGCCAGGTGGGGGCACCGAGAGCACTTATCTCTGTATCAGCCCCACGGCTACGGGGGCCCGCTGGGAGCTCAGGAGAACCAGGTGCAGCCCAGCTCGGAGACCCTGGAGCTGCTGGGTCCTAATGAGTAGAGGTGCCCAGGGCTAACCCGGCAGGGAAAGAGCCTGGCCTGGGTCCCTCCTGGCTCCGACATCCATCCCCAGGCCACGCCTGGGAATCAGAGCTCCCCCTTCAGCGCTTAGGGTCCCCCAAGCCACTGAACCTGAAGATGAAGTGGGAGCGAGTGGCGCCCGGACCCTGTGCCAACCCTCTGCCTGGGGGCATTTGACCCTCCAGGGGCTTTCCCGCCTGGGGAACCAGCCCTTGGATCATGGACAAATGAGCTGGCGAGAGGCGTTATGGGGACCCAGCCCCGGCCCAGGGAGCAGGCTGCAATTTTCATGGTTCTCGCTTTTCTGCTCCAAGCCATGACCCCAAACGCAGGCCCTTGCCCCGATCCCCATGGGGCAACCCAGCCGGCTCCCGAAAGCAAGCCCTCAGCCCCCATGGGGCAGCGCTGCCTGCCTCCAGACGCAGGCCCTTGCCCCAACCCCCATGGGGCAGCCCCACTGGCCCCCAAACACAGGCCCTCGACCCCCACAAGGCAGCCCCACTGGCCCCTGCACGCCGGCCCCGCTCTCACATTTCGCCGTGACGGAGTAGCCGCCCAAGGGAGACAGGTGTCCCTCGACTGCGTCGAAGCCGGCAGAGACCAGGACCACGTCCGGGGAGAACTCGTTGGCTATCGGCATCACCACCGTCCTGGGGGAGGGGAGACCGTGAGTGAGGCCCCCAGCAGAGCACGCCAGCTCAAGAAACCCTTGGCTGAGTCATCCAGGGCTGGGAGACCGGCTCCCTGGCCAGTGAGAGGGCACAGAACATCTCGGACCCTGCGGAGGAGCGGGGTTTGCCCCAGAAACCCTCTCCCTTACCCCCCCTCCCCTCCCCGCCCTCAGGAACCCTCCCCCTACACCCCTCCTGCCCTGGCCTCCTGGGAACCCCTGTCCCTGCCCCGCTCCTGCTCTGGGATTCCCCCCCGCCCCCGCTGCCTGGCTCCTCACAGGAAAACAAAAGCACTTTCTGGGCCCAAAGAGATGAAGCATTCCCCAGTCCCCAACCCTAGGGAGGGCTCTCTGCAGGCCCCCTTCCCCGCAACAGCTACGCTTCCATGGCACATGGAGACGCGGCAGCCAGAACAAGCAGGGAAGGCAGTAGGACGGTCACGCAGGACTCTTGGGTTCTATTCCCAGCTCTGACACTGGCCTGCAGGCTGACCTTGAGCACGTCACTTCCCTGCTCCGTGCCTCAGTTTCTCCCCCTGCGAAGTGGGGATAATGCTGCTCGAAGGGCCACAGCTGCTAGCACTGTCCACTGTGGCTGCGGCCATGCTGGCCCAGCAGACACTGCCCTGGCCCGGCCCGATCGGGGTCAGTGTCACACCAGTCCTACTAGCCCCGAACTTCTTCCCAGCACCAGTCAGTCTGCGGCGGATGGAGGCCAAGTGACTGGCCCAAGGACACCCAGTGAGTCAGTGGCAGGGCCCCGTCTCTCCTTCCTCTCGGCCAGTGCTACCTGCCAGCGAGGCGCTGAGGCAAAGGCAGGATGCGAACCCAGGAGTCCTGCAATCCAGGCCAAACTGCCCCTGGGGGGTACCCCGGCCCTGGAGAGCAGCCGGCCGCAGCCAGCGATGTGGTGCCCCCTGGGGGAGCCCTACCTGAACGCGGCCAGGTACTCCACGTCTCCGATGGGGGGGTCCACTCCCCCTGTCCAGGCTATGTTGATGTTGTACCCCACCCCCATCCCGCTGCCAACCTGCAAGAGAGGAGACGTGCATAGGACGTGCATGGATCCATGGGCCAAACCACGAGCAGAAGCCCGGCCCCCACAGCCCCTGTGGAAGAGCCTGGCACAGGGGGGCCCTTCCGGCTCAGAGCTCTGCCATTCCAGCTGCTCTGATCTTGCCCCTTCTCGGTTAGCTATTCGGGGAGGGGACGGGGGGATCACGGAGGGAGCCTTACAAGGGGATTCAGGGTCCTCCCCCTTTCCCCCAGCACTGTATAACCCCCAAGCAGGGAATGCCCTTGGGTCAGATCCTTGGGAGCTGTCACATCCCAGCCCTACCTGATGGCGGACGGGCCCGACAGCCGCCCCACACCCCATCGGTCCTGCCTCAGACCCCCTTTCTGCAACCCCCACCCTGATGCCTCCGCCTGCCTTGGGACAGGCTCCCCCGCTGGGGCCTCGGACAAGAGGCCCAGCTCCCACGCTGAGCCCCGTCACCAGACGCCCTCCAGACCGCGCGCACTGGGCCTCCCTGGCCAGAGCCCCCCGGCCCTACGCTCACCTCCTCGGGGGCCCCGCTGCCTGGGAAGAAGTTGCCATTGTCGTAGCGGTGCAGGGAGATGTACAGCACGTTGGGGTCACTGTAGAAGGCTTGCTGGGTGCCGTTGCCGTGGTGAATGTCCTGCGGGGAGCACAGACGGTTAGGGGGCTCCCCCGTTGACGGGAGGGTGGGGACTGGTCGGGTCTGGCCAAAGGCCTCCCTGTGCTGAGGCAGAGACCGGTAGATACAAACGAGCTTCCATCAGGACTGGGGCTGACTGGATCCCAGCAGCCACCCTCCCTCCGGCCCTTTTCAGCTGCCCCTTTATGGCAAGGGTGCCCAATTGCTGTACCCAATGCCCCCCTGGCAAGCGCCGAGCCTGCTTCCATGGGAAACAGCGAGCGACTTTCCAGCCCCTAAACCTTCCCGATGAGGCCATGGTGTAGGGCAGCAGCCGTGACCAGAGACCCCTTTTGTCTCTGCCGGGCGTTAACTCTGGAGGCTAACGATGGCACCCGAGAACAGGCAGCAACCGTGCACACAAATGCAGCCGCACGTGCACTGACTGTAGCCGCCCTTGGGAACAGTCGGTGCAGTTACTCGCTCCTGCAACCTGCATTCTTAGCCCTCCCCGCAAACATCTTCGTACCAGGAGGGGAAAGCTGACGGGGGCCCAAAGAGGGGGCGACGGGCGGGGGCGAGAGTGGAAAGAGAAAGCCGTTAGCGGGATTCTTTTGCCACACCCTTTGCTTTCCACGTCAGTCTAGTGCGGCGAACCTCCTGGGTTTATTTAGCTGAGGGCCTCGCGGATTGGATGGCCGTGTCAGTTACAAGGGAAAGGATTTAAGGTGCTAAAGAACTTGGCCACATTTGCAGGGGTGGGGGCGAGAAGCGTCTCTGATGGGAGTGGTACAGAGAACGGGTAGCTGGCTGTCACCCATTCCGGGCTTTGAAACCACCTGCAAAGGGAAAGCAACATAAATCCTGGGGCTTGGGGTCTTCTTTAGCTTCTGAACAGAGTCGGCTCTGGGAGGCGGGGGGGTGGGGGGGTTTGTTTCTGCTTGTGTTTTGAATGAGTAACTCAGCTTGTCTAGCGTCTGGAGACAGGGAGCCTGGCTGGGCTGACAGGAAGCGGGGTTTTATAGCCAGGGTTTTAACCAAACCAGGGCTTGAGATGGACAACGCTGTACTGGTCCAAAACCTGGATGTGGGACCAGGCCAGGGGCTGGGTCTTCACTGCAAAGCAAGGTGCAGTTCCAGCCCCCGATGCTAACTCATCAGCTGTCCGGCTGTCTGATCCCAGGTGCCCTAGTTCTGACCTTGGGGCAGCTAGTCGAGGTGAACCCCGGGTGTCGGGGAGAGGACTGACCGGATCTAGCCATGGCCAGGTCTGCTCTACAGCCCTTTGCTGGCGTAACTATGGCAAGCAGGGGCGTGAAGAGGCGTGAAGCCTGGTTGACATGGCTGTGCCGGCTAGAGACCCTAGTGTAGATGCAGCTACACAGCAAAACTGCAGGGGGGCTGGAATAAGGGAAGGGGCTGCGTCCACACCGTCAACCCCGCAACCCCCTTCGTTCTCCATCACGCCGGGCAAAAGCTAGCCAAAGGCAGGGGATTTTTTTTCTCTTGCAGGGCTGGCTGGAGAGAGAAGGACCCAGCCCCTGCAAGGGGAGCAGGGATCCGGTTCCCAGCCAATGGGAGGTATGTTCTGGCTGGCCTGGCCGCCTTCCTTACCCAGTCCACAATGAGGATCTTGCCGACGCTTAGCTTCTGCTGGAGGAGTTTGGCAGCGATCGCGACGGAATTGAAGAAGCAGAAGCCCCTGAGGAGGCAGGAGAGGAGAGAGATGTGGTTACCGCTTCCTAGCCAGCGGGAGCACCAGGGCAGCGGGGAACTGGCCCCACTGATCTGCCTGCATCTACACTAGGGCTTCTCTGCTCTCCGGGCCCCCCACCGCTCCACTGGCTCAGCGCCAAGCCACTGGGGAAGCCCTGGCTCCCGGAGAGCACCAAGCGTCATTTCATCCTGCTCGGGGCAGAGCGACGGGGCATGGTGGGTAAAAGCCGGCAGCAGGGCAGTGCTCCGGGAATGACGGCTGGGGAGACAGGCCCCCCCAAAAGTCAGGTCACATAAATGCTCCGGCAACCATCCAGGGGGTTGGGGACTGGGCGTGCGGGGCAGGGGGAGGGTTGGTGATGTGCTGGGCTGGGACAACATCCCTCAGCTCAGTGCAAGGGGCCAGCTCCCCTCCAGGGTTTCCTGAGGGCCTCTCCACTGGTCCCAGTCTCTTGCCATCACTTAGAGCAGCTCACAGGCTGCTCTAATTTATACCAGCTTGCGAGGTGTCTGGGATCGTACGCTGAGTTCGAATCAGCGGCTGCTCCACCCCACCCCCTGTGCCAGCTGACGGGCCCCCCAGCGCATGGGAATTCTCGTGGGCCAGTGAGGGCCAAGAGTCCACTGCTTTGTGCCGTGCAAGTGGGACAAATTGGCCAGGACAGGAGTGAATCCAGACCCAGATTTGTAGCTTGAGCCCCCACCTCTCGTTTAAACATAGCCGATGCTACCCCAGGTTCATCCATCGCCCAGACAAAGCCTGGACGGTTTCTACCTTGACATTGGCAGGGGTCCCTCCTTATTCCTGCAAGGGAGGGGCATGCCCTCCTCTAGCCATGCCAGCCATCACACACCCGTAATATTTCCCTGGAGATGCAGGTGAAAGGGGGCCCCCGCAGATCCTCTGGGACAGAACGGATCTAGCCTGGCTGGTGGAGATGAGACCAAATCAGGTCCTGGCCCCTTTGCTGAATCATGCTAGAGCTGGGCAAAGAGGGATTCTGAGTGCCCAGCTCAGGACACTTCCAAGGGGCAGGCACTTCCTGAGTACCAGGCCCCTTGGCGGCATCTCTAGTGGGGCGCCCCAAATCTCACCCCAGCGCTGGAGCGGACTGATCTCGGTTAGAACCCGATAGCCCCCCAGCCACGTGACAGTGCGCCCCCCTGATGGGGTGAGAACTCCAGGCTGGAATTGGGCAGACACCAGCCCTTCTGGGTCACTTTGCCATTCGCCCCTTTCCCCTGCCTCCCAGGACGGAAGAGAACAAACTTCTGCCCTTACTTACATGGCCGTCGATTCCTCCGCGTGGTGCCCCGGGGGCCGGATGACGGCGAATCCATTCTGCACAGAGAACCAGAGAGACGGGGGGTGAAAGGAGCGAGCCAGGTTAGAAACTCCCGCACCCCATTCTAACGGTGCTCAGGAAAGGCCGGGCCAGACTCGGGGATGGCCGGAAACGTCGGGAGGGGACGTGAAATTAGAGCGGCTATTTTCACTTTGCTTGTAAGAGCTTTGGGGCAGGGACTGACAAAGCCCTGGCTGGGATGATTTAATTGGGGATTGGTCCTGCTTTGAGCAGGGGGTTGGACTAGATGACCTCCTGAGGTCCCTTCCAACCCTGATATTCTACGATTCCATGATTCTATGACTGACGTGTTGTCCTGGGTTGGGACAGTGCCTAGCACAAATGGGCGCCCGGGTCTATGACTGGGGCTTCCCAGCCCAATACAGACAATAAATGACAACAGAACGAGCAGAAGGGTGACCCACAACAGTCCCTGGAGCGACCCTGCAGGTGTTCCCCCCGCAGGGAAGCCGCCATTCCTGTTAGCCCAGTCTACCCTGCCTCTTCCATCAGCATCAATGTCCTCAGCTGGATTCCAGCGGCAGAGTCTTGCTCACGGAAGAGGCTGGATTCCAGAAACAGCAGCAGCTTTCACGGGCGGATCTGGGCGCCTCGGCCGCCATTCGTCCCGCGCGCCCCGTTTCAGAGGCGAGGCAACCAGGCGCAGCGGTAAAAAGACTCGCTCGAGGTCACACGAGGCGACTCCTCGGCAGAGCTGGGAAGAGAACCCAGGAGTCCTGCCCCCTGCTCTCTTGTGCTAATGACATGATGACACGCCTCGTTCCGAAGCTGAGACTAGACCCCGGGAGTGCTGCGGCCCTGTTCCTCCCTGCTCTAACCCCTAGACAATACTGTGATCCCCGGAGGCCGGTCACACGGCTGTGACTCCGTTTCATTTCCAGTGGCTGGATAGTGTTAAAAGGAGCTCCGAATACCACGCGGGGGCCTCCTTTTCCCAGGTGTCTCTTCCTGGAATTCCTTTCCCAGGGGCAGGTTCCGTGATTGCAGGCGGGAGACGTCCCTGCGTGCTCTGTGCCATGGGAATATTGGATACCCCCAATCCCAGGCCGTGTCCCCCTCTATTGGTCCCCGGGGGAAAGGGGAATTCAGCAGCAGCTGGCTGATAGAGACAGCCTCTGATCAAACCCGGTGCATTTGATCCGGACGGGACAGAACCCAGAATCCCTGGGACATTGCTTTGACACAGCCCCCGTCCCCAATTCTCCCTGACTCAGGGCAACGAACAGTCCTGTGCCAGCAGGCTGGGGGTAAATACATGAGCGACTGCGTTCGAGGGAGCCTGGCCTTTGCCGCCCAGTTTCTCCGCGGCCACCACAGCCAGAATCCAAAGGGCAGGACGGGCAGGGTCACGGGGGCTGGTTTGCCAGATCCCAGCGACATCAGCAAGACCATGCGGGAGAGGCCGATGCAGGCAAGGCTGCTTCCCACATGGCTCCTCTGACCTGGCAACTGGCCTCGGAGTGTTCTCCCCGTGGGCGAGCCCAGCAACATCTGCAAACCCACCCTGCTGGAGCCCCAAGGGGGAAGTCTGAGGAGCAGGGGTTAAAGCAGGTTGGGACAGGGGAGGGGAGCTCTCTCTGCCGCAGTCAAGGAGGAGGGAGAGTGTTGGGGGAGTGCTCTGCTCCCCCCTTAACTCCTTCTGATGAACCCCAACACGGATCAGTGAGGACTCATCTCCACACCACAGCTCTCTTCCAGGAGAGCTGAGGGAGAACTCCCTGAGTTGCTAGCAGCAGTAGGTTGTTATCCTCTATGTGAACCAGCTCCATGTGAATTTGGGACCTCCAGCACCAAAAATCACAATCCCCTACTCCCTGAGCTAAAGGGTCAGCCCCTCCAGCTATGGAAAGCCCCTGGGGGCAGGGAGAGTCTTTTTGTTCTGTGTGCGTACAGCGCCTAGCACCATGACTTGGGCCCCTAGGCCAGGGGCGGGAAAACTTACGGTCTGGGGGCCACATTCAGCCCTCCAGACATTTTAAATCGGTCCCTCGAGCTCCCGCTGGGAAGCGGTGTCTGGGGCTTTCCCGACTCTGGTGCTCCAGCTGGGGAGTGGGGTCGAGCTCTTGCCCCACTCCGCATGGCTCCCAGAAGCAGCAGCATGTCCCCCTTCCGGTGCCTATGCATAGGGACAGCCAGGGGGCTCCGCACGCTGCCCCAGCCCCAAGCACCGCCCCCGCAGCTCCCATTGGCCGGGAACCGCAGCCAATGGGAACTGCAGGGGTGGCGCCTGCGGACAGGACAGCGCGCAGAGCCGCCTGGCCGCACCTCCGCATAAGAGCCAGAGTGGGGACATGCTGCTGTTTCTGGGAGCTGCTTGAGGTAAGTGCCAGCCACAGCGTGCCCCCCTGCCCCGCTCCCGTGCCCCTGCCCCAGCCCTGATCCCCCTCCCATCCTCCGACCCCCTCGGTCCCAGCCCGGAGACCCTCCCGCAACCCAACCCCCAATTTCATGAGCATTCATGGCCTGCCATACAATTTCCATACCCAGATGTGGCCCCTGGGCCAAAAAATTTGCCCACCCCTTACCTTGGCGCTACAGTATGACAAATAACGACAGACAGGAGCAGGCCGTTGCAGTGGCCATGCTCCGCCACTAGAGGGAGATGTGACGGAGCACCCCCAAACACCTGGCTGCGTGCGGGAGACTCACCTTGAGCTCTCCCGAGGCCACCTTGAAGGCTAACTCCACCAAGCAGCCCACGGCCATGCGGACGGCGCTGGACGAGTGCATCTCGTTCCACACCGTGTCGCTGTCCACCTGCCCAGAAAGCAAGCCGGGCCGTTACCAGGGCCGCCTGGGGGGCACACCGTGGAGTCCCCGAGCTCCCCAGCCCCGCCCCCGAGGAGCTACTCACCCCGATGCCGCCACAGGGCAGGACCGCATACATCTTCTGGCTGATGGGACCTGGGCAGAGCAGAGGGAGCAGTGACAGACAGCCAAGAGCCCACGCCCCTGCCTGGGGAGGGCACGGTCCCCCTCACCCCGCCCCTCGACATCTGGACTGGGAAGAGGTAAAAATGGGGGGGAATCTGGACACAGGGGTGTAGGAGTTGCCATGACACATCTCCCCACTGGGCCCACTGAGGCTGTGTCCCAGCGGCTGCCGGAGTAACGGACTGGATTTGGTCTAGTTAGTCCAACATCCAACCGCTCACCAGAGCAGAAAGGGTCCTCAGTCCCCACTCGGCCCACCAGGTCACCCTCCCTTTCAGAGCCAGAAAAAGAAACCAATGCCCCTGCTCTAACCCATAGGGAACACTCCCCTCCCAGAGCCAGGAAAAGAACCCAGTCCCCCTGACTTCCAGTCCCCCCTGCTCTAGCCACTACGACGCACTCCCCTCCCAGAGCCAGCGACAGAACCCAGGCGTCCTGACTCCCACTCCCTCCTCCCCCCTCCCGCTCTAACCAACAGGCCTCCCTCCCTTCCCAGAGCCAGGGACAGAACTCAGGCGTCCTGACGCCTTGGCCCCTGCTTTAACCATTAGGCAGTCCTGCCTTTGCTAGAGTAAAAGAAAAGATGCAGCCACCATGAAGACGACGTTGCCCCTGCTGTGCACACGAGGCAGGGAGCGTGAACAGCCCAACCCGCCTCCCGCCATAGCCAAAAGCCCAGGGACTTGGTGGGAGCGGGCAGGGCCCAAAGTCACCCTCAGACGGGGCACTACCAGGGCTACATACCTAGCAGCTTCTTGCTGTCGAGTTTCTGCCGGTTGAGGGGGCTGGTTCCATAGAGCAACGTGTGATGCTCCGAATGGACCGTCTGGATTTCATCCAGCGTTGCTTTCCTGCCCCGGATCCTCTGGCAGAGAGAGAGAGAGGGGTGAGGGCAGGTCCCCGGCGGGGCTGTGCCTGGCCAGACGGTCCCAGGATCGTCGCTTTATGGAGGTAGCTGGGCTGGGAAATCTGTCTCAGTGCTCGGGGCACACTGCCAGCCGTCCACTTCGAGGGGCTCAGGATCAGCCCCGGGGGTCCTGGGTTTTTGCACCTCAGAGGTGACAACCCTGCTTCTGAACGGGGTGAGCTGCAGCCAGGGGTGGCTGGATCGTGGATGCTCTTACCTCACGTGCTGGGGACCAGTCAGCTGACTGGGGTCCCTTCCCGTGGGGCAGGACTGCAGGGGGTGTGCTCCCTGTATTTGGAGGCCGTGCAGAGCCCTCTCCAGCCCCTGAGGTAATTCAGAGCCACCCCAGAGCTGCTTTAACCTGTACTGCACTTCCTATCGCCCCCTACAGGCCGTGGGCAGCAGAGAAGAGCAGCAGCACAGAACACTCCAGCCATACCCCCTCCCCACCATATCCCTAGGCTGGCAGGGGCGGGGGTTTCTCAGTGGGCTATTGCCACCCCCTTTGCGGGGCAGGCTGCTCCACGCAGGGGGAATCCGATCTCACTGACACCTCTGGCGGGCAGCTGGCCGGGCTGGATGGAGCTGGGGAGGGTCCATCCCCACCCGAGTCTCTTGCGCTAGGAAGGGCGACGTCTGCACTGCACAGTGAATCCGGGCTCTCCCCCCGCCCCCATCCACACCCAAAACCCTCTCGCCGGATTTGGTGGGGCTTTCAACCCCAACTGGCTGGCACGGCTGGGGCTTGGCGCCCGGGTGCTGCTTTCCCTCGGGCTGATAACCTCACTTTGCAGCGAGAACGCCGGCTAAACCCTTTGCACGCCGAGTCCCACAATCCCCCCACGGGCCAAGGACAGACAAGTTCTCCCACAAGAGAGAATCACAGAGCGGCTCTGGGTAGTGCAACACCAAGAACCGGGGGGCTGTGCCCCCGGATGTCCCAGCGACACACCTGGGGGAACGCAGTGCCAGCAAGGGCCCCGTGACTTGGGCAGGGCTTTGCCCCATGGCTGCTCACGCGCGGGCGGGTCCCCATCACTGGGGCTAACTCTGCAGTGACGACGTCGGAGATCGTGCCGGGGCGCCACGGTTGCCATCTCTGAGGTGGGACAATAAACTAAGGCCCCAGCTACTCATGGTCCCATGACACGTTCTGCACGAGGTTCAACCCCTGATAGCTGCCTCCTGAGCCCACACATCCCCCCCTGCACCAGGGCAGGGGCGTTACCCCAGCCTCCTCCTTAGGATCCTCACCTCGCACTTGCTCAGCAAGCCGGTCTCCTGGAGCCTGGACCAGATGCTCTGGATTCTCCCAGCATGCTCTGGGTGAATATTAGTGTTCCCGCACATACACTGATGCTTTAGCATGAACGTGTCGTAGATCACGCCTGGGGGAGAGAAGGGAAGGGACAGGAAGTACGGCAGGAACCCCATGGCAGCCAAGATCCCTCTGGCTGTGGGGCAGCCCATGGCCTGGGGCACAGCCCTGGAGGCTTTCCTGGGGGCAGTGAGCAGGTGTGACCCACCCTACTCGGTGTGGCGGCTGGGAGAAGAGACAGATTGCAGGGCTCAGGCTGAGGGGCTGTAAGATTGCAGTGTAGACGTGTGGTCTCTTCCCGGGCTCCGAGACCTGCGAGGCGGGAGCGTCCCAGAGCCCAGGCTCCAGCCCGGGCCTGAACATCAACACTGCGATTTTACACTCGCAGCCTGAGCCAGCTGCCCCGGGCTCTGTGACTTGGTGCTGCGGGTTTTTTATTGTAGCGTAGTCCTGGGTCTCTTTTCTAAGGCAGATCGTCCGGAAAAGCAGGGAGAACTTGGCTGTCTCGGCCAATTGAGACTCCTCCTGCCAGACCCTGCTCCAGAATCTTACATTTTCATTTTCTCAATCATTTAAAAGTTTCTGGGCCTGAGGGCTGTAAAAGAAACCGTCCAAAGCTGACCCGGGCATGAGCCACATCCTGATGTCCACCTGAGTCCGCAGACAAGCACACGAAGAAGGCCTGAGCTGCCCCATTCAGCGCAGCGGGATGTTCACTCTGAAGTCTAATGATGACTGTTTGCATTAGCGGTTCCCCGACTGATCAAAGCACTCAAGAAAGGAGAGGGATGATCACGTTATGTGCTTCTGCACGTTTTTGTGAACAGCACCCCACTTCAGCATCGTGAGGGTGGAGCTTGGGCTGTGGGCGTGGCTTGGGCTGCTTTTCCCCCCAGGTGACCTCTGGGAGGAGCGAGACACATGACTTCTTACCGGTAGTGAATAGGTGTTTGACCGGGGGTTCAGCCGTAGTGGTCTTTATGCCCGCGGTGGCAGGCGAGGACTGGGTCCGGCTCAGCGCTTGGTGAGGCAGGGTGGCAATTGTCAGGGAAGCTGGGAAGAGCTGGATGGGCTGCAGCTGCTGAGCGTCTGGGAACACCTGCCAGAACACGGCGCAGAGAGAGGATGTACACAGGGCGGGAAATTCACCGACGGCCGAGCCCTCCAGAAGCAGCACGGTCCAGCGGTAGGGCAACAAGCAGGGACGCAGGTTCTGTTCCCTGCTCTGCCACTGACCCACCCAGGCCCCTCTCCGTGCCTCAGTTTCCCCTCCCATCCTTTGTCTGCTCTGCCTATTAAGACTGTACATTCTGTAGGGCAGAGACAGGATCTGTGCAGAGGCATGGCCAGCTGGCAGGGGGCCCAGCGCACGGGGCAAGCGGGCACCTTCAGTCCCACTCAGCCAGCTCTGGGCACTCACACATCTGTCCGAATCTGCCCCATACCGCCTCCCGCTGAACCAGGTTGGCTTTCGATGCCCCACAACACCCAGGCTGTGGCATCCGCGTTCGCCCAGCAGCCAGGCTCCTCCTGCCCCTTTCCTCTGTGCCATGTTTATAACCCTGTAGGAAACCAGCCTGCAGTGCCCCAGGTACCCCCGGTGATGAGGTTAAGGGCATGGGTTGGCCCAGGGGTGCAGTTCCCAGGTCTATCCCTTTCCTCGTGCCAGGGCCCGACAACACCACAGCGCACCGTTGGCACTGCTGAGACACCAGCGGCTTCCCACCTGCCCGCCCGCGCTGCTCTCCTTTTACAAACCCCATCCCCTCCGGGGAACGAGACTCATCCCTTCCCGCCGCGCGTCCACACGCACCCCCGCCCGATCAAATATTCAGCAGCCGGGGGAGCGGGGATGCGAGAGGCTTTGGATGAGTCATGCCCCGGAAGCAGCAGCAGCTGGGTACGACGCGGGGGGGGCTGTGCGGGGGCCGGAAGCGGGGAGCAAGGAGGGCGATGCGCGGGTGTGGATGAGTCACTCGCCCCTCAGAGCCGTGGCTGATGAATGGGGAGCCGGCTTGGCAGGCAGCAGGCTCGGCAGAGGCGGAGCTGAAAGCCGAAGCGGGCCACGGAGAGCTGGCTCGAACGGCTGCAGCTGGGCAGGATGGGAGACGGGGGCCGGGGCGTGCCAAAGGACGCAGGGCTTTGGGAGGGTGCGATCAGGCGTGAGAGTGCCCCGGGGGCGCGTGCGGCCGGCCACGCGAGGTGGGCCTGCATACCAGAGCACGGCCAGGCATGCAAGCGGGCGGTTACTGTGCCCAGGCCTTTGCCCCACCGCTCATGCGCCCAGCCCCGCGACTGGGGCCACCTTCCACTGCCGGCCGGGGCTTTCATCAGGAGCCAGCACTAGCCACCTTCCAGTTGCCCGATGATCTCACTAGCCCGTTTCTGTGTAAGCTGGACCCAGCTGGCCAGGGCGAGCGCCTGCTACCCTGCCCCGCCACAGCTGGCTGGCCAGGGCGAGCTCCCCACCTCCCAGCCCCCCTGGCTCTCCCAGTAGCCCGGTGGGGAGCCTCAGGAGAGAAGGACGCCCCCTCCCAACCAGCTGTGAGCATGACAAGCCCTCGGTGCAGCCCCCCATGAGCACAACGCACCCTGGCAAGAGAAGCTGGGGGCCTGAGCCAAACCCCTCAATGGGGGATGGGGAAAGCTGGGATCCGGACCCACATGGTGATGGGCCAAGGATACGTGCCTGGATCAAGGCGGGCTGGAAGGATCTGCAGGGCAAACAGCTGCCCCACCCCTACCCATTGTGCAGGCTGGAACGGCGTGACCCCTGCAGCCACACGCTGCAGCTGGAGTAAACATTTGGGGCGAGCATCTCCCACGGCTGCCCCCTCCTCCCAGGGGTCCCACCTATGGTGGCACATCCCCCACTAGCACAGCGTCGCCCTCTGGTGGCTGGAGCACAGAAGAGGATAAGAGCCTACTACTGGTGCCAGCTGGGGGAGTCACTCCTTTAGCCCAAGCAGTAGAGGCACAAGGCCTTAGCGCTGACAGTCCCTGGGTTCGAATCCACCTGTCAGCCTAAAGAGAGGGGCCGTTCTCCTGGCAGATGATGCATAAGGTAGAGGAGACCCGAGTTCACTTAGGGGAGCAGTGGGAGGGGCTCACCTGCTTGTAAGCCATGCCCAGCTCCTCCACCTCCGGTGAGTCGATGGGCTCTTCTTCATCCCCGCTCGCGCCCCCGTCGTCCTTCACCGGCTCGCCGCCCTCGTCCTCCTCCAGCTCGTCCTGCGTGCTCTCGCTCTCCGGCGAGCCGTCCACCACCAAGGCCACCGGCCCCAGGGGCACCCTGTCCTCCAGCAGCGCCTCCTGCTGCTCCGTCAGCTCCTCCTCCGTCTCCTCGGGGTGCGTGGTGGGCGGGCGGGGCAGCTCGCCCGTCTTGGTGATGATCTTTAAAGAGAGGGGCAAGGGCTCTTGGGGCCGCCTAAGGGCACAAGGGGTTGGCGCCCGGGGCCACGTATGGCAGCTGATACGCCCCCCCCCGCCTCGCAGGTGGCCCAAGGGGAGGGGGGCTTTCTCTGGGGATCGACAGGCTCAAGCCGCCCATGCCCCGCAAGCCGCCCCGCCCCGCGCCCGCCCCATTCCCCCGGCCAACCTTGCCAAGCTGGATCTGCTGCTGCTGTTTCTGCTTCTCCAGGAACTGCTGATGCTGTTGCTGTATGACCAGCTGCTGCAGGGCCTGGGGGCTCTGGGGCAGCGGGGACGACTGGGTGCGGCTCAGCGGGCGGTGCCGGGGCAGCTTGCTGACCGTCCGCATGCTGGTGGGGCCGCGCTCGCCCGTCACCAGCGGGGACTGGCCGTGGAGCGGCACTGGAAGGAGAGAGCACCCGGGCGGAGGGTCAAGCGGGACGCAGGAAGTGCTGAGCCCGCCGCACGGGGGGCTGCTGGTCGAGGCGTCAGGACGCCTGGGTTCTCCCCCCCGCGCTGGTCACTGCGCAGGTGGCCGGCCTTGCTCCTGGCGTGTATGTTGCCCCGCCGCTGAACACGCAAAGGGCGACGCCAGGCAGCAGGGCGGGGGCACGGCCGGGAACAGAACCCTGCGCCCCGGCCCCCTGCTGCGCCTGCAAGGCGGCCCCCCCTCCCAGCAGGCTATCCATCCCACGACCCCTCTGGCCTGCCTCCAGCTTGGCCCCCCCCAGGCTGGTGATTCTGTCACAGAGGGGTGTTGTCTAGTGGTTAGAGCCGGGGACTGGGCGTCCGAACGCCGGGCTCTGTTCCCAGCTCTGGCCTAGTGGTTAGAGCCGGGGACTGGGCGTCCGAACGCCGGGCTCTGTTCCCAGCTCTGGCCTAGTGGTTAGAGCCGGGGGACTGGGCGTCCGAACGCCGGGCTCTGTTCCCAGCTCTGGCCTAGTGGTTAGAGCCGGGGACTGGGCGTCCGAACGCCGGGCTCTGTTCCCAGCTCTGGCCTAGTGGTTAGAGCCGGGGACTGGGCGTCCGAACGCCGGGCTCTGTTCCCAGCTCTGGCCTAGGGGTTAGAGCCGGGGACTGGGCGTCCAAACGCCGGGCTCTGTTCCCAGCTCTGGCCTAGTGGTTAGAGCCGGGGACTGGGCGTCCGAACGATACCAAGCCCCGTCTCAGGGCAGCTGTATCCAAGGTCCCTCGGTGATGGCCCCCTGCCCTCCCCCAGCATGGCCTGGGCCCCCCCGCCCGCCCTCACCGGCGATCAGCGTGTTCTGCTGGCGGGCCTGCTCCAGGAGCAGCACGTGCTGCAGCAGGGAGGCGTGCCCGTGGCTGTTGGTCTCGCCCTCCAGGGCGACCCCCAGCAGGCAGCCGGGGATGGACGAGGTGCTCATGAACTTGCCCGTGAGGGCCCCGCCCTGGCGCAGCGACTGGATGGCGTGGCGCTCTGCCTCCTGCTGGGTGGAGAGCTTCGGGGAAGCCTGCGGGGGAAGGAGAGAGAAGAGAGAGTGTCGGGGGGGGGGCTGCTCCTCTGCAGACCTTTGCCCTGCTCCTGAAAGCTGGCCAGGCACAGGGGGGCGCGATCATGTCCCCTTCCCCCCCAACAAACACACCTCTGTCTGCTCAGGGCTTCCAGCCAGGGCGGGGGCAGCAGGGTCTCCTGTGGACCACAAACCCATTGGGGTTACCAATGGGGAAGGGGGGTATTAGGACCATGAATGAAGTAACCCGCATCCGGGTCTGTCCCCATCTCTGCTCCCCTCCTCAGATGGCTGCAAAGCCCTGCCCCAGTGAAGGTGGAGCTGACAAAGATGTCCCATGCCCTGTGCACCTTGGCTGGTGGCCAGCGTGCCCACCCATGGCTGCCATGGGCTTGCAGTCACGCCCGGCTCGAGGAGTGGCACCGGCCAGCTGGGTGCCCATCCTAGATCTGCCTAGAACCATCCGCATTAAAGAGGGTTAAGCCCTTGGGCCGACACCCCCAGCCTGAGCTGAAGGGTCCGCTCTGCCCACCGTCGTCACAACCACGAACACCACCAGGGAGACTCCCGCCACCTCAGAGCCACGCCTGGCATGCCCACGCTGCCGCACGCCTGAAATCTTGGGCTCTCAACGGTTCCCCGCCAGGGGTTTTCAGCCTTTTTTCATGTGTGGACCGCTACAAAATTTCGAAGGGAGGCGCGGCCCCCTCTGGAAATCTTAGCCAGAGTCTGTGGGCCCCCAGGGCTCCACGGACCCCAGGTTGAAAACCACTGTTCAAGACAGACCCTGGCTGGACACCCGGCCTCACTCGGCTCAAGGAAACTGGAGTGACCAGCGGCCTCTTGGCTCCAACCCCAGGAGCAGGCTTTGTCTCCGGGCAGGACGAATCCCTCTCCCGCCAAGCCCCTTCCCATCCAAACAGCTGCTCGGCCCCTCGGCTCTCAGGGACGAGGTCTCCACTTTGTGTAAGCTGCTCACAGGAGCACAGGGCACGGCTGGAGCACGCAGCGAACTCTGCCAACGCATCTTCAATATTTGCACTTGCCCCTCCGCGCACCCCGCTCTGCCAACGCACCCGAACCCTGCCCTGCAGCCCCCCGCCCCGCAGCTCTGCTCTCTCCCGGGCATGCAAGAATCGGAGCAGTGGGATAACACCCGCGAGACACGAGACAGCGAATGCCCCACTCCTCCCAGCCTCGAGCCCAGACCGGGCTAAGTCCCCATTCTCCTGCATTCGCCCCATTGCAGCCTCCTCCCGCCCTGCGGGGAGAGATGGAAAAGAGGGGAGGAAATCACGTGCAAAAATGTGACAGCAACTGGGGGAAGCTGACCGAACCCTGCGGTCCCCACACGTGGGCAAGGACCCATTCTGCAGCCGTGGGCCCATCCTCAAGCCGGGCTGTTTTTTCGGGGAACAGTTGATTTCTTCAGTATTATTCTTTGTTCGGATTTGCTAATTACGGTTTAAAACCAACAGAGCCACAAGCAGCTAAGGAAAGTCAAAGGTGACGGACGCCCCGACTGTTTGATGTGCGGGACAGGGTGGAGACAGTAACGAAGAGAAGGAGGGGGCCGCGTGGAAGGACAATCATTTCCAAACAAGGGGGCCGGAGAGTTTTACCCGCTTACCCCCCGTACTGAGCCCAACCATCTTAGGGCCCTAAATGCCACCAAGACTCCAAAGTGCCAGGTTTGCAAAGGCCTTTCCACACCGGTACCTGGTGGGTTCTTCAATAGCACCTGTGTGTGACGGGCGGCTGTTTGGTGAGGGCAGCGTGATGGGTGGGGCGTGATGGCTGTGTGTGTGTGTGTGTGATGGACCGGTGTGTGTGTATGGGTGTCTGATGGACATATGTGTGTGTGTGTGAGAGAGAGAGAGAGATGGACCTGTGTGTGTGTGTGTGTGTGTGTGTGATGGACCTGTGTGTGTGTGTGAGTGAGAGAGAGATGGACCTCTGTGTGCGTGTGATGGATGTGTGTGGGTGTGGGTATGTGATGGACCTGTGGGTGTGGGATGGACCTGTGGGTGTGGGTGGTCTGATGGATCTGTGTTTGTGTGAGAAAGAGATAGAGAGAAAGAGAGATGGACCTGTGTGTGTGCGTGATGGACGTGTGTGGGTGTGGGGGTGATGGCTTGGGAGATAGAGAAAGAGAGATGGACCTGTGTGTGTGTGATGGACGTGTGTGGGTGTGGGGGACCTGTGGGTGTGGGTGTGTTATGGACCTGTGTTTGGTGAAGAGATACAGAGAAAGAGAGATGGACCTGTGTGTGTGTGTGATGGACCTGTGGGTGTGGGTGTATGATAGAGAGAAAGAGAGATGGACCTGTCTGTGTGCGTGATGGACGTGTGTGGGTGTGGGATGGACCTGTGGGTGTGGGTGTGTCTCATGGACCTGTGTTTGTGTGAGAAAGAGATAGAGAGAAAGAGAGATGGACCTGTGTGTGTGCGTGATGGACCTGTGTGGGTGTGGAGGGGTGGCCGATGGACCTGTGTGTGTGTGTGTGTGTCGGATGGACGTGCGTGTGGTGGGGTGAGCACTCAGCCTCCCCGGTACAGCCACATTTGACAGGAGCAGGGTCCGACCCGCTGAGCACCCCAGAGAGGGGAGCCAGTGGGACCAGGCCAAGGGGGACGGAGCAGGCTCCGGCCGGTACCCGCACCACAGAACTGAAGTCGGCCCCTCAGCCCAGGGCTTGCGCAGAATCAGCCGGGTCAGAACCGGGTCCCCAAAGCAGCCTGGCCTGTCTGGATAAAGTGCCTCCCTCCCTGGGGGGGTGGAAGCAGCCTGACCCGCCGGTGGGACAGTGGGGTCCCAGCGAGACGCTGGGCTTTGCAGAGCGGCCAGACGCGGCCAGTCGCAAGGGGCTTCTCTGTCTGGAGCCCAGCTCACCCTGAGGGCACATCCCCAGGCCAGGCAAACAGCCCCACACCCCCCTCTGGCTGCACGGGGCCGAGTCACCCCTAGCAGGTTCACAGACCCAGACCCATTTGTGGGTGATCAGAAAACTCCCCACCCTGACCGGGCTGGAAGTCCCCACACCTCGGCCCCCAATGCACGCTGGCCCCCAAACTACGGTCCCAGTTCCAGGCTGCACTGAGATCCCAGGGGTCTGAGCGCATGGGCCTGCAGAGGGGAGGGTGGCAGATCAGAGGGGGGCCCCTGGCGACACTAGCGTAAGCTGCAAAGAGAATCTCCTAGGAGCTCCCCCCGCAGGCAGGGCATGCAAAGCCCTGGACACACCTGCAGAGCCTTGGGGGGCCATGAGCCTGGGGGGGCCATGAGCCTGGGGGGGGCCATGCTACAGCTGCAGCAATTCTCTCCCATTACCCCCACAATAACCACGGCTTAGCATTTATCTAGCGCTATTTAGGATGACAATTCTTTCAGGCGGGGAGAGCTGCCTAGTGGCGAGGGCTGGGGAACGAGGGGTCGGGACTCCGGGGTTCTATTGCTGGCTCCATCGCTGACTCCCTGCACAACCTTGGGCACGTCGCTGTCCCCGGTCCGTGCCTCAGTTTCCCCATCCCTGAAATGGAGGTTAAGAGGACTGGCTTGTTTTTATGGAGCTCTTCACCGGCAAAGTGCTTTACGCGCTTTGACTGCTGCTCACTACGCTCCTGTGAAGAACTGTTCCCAGGGAAACTAAGGCACAGAGCGCTAAGTGATTCAACTAAGGCCATGCCAGGTTCCGGTGGCAGAGCCAGGCTCAGGACACAGGAGCTCCTGGCTCTCAGGGTTGCTCAGTTTTACCCTGGCACACAGCAGAGCACGTTCCTCTGCCTGTCGTTTTCCTGTTACTAGGGGCTGAGGTTCTAATCTCATCTCACCCTTAATCTACAGCAATGCCACCCAGATTTATCAGAATGGGGGTGCTGTTGCCCCCCTCAAATAACTCGAGGGAAACGAGTGCTGCTCACCCTGTAAGGCAGGGATAGTCCATTCTTTTTTGTCAAGGTCCAAATTTCTTGGTCAAGGTCCAGACTCCAGAGAAAATCATTTTAAAAACACCCCCAACAATAATGATAAGCAGCAGCAAATTAAAAGATTTCAGGGTCTGTTCAAAAGGATCTGGCGGTCGGGATTTGACCCCCGGTCTGCCTATTAACTACCCCTGCTGTGAGGTAAAGCTCTGGCAGATTATCTCTAGTGTGTGGGAGCCAGGACTCCTGGGTTCTTGGCCGGGCTTTCCCACCGTCATCGACATCCACGCGACGTGGGTGCGAAACGGCCCCCAGCTCAGACTGGCTCCACGCTGCCCCCGCCCCGTGCTGGTGCACAGGACGATGCAGCCCTGGTGTGCCCCGACAGCGCACACCCCTGGCATGGGCACGGTCTGCCTCGCTCTCCCTAGTGCCAGGCGCTGCCCCGGAGCGCGGCTTCTGTTCCCCCTACTGCCTCTCTCCTCGCTGGGCGGGGGGGGGGGTCAGGTTGCCGCACGTTTGCGCCCGTACTCACGTTGAGGTGCGAGTTGGTCACGGTGACCGTTGCCTGCAGTCCCAGGGAGATGTTGGGCAGTGACGGGGAGGTATAGAGGCTGAGCTGGCTAGCGGACCCGTCCATTGCCAGGGCTCTGTGCTGGGGGAGCAGCTGCTGCAGAAAGGAAGGACGGACGGAGGGAGGGAGTGGGGAAGAAAGAGACAAGGGTAAAAAGCTACGTAAGCGAGAGAGGAGGACGTGGCAACAGCTCAGGTGCGGCTGGTCAGCCCCAGCCCGCCAGACACAGGACTTGCTAGGGCAGCACTAGCCAGCAGGGGGTGCTCTCTTCTAACGCAGGCGTCAAACAAGCAGATTAGCCCGAAGCTCTGTCCTAGCAAGGGCCTTGGGGAAGGGTGGGGGGGAAGCAGCGTGTGGATGGAGAGGGGTGGTCCCTACGGTCTCAGCTCTGCAGCTATTAGATGCCAAGAAGGACTCCCCCCATGACCTTGGGCACGTCACTGTCCCTGCTCTGTGCCTTAGTTTCCCCATCCCTAAAACGGAGGGTAATGGGACTGGCTTGCAGGCAGCCGAGGGGCAGAGACGCTGCCCGCGTCAATGACTATTGCTCTGGGCCCCTGCCCCCGAGGAACTTGCTGAGCCCCATTGCAGCCCCACAGCCTGGCACCTCTCGAGCTCCTGTCCTTGGATGGCCTGGGATCCGGCCCCCCCAACTCCCCCTGCTGAATTCAGATACGGTGCGTAAAACATTAGCTCCAGCACCCCAGGGAGAACCGGCCCAGCCCTGGCACCCCAGGAGGGTGAATGCCCCGCCCCTAGCACCCCAGAAGAACCTCCCCCTAATTCCACCTCTACTCAGCTCCGGTGCCCCAGGAAAGGGTGCCCCCCAGCATGCCCTCTTCCCTCCCCCAGTGAGCACCCTCCCTACTCAGCGCCGACACTGTAGGGCCCAGACTTCGTTCCATGGATTTGTTCAGCCCACGTAGCCCCCGAGGTGAGGTGTCCCCTCGGCGCTCCCAGCCTCGCCCTCTCTGCCCTTATCCACGCAGCAACCTGCATCTGGGAGCTAAGCCCCACTGCAGAAATCGGGGGGCAGCAGCTCAGGCTGACTGGTGATAAGAGATGTCTCTGCCGACCCGCCGGATGGCTCCCCTGGGCAGGCACATGGCCAGCCCTGCCCCATCTCTCTCTGTGCCTTCGCCCTGTGCTTGCCTCTTACTCCCATTGTCCCTCCGGTTTATCCTGGGCCTGGCGGAGTTAACTGAGATCCTGGGCATGCTTCCAGCTTCCCCACTACAGCAGGAGAGAGGGGGCGTCCCCGTCTCTTCCAGCAAAGCGCCTGGATCACGACCAGTTACGCCAAGCGACAGCTCAGAGACCACCATCAGAGCAGTGCCCTCCTGTGTTCGTTCGGCGGGGCGGGGGGAAGAGAGATGCAGAGACCTGAACAAACCTATGGCTCAAGTGGGTTGTATTTGGGTTCGGACCTGGATGTTTCCAGAGGATCTTGCAGGCTGTAGGACCAGGCCAGGGAACCCCCTGACGACGACCAGCAGGGCCTAGCTGATAGGCTGATGGTGGGAGCCTAGAACCCGCGTCCCGCCGAGATCCGGCACTGTGCATCACCAGGGACACAGCCAAAGGGCCCGTGGACACAAAAAACACTAGCTGTGGCCGACACAGGGCTGCGGGTGGTCGCGAGGAACTCCATGTCGGCCAACCAGAGCCCGCCCAACCCCGCCCCATGTCCTGTGAGTGGAACGTCCCCGGTCCTCGCCCAGCACGCACATGGGGGGCCCAGCTCAGCCGCCCCAGGATGGTCCCTTTAACGATTTAAAGGGGACATTGTCCCCGTCACACCCCACAACCAGGGCCGTCAATCTCTCTGCACCAGCCGCTCCGGTACGTCTGCTCATCCTGAAACTACATACGGCGATTGCATTGGGGACCTTCCCCTCCGAAAACACCAAGGAGCAGGAAGGGTAACTGACCAGCTTCCAGCTGAAGGAACCGGAACAAGTAAAAAAAGGGCAGCAACCACGGGGAATGAGATTTAAACGACCGCCTGACTCTAGCGAGCTCATGTCACTCGGATCCTGAGGAAGGTATCTGGGGGGGTTAGTTTGGTCACTGGCTGTTTTGTTTTATTTTTTAGGCAACATACGTTTGGTTTTTTTTTTTCCCAATGGCAGCATCCCAACTGCAGAGGAAGAAAAAGGCCCTGTCACTCTCCCAGCCCCAGCTAAAAATACCCTCAAAATCCCAAATCACCCAAAGGCTCTTTTCCCCCAACCCTCTGGGAGTCACGCAACCGCGGCGAGCGAGAGAATCGGCGCCGTTTCCACTAGAAAGTCCATCGTCCCACTAGCATCCACCCAGACACGCCTCGCACACGCGGGCGGGTCGCTCGTGTCACACGCCAGCGATGTGAAGCCCCCAGCGATCCCCACCACAGGACGACACAATATTAACCCTTTCCTCCTGGAACGCTGCGGCCCTCCTGTAACCAAAGAAAACGTTCAGAGACAAGACAGAAGAGAGGGAAACGTCCTTGACGTTACAACAGCCACAAGATTTGCCCGGAGAGCGGGGAGAACAAGGAAAAGTGCCGAGCGCGTATCAGTGCAGTGTCGATGGAGACGGGGCAGGTCCACTGAGGAGACGAGTTTTCAGCTCTTTGGTCAGGGCTCGCGCTGAAGAAAGCAAGCGAGGACTGGAGTGGGGGAGGCCCAGCGCCCCCCCGGGGGGCTCCCTCTGCAAACCTTACCTCGGTGTGGATGTTGGGGGCAGAGCCAGCGAAGCCATTCTCAGCGATGGTGCTGTTGGAGCTGTTCGGGGAGCTGGGACCGGACCCTGGGGCACTGTTGCACACGGAGGAGACTGCAAGAGAAAGGGAGAGTTGCCTATACGTCATCAGCTGCCGGCACAGACGCCCGTTCCCCACAATGCTCCCGAATGCCAGGCCAATCCAGATGTCGTTCCCGAGTGCCGGGAGCTAAACCCTGCAATCTTCGTTGCTCTTCCCAAGTGGGCTCACCCTGTCTTGGGCATCCAGCATGGACCTGGACCGGCCCTGAGGGCCAGACTAGCAAAGGCATCGATCTGCACCAGCCAATTTGGCATGGATATCTGCACAACTGACCCGCCATGGGTCTGGGAGGAAGGGACGCTGCCTTTGGGCAAGATTTCCCCAGCGTCAGTGCACTCCTTCCACACTGGGAGAGGGGTGCAAGAGTGTTGTCTAGTGGTTAGACAGGAGACTCAGCAGGAGTTCTAGTCCCAGCTCGGAGAGCGTTCAAGTCACTGCTTGGCTCCATGCCTCAGTTTCCCCGACTGTTGCTTCTCCTCGCAGGGGTAGGGCTGCAGGGGTTACATTCTGTAGTGTTTGCCAAGCACTTTGCAAGCCCTGAGTGGAAGGAGCTAGGGAAGGATGAAATGTAATTATCATCAGCTGACCCCAATTCTTGGGCCCAAAGGATGGGCACAGAGCCGGGCTCAGGGCTTGCTAAATCCCTGACACAGGACCCTTTACAGCGAAGGGTATTACCGCTCCGCACGGCTCCCTGCGTGGTCCGGAATCGGGGGGGCTGGCCACACATGCAGTTGTGATCATGAGCTTTATGGTCCCGCTGCCACCTCTCGCACGGCTGGAACGAGATCACCTTCCCTACCCAGCCATGGCCCGTATCCCCCGGGGCTGCGCCCTCGTGGGCCCCGGTGCAAGCAAGGGTAAGCCGATAGCGGTCGGAGTCAGTAGCGGATGGAGCAAATGACCGCGCCACGGAGACTGCTGGATTTAACACAAATCCAGATGCAATGCATCGAAAAGAAAAAAATCCCATCTTCCCACACAGCAGGGTGGGCATGGACCCCCCATCCCCCCACTGCAGCTGCCCCAGGCCATTGGGCACTCCAGGTTAGAAATCCAGGTCAGCACAAACCTCCAATCCAGACAGGTACGAAAACAACCGCTGGCTTCATGCCCCCGTCCCCAGCCTGCTCTGCACCCCTCCCACCCCCACCCATTGTCACTAGGTGGGGGAAAGCGGATCTCCAAGCACCACCTACATGCCAGGGGGCAGATCCTCAACTGGCGTCAACCGGCATCCCTCCATTGACTTCCACGGGATGCTGATTTACATCAGCTGGGATCTGGCCCGTGGCCGTCAACAGACTTGCCCCAGCTGCAGATCGGGCCCACTGACACTCCGCGGAGGGACTCCACCCTGCATCTCAGGAAAACAAGTACCTGCCCTTGACATCTGCCACCACTAGCAGCCCCAGGGAGGCTCCAGAACGCCTCGGACGTTATATAACAGCGGCTCAGAGGCAGCTGCTGCATCTGCCCCTACCCCACTCCCCTGCAAAATATTTCCTTAAAGAGCAACAGATGCTCCTAGATTATCCACCCCTCCTCCCCCCCCCCCCACACACACACGGCCCTGCACAGATTACAGGGCCTCTGGATTAATTTTTTAATTCGATATTAACGCTTGGTTGCATAACAGCGAGCGGGCTGCAGCCCCGCCAGAGGAGCTGGGGCGACTGGCTCATCCCTCGCGGAGCCGGGATCCCGTCGCCGGGGGCGGGCCGGCCTGGGTTTCGGAGAGATGGACGGGCCCGATCGCCAGCGGGTGTCAATCGGTGCATGTCTGCCATCCCTGCTTGTCTGCCTGCGTCTGTGCAGGCTCCAGGGGGCCGGGCACAATATTAAATCCAACCAGGAAATCAAACGCAAGAGGGAAGCAGCAGCCGAGCCCACAAACCCCAGCCCTTCTGCAGAGACCATCACTAAAAATCCCCATCACAGAATCCATGCCCCTCCCCAGCCCAGGGGAATGGGCTTTGCAGCATGCCCTGACGGTCCCCAGATTTAGGCTATTTCCAACCAGGGACGGGGGCCTGAATTTCAACATCCAGGGGATGCCCTGTCAGCAGCTTCCTCTCTCATAAACCTCGGGCGGGTCAGCTCGCCCAGCAGGGCTGGTGGCAGGCGGCCTTGGCAAACAGATTCCACGCCACGCGGGGACAGATTTTCAAAAGAGCTCTCGGCCAAATTTCAACAAGGAGTCCAGTGGCACCTTAAAGACGAACAGATTTATTTGGGCATAAGCTTTCGTGGGTGAAAAACCCACTTCTTCAGATGCATGGAGTGAAAATTACAGATGCAGGCATGCAGCCACTTGCAGGGCCAGAGCTCAGTTCTCGTTCAGATGCTGAAATCAGAGCCAGGTTTTCACAATGGGCCCAGCAGTTCCCACTGTCACTCAACCAGCATCTGATGTGCTTTGGAAAATCCTAGCTGTTTGGGTTCCTAGGTCAAAGCCAACATCAGGACACTAAGGCAGCCAGTCAGGGCCCCAGAGCCTTGCTACCATCAAGACTCTCCACTTAATAAGCGAGGTTTCCATCTTCGGTCTCCAAATGGAAATTCAGTGCCGTGCTCTGGTCTGCAGGGGAAACAGGCAGGCGGGGGCTGGACCGGTCACCAGCTCTGGCCCAGACATTTACCCTGGAAGTTGCAAACCCGAGTAGCCAACAACGGACACACATACACAGTCAAAGGGACTGATGCAGACTATAATCCATCCTCAGATCTACCAGCATCACCCAGGCCTTGGATACACAGTAAAGTTTCTTTGCTATAACCTAAGTCCTGGTCTACTCTTAAAATGTAGATCGACCAAACACCATCGCTCAGGGAGGTGAAAAAAATTCACACCCCTGAATGGCGTAGTTAAGCCAACCTAGGTACTGTGGCTCGGGGAGGTGGATTTCACCTCCATCGCTGAAAACCCCCTTCCGTCGATGTAGGGAGCGTCCGCACTACAGCGCAGCGTCGCTGCAACCTACGGCGGATAGTTGTACAGGTACAACCCCCGTGAGGACAATCTTATTCCAGCATAAGAGGATCACGTATGTCACTGGGGAAGGAAACTAAACCACGCTGAGAAAAACCGCTCAGGGCTGAGACGGTCCGCACAGGGATTATACCTGTACAACGATATCGGTATAACTGGGGAAAAGTACCCATGTAGACAAGGCTTTAGTCTCCTCCAGGCCTGCTCTGCTCTAGGAAGTTTCCCTCACGTGCCCAACCAACAGTGCCTTGCCAGCACCAGCCCTAGTGTGGACACAGGCAAAAACTTCCTTCCAAAGAGTTCCGCAACTGAGTTAAGCGACTGACAGAACTCTGGCCGTGTCTCTGCGAGGGATGTTTGTTCTACAAGTCTCTCCCGTAAGGGAGCATCAGCCAGCTTGCCCACATCCATGCCCCAGAGGCTAACGGGACGCTCCCAGTGCAGAGCCCATTGTGCACACAACACTCACCACCCGCACACGCCAGCCAGGTATTTCTCTATTTAGCCTCTCCGGGGCTCCAGGCACAGACCAGCAATTCTAACTGACCCTCCCCGCACTTCCCGAAGCTAAACGAGGCGAAGTGACAATGGAGAGTCTCCCCCTTTCCCAAGCAAAAGAAGCACGCACACAACTGCACCTTAGCTGCTGTCTGCACGCACGATCACGTGATTTGCGCGTGCATTCCCCATGACCGCGGGTTCAAATCAGGCGCGCGGTTGCGTACGCAGCTGGAGATCTCGCTGGACGCAGGTCAGCGTGATGATATTCAGAGACCCAGGGCTCCACCCGGCTGACGTTTGTGGGTGAAGCAATGAAAGGACACAGTCTATGTACTTCTCTCTGCTTAGGATCTACCACGCCCTTCTCTGTCCTGTCCGAGCCCCGCACAGAAATTCAAGGTCACCATGCGGGTCTAATCAAAGACGATCGCTCCCTGCCCAACCATTCCTTTCTGAACATCACATTCTCACCCCTTTTGGGTTCAGCTTTTCTGCAAAATAACAATGGACTGGAGCCGCAGCTGCGAGCACGCCCAATCCCCAAAGGCTTGTTCATCACGGTGGCTGTTTGTCATGTGTCCGAGGAACAGTTCTGCTGGAGAACATGCTGCCCAGCAATTAATGATACTAGTATCTAGTGCTTCTACACTGTAGCAGGTTTCAGGCATCGACCCCCAAGTGTTTTACAAAGGGAGGCAGCAGCAGCATCCCTCCCCCCACCCCACATGGGGAAACTGAGGTATGGACAGGGGAAGTGACTCACCACTAGGGTAAATCAGTGGCACAGCTGGGGTTAGAACCCAGGAGTCTGGGCTCCCAGCCAGGTGCTTTATCCACTGCACAACGCTGTCCCCCCTCCCCTCTCTAGACCACACCAGACACAACTTCCGTTTAATCAGAATCAAAGCACCGTGTTGAACGATCAAGAGGCTCCCGTGCGCCGACGGGCAGCCCCCGCGAGTCTGTCCCGCAGGCAGCCCGCCAGCCGGGCCCCTGGGCGTGCAGGCGTCGCTCACCCGTGATCTCGATGGCTCTCTTTTTGAACGTGCTGATGACGGTCCCGTCTTTCCTCCGCAGCAGGGGGCTGCTCCTGCGCTCGGCCACCTTCTGTTTTAACCGCGAGCGCACTTTTAAGTTGGGTTCCGAGGCTGGACGGGGAAAGGAAAAGCACCATGAACGGTCCCACCCTGACTCGCTGCCCCAGGCCCGTCTCCCACTGCCTCCCAGCCCCTCGCTGGCAGCTCCTGACCAGTGCCCGGCGCCCGTGGCTCCAGCAGCCTCCTGCCGGCTCTCAGCTAGACGGGCTGTGGCTGAGTGAATGACATCAGCTCACTCTCCCCCGGATCCTACATTCCTGCCAGAGCCCGGAACAACCTTCCTCCCCCTCTGTCTGTCACGCTGACCCTTTCCCCAGGGGGACCCCGGGGTGTCCGTTGCACCCCTCAGTCCTCAGGGGCCCGTTCCACCCACAACAGCAGGCCATCCCCTTCTAGACACCAGCTGTTTGGACTGGATCGGGGCACTCAAGCAGCTTTGCCTCCGGGCGGGCGGGTCAAATCCAGCCTGGGGCGGTAGTGAGCACCAATTGCTGCCCTCTGATGGCTGTTTGGTCTCTGGGGCAGGGGGTCTGGTCCGTAAAGCACTTAACGTTCTACCCTAGGGGCTTTGCAAAGAGCTCAGGGCCAGGTTTGCCAGGGCTCCGCTCCCTGTATCAGGGCCAGATTTCCAGATATGCTCAGCTCACAAGGTGCTGGACTCTGATGAAAATTTGGCCTCTGATTCTGGTGTCCAAATGAGAACTGGGCTCTTGTGAATATTAGGTCCTATATTAATAATTACAGCCCTCCCCATGCTAGGGTGAACCTGTGCTAGCTACAACCACAGATCCTCCCCACCTCCCTCCAGACACATTTTTGTGACACCTGCCCAGCGGGAACTAGACTGAGACCTGCCCAGCTCATCTCACTCAGGCTCCCAAACAGCCAGCAGGTGGCAACCCTTTGCCGCCGGCTACTGCCCTGGGTTGGATTCGAACCAGTGGCCCGGAGGCAAAGCCGCTCCTGTTCCCCTGATCCAGCCAGCCAGCCCCACCGAGGCGGATTGTAAGTTTCCCTTCCCCTCCAGCGGCACTGACCGGTTTTCCGGAGCGGAAAGTCATCTCTGCTGTCGTATGTGCCGAGTAGGGGTAGTTTGTAGGAGGGTGGTGTTCCCGGGCTGCCTGTCTGGGGAGGGGAACTCTGGTCCAACGAGGTATGATGGGCTCCCCTGCGGAGACAGGCCAAGAAGCAAAGCTGTTAGAGAGGCCCACCCCGTTAGCTGGTACCTGTGCACCCATCTGGCCGTAGAGAGACAGGCTGCCCCGTGCCCTAGCCTGAGTGCAGACTCACTCTGATCCAGCCCCCCGTCAGTCCTACCCATGCAGGGAGACGGGTCTATCTGAGCCTACCCACGACCCCTCTCTCCCCGCCTAGCTGGGGATGCCCTCCAGGTGACACACAGTGTAACTCAGGCCCCATCAACTCGAGCGGGGGACCTAAGTGACAACCCGATCCCCTCCCCGGGGCGGATAAAAAGCAGCTGTCTGGATGGGACTGAGGCCTGCCTCCGCTGGGTTCTACATCCTCGGGCCGAGCAGCGGGGCACCAGCGTCTAGACCGAAAGCACTCGCTCCAGCCAAGGCTGCGACGTGGGACAGGTCCAGGCTCCGCTCCAAGACCCAACCACGTTCTAACCAGGGCGGAGGGACCATCGGGCTGTGACGGGATCCCCCCCGGCCAGGGCCGCACTCACAGCTCCTGGCAGAGCTCTGGAGAGGATCAGGAGAAGTGTGTGTATGGGGGGGGGGGGGGGGGGGTTAACAATTTCGGTGGGATCCCCAGGGTCCCTGAGCAATCCCCGGCCAGGGTGCGTGGACCCTGGTGAAAACACAAAACGTTACTGGTAAGGCGGGAGGAAGTGCGGGGGAGGGGGACGGCCCGTCAGGGATCTGTTTTTAGCCGGTTAAGTGGATTTATCCCCTAAGCATCCCTGGGCTCAGGAAGTGGAGTAGGTCGCTGGGATGCAATTAGCCACCACGTGTGCCAGCCCATTTTTAAAGCCAGAGGCGAAGAGAGACGTCACAGCCACCTCCCAGCCTCGGCGCCGGGCCGGGGTCCTTCCTTGGGACCCAGAACAGGGCCATTTTGGTTTGACTGGATTCGGGTTAACCACACACGTCCCTGAGTGATGCCCTGGCCTCCTGGGGAAGGCTGGCGCATCCATACGCCACCCAGAGACTTCCCATTGGGATGTTACGCTGTACACACCCCACTACCCACCCCAGGGCTCCGACAAAGATACTCTGCCGGAAACAAGGGGGGGGCCGCGTGGCTTAGCAGACAGAGGGACTGCGAACCCGGGCTTGCGTGGCCCACCAGACCACAGCACAGGAGAGAACCCAGGAGTCCTGACGCCCCCCCAGCTCTAACCACTGCACCAAACTCCCTCCCAAGGCAGAGCACGGAACCCAGGAGTCCGGGATCTCAGTCTTCTAAGAGAGGCCCCAGCCAGTTCATCCAGCGCTCCGCTCCTCCTCTCTGGCTCTGCCACGCCCGCCGGCCAACCTACCAGCATTTGGAGTGCTGTGGGAGGGAATGGTTGAAGCTGCCTGCCGTCACCTCTTTTGACTTGCTGAGTAGGAACTCCTGGAGCTTTAGCTTCACTTCTGTGCTGGCAATTGCACCTGCAGACAGACAGGACGTGGTCCACGGGAAAGGCACAGGCTGACCAAGCGCTGACCAGAGCAGGGCTGGGGAGAAGGATTCCCCGAGCCCCACGGGCGTTGAGCGCAGGCTAATGCTTCCTGGGCTGGGTGACCTCTGGACTTGGGCGCTGAGCGGGGAGGCACCAATGCCACCAACAGATCCCCACCAAGGCTGGCAGACAAGGGGCTTGGGTCTTTTATTTAGACCCGGGTCAGGACCGAACGCTCAGCCCAGACCCGACATGAGTCTCAGGGGCGTGGGCCTCACCCGGGGCCCCTCCCGCACTTCTGGTTCCAGGTCACGTGCAAATTGGGCCCCTGCCGGGGGCCACGTGCCCCCCTGCAAAGCTCTATACTGTGTCCCCAGGGCCAAGGGAGACAACTTCCCCCAGCATGCAATGCTGTCTCTCGAGCCACACTCCCAGCAGGAGTCAGGATCCAGACGGAGCATGGCTGAGATCTGCGCTCTCCCCGGGCCGCCCCTGCCTACCAAAGAGGAGGGCAAGCTGCCATCTGCTCCCTGTCGGAATAACAGGCCACTCCCCTTGGAGCTCCCGGCCAGCTGCCCACGGGGCACCCTCAGCGGGGCAGGTCTGGGCCTTCCTGGCATAGGCATCACCAGTCAAAGTTAAAACTTTGGAGCCCAGCCAGATCAAAAATACAGGCCGGGAGGCTTTCGATCCCCACGGCCCCCGGGCCAGCTTTTGCCCCAGCTGGGCCCAAGCTCCGCAGGGCAGGGGCCGAGCGCCTACCCCCGCCCCCGCTCTCACTCTCTTTGCTCTTCTCCTTGTTCCGGAGGATGAGGAGCTGCTGCTCCAGCCGCTGCTTCTCCAGCTCCTCCTGCCGCAGCTGCTCCCGCTTTCGCTGCTGCTCCAGCTCCTGCTGCCGCTTCGCTGCCAGCATCTCCTGCTGCTGCTGCCAGGCAGAGGGGGACCGGGTTAGCGGGCCAGGGATCGGGCGGGCAGAGGGGACAGAAGCCAGCAGCGGAGGGATGAGGCCAGGTAAGAGCGGGGGGCGGGGAGGTAGCTGGGGGGAGACTAGGTGGGGGCAGACCAAGTGAGAGCCAGAGAGGGGACACGAGGTGTGAATGGGAGGGGGGACAGGTGAGAGGGGGAGGGAGGGTGAACCCAGGTGGCAGAGGAGACCCTCGTTCGGGGGACCCAGGTTAGCATGGAGGGGCCCCACCCTCTTGCCGTCAGAAAAGCACACACCCCCTGCCTGCGGGGCCCGGTCACAGCCCACGGCGCGGGGCTGGCAGGGAGGGGAGACCGGGGGGGTTCCCAGAAGGCCCGGCTGTGGCTGGTGCAATGGGGCTTCTTTCAGCTCAGAGGCTGGGGGGGGGGGAGGGGGGCACTGGATGTGGGCAAGGAGGCATCCAGCCACGAGCAAGGATTAAACCCAGGACTCGGCCGGCTCTCCCACGAGCTCCTTGAGGAGAGGGAGCTGCTCAGAGCAGCCCTGCTAGGAGCTGGCAAAGCACCCCCCACCAGGGCAGCGTGCATGGAAGCCCCCCCATCCTACGAGAGCCAGGCCTGCACCGCCAGCACGGGGCGGGGGGTCAAAGGTGCAATGAGATGGAATAGGGACGGCTGGGACATCGAGCCCTAGGCAATGCAGGGAGCCAGCAAGGGATGCTGGGAAAATTTCCACAGTCTGTCCCACCTGCATTCCTTGCCTTCCTTGGCTATAACAGGCCGGTGGGTGGGGGGGCTTTGGGTTCTCAGCCTCCGGTCTGAAACCCAGACACGCCTCTCCTACCCACCAGTGCAGCTGTGTTGGCTTCAGGGGTGAACGAGCAGAGAATCAGGCCCCCTGCACCTACAGTCCACGGGCCGGCCCCGGCCGCTCAGCCCGCTGCGGTACGTTCCACCCCATGCAGCGTGCGGGCTGTCTGGACGAGACCTCGGTAAAGCAAGCTCCTGTGGGCTCTGCCGGGGAGCAGCAGGGGGTTGCCCTTGTCTCAAATTCTCTTGCCCCTTCCCCTGGCATTGCCATGCTATGTGCTGGTGGGGTACCACCCCAGAGGTGGCTGCATGTCAAGGGAGCGATCCGGGATCCTTCAAGATGAAAGGAGCTATAGAAGCTTGCAGTGCTCCATAGGGGAGAGCTCCCTCCTTTACGCAGGGGAAAGGAAGGACAATTGTGTATTACTGTCGTTTTTGAACTCTGTTTGTACAGCGCCCAGCACGGTGGGAACTTGAGCCATGACTAGGCCTCCTAGGTGCCACGGTGATATGAGTAACAATAATAATTAGTGGCTGATTTATTTAGCGCCTCTGGAAGCCTCCAAAGGTCTCCCACAGGATTGCAACCTCTGCCCACCACTGCAATGCAGCCACTTCTGGGGTGGAATGGGGCAGCCACCCTGTGCTAGCAGTTCCACAGCAGGTTCGGATGGGAAATGAGGAGGAACACTGCCCGCAGCTAAAGCAAGAGAGGAATCTTGGGCTGGTGAAGTGTAGTCAACCCCCTTTCCCCTCCCAATCAGAATGTGGCAGGACGCCAGGGTCCTCATGAAAAGGGCCACGGGATTTCAATGATCAGAGAGCTTTGGCTCTGAGGCTCAGCTGAAACCAGAGCCTCCTTGTGCCATGGTAACAACAACCTGGCCAACCCCAGGCTTTCAAACCTCACCCAGAAGCCACTCCCCTCCACCCCGAATGATGAGATTTAAAAAAATAATAATATGGGGGGGGGTTGTCTTTTTTAATTCCTTTTCTGCTTTTGGAGCCTTTCAGGGTCACGTTTCTCTCCGCAACCCAGGGGGTGGGGCTCGAACCATTCGTATTTTTAAACGAAAGCCGCAATTCCCAGGCCTCACCTGACTCCGGGAGCTGGGGCTTTCAGAAGAGCGCCCGATACCGTGAGACACCAACTCAGGATAGGTTGGCAAGAGCTGGGCCCCCCCCACTAGGCCAGCCCTTCCCCTCTCGAGTCACTAACTCCTCCCAGAAGGCTTTGTGCCGCTTTAGAGCGGTGGACCCCCCCAGGCGAGGGGGCTGGGCGCCATGGCAGCCATTTCTACCCACTCCTGCAGCCTCCTGCCGGGCCGGTCTCCCCTCCGGGCGCCAGCCAGGCTCAAGCCTGCTCAGCTGCTGAGTGCGGACAGGGTCTGGGCCTGCGGGGCGGTGCCGACAGGGAGAGCCCCGCGGGCTGGCGGAGCTGGGCAGGGCTCGGAGAGGCCCTCCGGGGGGCGGGGCGGGGGCAGCCCCCGCCGGGCGCCTCACCTTGAGGTGCTTCTGCAGCTGGACCTCGTGCTGCCGCGTCAGGTGCTCATGCTGCTTCTGGAACTCGGCGAAGAGCAGCTGCTTCTGCAACTGCTGCTGCTGCTTCAGGGCCAGCAGCTCCTGCTGCAGCTGCTGCTCCCGCAGGGAGGGGTCCACGCTGGGCGCACCGCCCCGGGCCTCCGGCCGCAGGGCCGCCGGGCCGCCGGCGCCGCAGGAGTTCGGCATGGCCACGGGCAGCGCCGGCTTCACGTCGACCGCTGGGGAGCAGACAGAGGCAGGCCTTGGGAACCGGCCCCCCGCCCGCCCCCGCCGGGGACCAGCCGGCGGGGAGGGCGAGAGGACGCCCCCTCTCAGCGAAAAGCAATGGAGAGTTCCCCTTTCTGCTCGCCTGCTTGCCCGCTGGGCCTGGCGCCCCAGGAGCAGCCGGGGGACCATAGTGGGCCCGGCGTCCCAGGAGCAGCTGGGGTGCCCCGGTGGGCCCGGCGTCCCAGGAGCAGCCGGGGGGCCCGGCGTCCCAGGAGCAGCCGGGGGACCATAGTGGGCCCGGCGCCCCAGGAGCAGCCGGGGGACCATAGTGGGCCCGGCGCCCCAGGAGCAGCTGGGGTGCCCCGGTGGGCCCAGCGTCCCAGGAGCAGCCGGGGGACCATAGTGGGCCCGGCGCCCCAGGAGCAGCTGGGGTGCCCCGGTGGGCCCAGCGTCCCAGGAGCAGCCGGGGGGCCCGGCGCCCCAGGAGCAGCCGGGGGACCATAGTGGGCCCGGCGCCCCAAGAACAGCTGGGGTGCCCCGGTGGGCCCAGCGTCCCAGGGTGCTTTAGAGAATGGGGCCAAGTCAAATCAATCCAGGTCATGGAAACTCCTGCATTTCCCATTCCCACCCTCCCTCTGTCTGCCCATGGCCGGACACGGCCCCCTGTTAATGGAGTCCCAGAGCCTCCGTCCATTCAGCCCATCTAGGAGTGTCACGCTGGCTAACCTGGGGGCTGGGTTGGATCAGGGTTAAACAAACAGTCCATCAGGCTGGCTGTGTCCAGCGTTGTGTCCGTCAGCCCCTGCGGACCCCTCGCGCCTGGCAGAGATCCGGCAAGGGGGCATTCGCTGCTGGCAGCAGTGGCTGCATACCCACCAGAATGCAGTGACCTCTCACTCCCTGGACACAATGCAGGGCATTGGAGGGGGCACCATTTCCCCTCTTGGCCAGCCCTTCACTCCTCCCTGCACCGGCCAACGTGCGCTGTGGGATCCGATGCCCACTGGGGAGACACTTGCTAGCGGGAAGTAGCCAGCGCTCCAGGCCGGATCCTCACAGAGTCACTTCTACAGGCTCCCAGATCGGCTGCGCAGAGCTGATTCCTGGAGGCAAAAGCCACCGTCCCCCACTGCCAAGGCAGAGATCCAAGTCTGGGATGCAGGTCCCAGCGTGGGGGGCCTAGCCAGAGCCCAGGGTAGGAGAGGAAGGATATTCCCCATCCCCACCTGCAGCCTTGAGGCTCAGCAGGAATGGGATGCCAGTCCCCATCCCCTTGCAACCCTTGGGGTTCAGCAGATCCGGAGTCCAGCTCCTCCAGCCTCTCTGCTCAGCGGGACACTCCCGTCATCGCCCACGGCACCGTAACCCACCGTGCAGCCCCTTGCGCGCCGTCGGCTCCGCTGGCAGGGCTGCGCCGGGCACCAGGGCTTTGGCAAGCTGTGAATGAGTCGAGAGCCATGCGTGACTCAGTCGCTCACTCCTCTGACTGTCTCCCCGTCTGTCGTAAAACCATGTGCGTGGTCATTAACCCGCAAAGGCACAGATCCGGCACAGGCCCCCTCTCCTGGAGCGAGAGGCGTTTCTCCAGGAAATTATCTCCTTTCTGCAGGTTTCTTGTAACGACATGGGGGGCGGGGGGAACCAACACACACAGGGCTAAATATAGACAATGCCCCACAGCAGCTGTTGTGAGCAGGGTGGGGAGGTGGAAGCGGGAGGTGGAGGACAGCCCCGAAGAGAGCTGGCACGTGAGCGCGGCTGCGAAAGGCAGAAGGGGGAAGAGGCTACAAAAGGAAAGAGGAGAGAGAAGATCGCTGCCCGCCGTCCCTTCCCCGTGAGGATCTCAAAGCATTTTCTGAACGTTAATGAGTTAAGTCTCACACCCCCTCCACTGCCCCCCACTATGAGGTACTGTATTATTTCTGAGCATAGTGATAGCACCTATGGCGCCCCAGTCACGAACCACAAAGCCAATGTGCTAGGTGCTGTACATTTTTATTGCTACTAGGTAAATTACGGTAGTGCCTAGCCACCCCAGGCATGGACCAGGCACCCATGGGGCTAAGAGCTGTACAAACACAGAATAAAAAGAAGGCACCTACCCCAAAGAGCTCACAGCCGAAGGTAGATCAGTATCATTAACCCAATTCCACAGGTGTGGGGAAACTGAGGCACGTTGCTCAAGGTCAGTGGCAGAGATGGGGAGAGAACCTCCAGTTCTCTGGCATCCCTGTCCAACCACAGCAACAGCCCCCTCCTGGAGGAAGGCAGACAGCCCTGGCAAGTGAACTGCATGTCCAGGGGCGACGTTCTGCCTGGTGCCAGTGTTCCCCACGCAAACCAGGCATCCCCTCGCTGCGACGGCCGGAGAAATAACGAAGCAGAGACGGCGGAACGAGCGAGTCACATTTTCGCTTTCCAGCCGGAATAATCCCCCCCCCCCCCCGCCTGGGAACACAGTCAGTGCCCCGAGCCTGACTTGGGCGCTATCGTCACGTCAATATTTCCTGCTACGAATGGTACCAATGTAACAGCCCGCAGGTGGAGAGGAAGCGAGGGGTTTCAAATCCCCTCTTCCAGCTCTGCCCGGCTGTGGCAGGGGGCTACAAAAAACATGGCAACTGCTAGGCAGATTGGGAGCTGAGGCCACTGCCCCTCGGCCCAGCCAGTATGGTCCGGTCATTTCAGTCATCTCCCCAGTCTGAATCCACCGGTTGGCCTGGGTCTTATCCTCGGATTGTGGCCCTTTGGAGCAGGGACTGTCATTGTGTTCTGTGTCTGGACGGTGCCTAGCATAACTGAAGCTCCCAGGCGCTACTCCAATACAGCTAATAATCAGGGGCAGGCAGAGGAAAGATGCGAGAGGAAACCAGACCGGTGCCTGGGCACTGCAAGGATGGGCACTTTAGAAATGCCCGAGAGCGGTGCCAGCCAACCCCAGGAGAATCAACCACCGAGACAAGAATGCCCATCAGGGGACGCATCTAGACAGCTCGGTTTGGTAGCGAAAGCCTGGTCAAGGCTCAGCCAGCTCCCCACACACAACCCCTGCACTTCCCCACGGTGATTAACAGCTCCAGTCTGCTGAATTACACAACACCCCCGCCAACTCCCAGACACACACAAACACCCGAACCTTTGTGTTCCTTCGCCATGGCAACGCTGCTGACGCGGCGGTGACGTGGTACAAGCCCGTGCGTAGGGCGAGCGACAAACACAGACGACCCTGCTCAGTTCAATAATTTGACATCAAATCAAGAGTGTTTATCCTCTTGTCCCAGCACCTCTGCGGAGGTGGGCCCTGCCTCGGGGCTTTTGATCTAACACTCCCAGCAAATGAGAGAGATTAAATCTGTATAAACCTGGCGGGTGGGGGGGAGGGGGTGGAGAATTGCGTTAGGGTCTGTTTATACATATCATTTGGGTGTGAAGCAGTGGGACTGTCTTGATGGCAGGGGCCTGATTATCTACCACCTTGCACCATCATTTATGCTTGTGTCCAGGGGCTGCAAACACGCTGTCGGGATCAGTTTCATGGCACAATCTGCCATGCGAGGGAGAATCAGGCCCCAAATATGTCATGTAGCAATTCAGCTGCTCCCTATGGCACCTGGATGGCCCCCACTACCATAGCGTATAAGCACCTTACAATCTTTACTGCGTTGATGCTCAGAGATAGGAATATTATCGCCCATGTTACACACAGGGAACTGAGGCCCAATCCTCAAAGGTACTTAGGTGCCTAACTCTCCTTGTTTGTATAGCACCTAGCACCAGGGGGTTCTGGGTCCGTGCCTGGGACGCCAAGGAGCCCAGCAAGACAGATCATTAGCAACAACATCCAGGTGCGTCCAGACACGGCACAAAACGGAGAGAAGACAACTCATCTTGTAGTTACAACACAGGAATGGGTGCCACCAGGCTGTTCCCAGCTCTGCCACTGACCTGCTGGGAGACCGTGAGCAAGTCCCTTTACCACTCCGTGCCTCAGTTTCCCCTCCTGCTCTTTGTCTATTGAGATTGTGAGCTCAATGTGTGTAAGTAAAACGGGGCCTTGATCACAGCTGAGCCCTTCGGAGAACATCTACACTGCACTGGAAACCAATGTCTGTGGGACCCAGGCTCGTGGACTTGGTATTTCAAAGCCCACACCTTGAGCATCCGCACTGCGTTGTAAACCTGGGTCTCTCAGCCGTGCTAACGCGTCCACACGGCCCTGTGCAGACCTTCTGACTCAGGTCCGTGGCTTAAGCTGTGTCCACACAGGAAACTGGCAGGGCTTAGACCTGAGTCTCTGCAGGACTTGGGCTCTGACTTACCCCTCTAGCAGGGTCCTAGGAGCCGGATCCTGAGTGCTTGCTGACCCGAATCAGATTGATTTGTGTGTGGATGGTAGGAGGGGTTGGGCTCAGACCTGAGTCAGAGCTGGGGTTAGCATGCAGGGCAGACAGACCCTTAGGCGGCACTATCAAATATGAATGAATAACCATCCGAGGAGGGAGAGCTTCCCAACAGGAGTGGAGCAAACAACCGAACTGGATTAAGATGGACCTCGATATGTGTATGAACAGGAGGATATGACAGGGCTGCCGTGAGGTAACAGGGGCCTGGGCTCCTAGACCCAGGGAATCCCTCCCAGACCTATGTTAGTGAGGGACAGCATGAAATATTATTATACATACGTGACGGACTATATATAGCGTGCAACATATTGGGGGAAGGCATGACCTTTTCGTTAAAACACCGCACTGGATATCAGAAGAGTTATATTCTATTCCCAGTCAGGTCACTGCCTTGCCGCGTGACCTTGGGGAAGTCACTTTCCTCATTGTGTCATGCCTCAGTTTTCCCATCTATAAAAGCAGGGCAATCCTATTTGACCCAGAGCGTTTGACACTTTGTTCTCATCTGTGATCGCCAATGCTATGGACACAAGTACCCTACTAGTGAAACGCAGCTCCGAGCTATCCCCATCTCCACGCGCTCCAATTCTCAGCCCCGTGCAACTCCG